TTTTGAAAGTTCATTGAGTCATCTTCCTTATTCACTTCTTTGTCATGTTTCTATTATTATTTGTTATATTGTTTGTTCACCCTTATGCCCTTAAGGACAATGAGTTTTGTAAATAGATAAAAACCACAGACACATTAAAGGCACATTATGCCTCAATGGCTCAGAAATCCAAATTTTATTCAGTTCTTTAGAAATGTCAAACATTTGTTTAATAATGCTTTGAAAACAGATTACAAGCATGTTACATGTTTAATAAGTGAAGAAGTAGCACTGAACATGCAGTAATGTGTTGTAAAGGTAGCTAAATGTAAACAAAGTAGTAGTTTTACTTCCATACAAAATAATAATTCACTATACTTATTCCAATTACCAACATAATTAACAAAGTTAGCCAAAAATAGTTTATGCATGTGGCAAATGAGTATTTCTTTGGAAACAGTTACCACATAAACAAAATTTCTAACAAAAAAGTTTTTGAGAAATATCGGAGACATACTGGGCCTTTAACCATTTTAAAAATCGATGTTTTAATTACTTCTCCTTAAAAATCATGTAATGTATGCATAAATTTATAAACGCAAGTACATATGTATTCATTATAAAGTTTACAGTTTTGATAACTTTTTAATTGAGTCACTAGGACATAAACAGGCTGACATAAAGTTAAGACGTTTGGAAGGCATACATAAGGCCAAGAACATGTAGTTACTTTAAGATGTTCGCCTTTAAGGTTTAAAAGTGAATTTTACTACGGCGAGAAAGGCCAAATGTATATAAAAGCTTACAACCAGAGAAGCTAGCCCCGTGTTCATTGAGAAACGATCAAGATCAGGATCAAATTATCCTGATTTCATTTTCATGGTTTTATAGAACTAGAATATTGATAGCATTTTGCTAGAATATAATGGTACGTAAACAAAATGTAAACATTGCTGATTTGTCAGGAAATAAGCCTATTTTGGGATAAATTTGACAAATAACAATGATGGAATCAAAATAAGGATCAATTTTAGGATCAAGATCGATATTTGGATCAAGTGTAAATTGCCTGTATCTTGTAAAATAACAATAAATCTATTCTTAAATTTCATAAAAGTGCTATTTCAAGTCCAATTTTATCAAATCTATTTAAAATATTTAATCTTTGCAGATAAACAATGAAAAATGTTTGAGTTTTTAAACTTGATCCTGATGTTGATCCTAAACCGTAAATCTTAGTGCACAAGGGGTCTGAAAGCTGTATATGCATCGCAACTAGATATTTATTGAGTTCTTTCCTTAGTCTTCTTCGAATCGCATATAGGTTTGAAGCAGGGGGACCCGAGTTCCCCTCTGCTGTTTATGTTCTTCGTGAACGACATCTTAAGGTATATTAATACCGACCTAGATTGATGAACTTCAGCTATTCTTAATACTTTTTTCAGACGACCAAGTATTGTTTGCTTAGTCCCCGCAGAGTTTACAGTCTATGATGTCTGATGTCGAAAGATACTGTAGTCTTTGGGGATTAAAGATAAATACTTCGAAAACAAAAGTAATGATTTTTGAAAAGGGCAGACATACACGTCATGATTTTTATGTTAAAGGAACTCCACTGAAGTTTATAAGCCTAAAAACATAAAAATTTGATTTTTCACATAGATAAACATGAGCACTTAAAACAGAAATATAAATAAAATATAACCAAGAAATATACAAAAAATACATTGAAAACCATATGTTTGTGCTATTCTCAGTCCGATTTGAGTGAAAAGCGTTTAAACGCTTTTCAATTTTGGGTCATTTTTCACTATTATAATAATTATTCTGGAAAAACGGAGGGAGATAATGATCTGAAATTTTGCACATACGTTGTTAGTATAGATCTACATCAACTGGAGTAATAATCTCAAAAAATTATTTCGAGTCCCGTCATGTCAAAAAACCTCAGTGGAGTCCCTTTAACGACACCCTCATTGAACTGGTGAATTCATTCAAATATTTAGGTATCACTTTGTTAAAGAACGGAAACTGGTATAGAACTCAGAAATACATCTCTGAACATGCATCATTCGCTCTTTATAACGTTTTTACCATATTTAATAATATTGAGTTGTCTGTTTCTCAGAAATGTAGAATTTTTGATTCACTTGTTGGCTCAATCCTTAATTTTGGATCAGAAATTTGGGGATGCATGACGGACGCGATGTTGAAAAAATACAGTACATACAAAAATTTTTAGACGACTTTTATGCGTTCGAAAATCAACTAACATCTCGGCGCTATACGGTGAATTAGGCTGTTACCCTTTTTCTGTGATGAGACAAATTAAGATGATTAAGTTTTGGGTGAAAATTATTAAGCTTGACGATACAGAGATTGTTAAAAAAGTTTATTTAATGCTTAAGCAAGATGTTGATTCTGGGAATACATATAACTCGAAAAAAATGGGCTTTTTGTATTAAAAACATTTTAACAACCCATGGTTAAGCGTATGTATGGATCAACCAGTTTGATATAGTGTCCCTTTTGTTATTATCAGACAAAGAATTATAGATGCTTTTATACAGAAATGGTATACTGATAAAAACAATCCTAGTCGCCTTCAAACTTATAGCATTTTTAAACATGATTTTAAATGTGAAAAGTATTTTGATTTAATCACAGACAAAAATCATAGAATTGCTCTTACTAAATTTAGAACGTCATCGTAGAATCTGGTCGATATGAAAACATACCAAGATCAGAAAGAATATATAAATCTTGTTTAATGAGACAACCTGAAACAGAGTATCATTTTTGTTAGTCTGTCCACGTTATAGAGAATTGAGGAAAAGGCTTTTTAAACCTTATTATTGTCATTGGCCGTCTGTTATAAAATTCGATAGCCTAATGTCTTCTAATTCTAAGAAAACTATATGTGCTTTATCTAAATTTATTTACTTAGCAAATAAACAACGTATTTCATAATATCTCTTCTAGTAATATCTGAAAATGAAATGTTGTATTCGAACCATAATTAAATTGTTTAAGATAAGATGTTTGCATGTGCATGGGAACTGACTTGCAACAGTGAATATTACGTTTAGTCTATAGGACTTTAGTGTTCTTCATGTCTTTTATTTTAGAAAATGACAGAATAAGTTAAGTGCAGACTATTCAGGATATTGTAGGTTGGCGTCTGTTTATTTGAAACGTATGCATGCAAGCGCAACATATATATTAAACATATTAAATATTGAATATTGAACATAATATTCCATGAATCATCTTATGTTTGCTGGAAAAATCCATGTTTTGATCTCCAAACATTGTATATATTACAATTTATACTTGTTATAAGCATTGCACTATGCTTTATACAAATAAACTTTTCGTGTTCGTATTCGTATAATCCTTAGTCGTGAATCGCCTCGGTCTTGTTGTTGTGCGCGTTTTGAGTCCGAAGTTTTGCTTTCATTGTTTCGAGTAATCTCCCATTTAGCAGTGCTGGGGTTGTGAAATATGGTCCTCGCTCTCATAAACAGACTTTTATGAAAACCCGAGTCTGCCAATTGTCAACTGTTTTTTGGTTTGTTTTTTTGTCCACGCTCTCCAGGATCTCTTTTTCTCAAACAACCAGTCCATATTAAATATCAGTGTTTTTCTATTTTTCAGACCGTCGGATCATTGATTCAATTTGTTAGTGTTTGAGATTGAAGCAAACGCTTTTCGCCCCGGTGCTAGGGGCCGTGAAGACTTTTCACATTGAATTTATAATCTATGAAAGAATGAAAAGAGGGCCCTGCAAATGTCAACTTTAATTTTCTTTTTTGTTTTCATTGTTCTTCAGGGATCATATACAGATTTTATATTTAATCAAGATTACATTTCTAAAAACCACAACTTTCTTCTGATAATAATAAAATATTTAAAAAAGGATCTAGATATATATATTTAAAGCTACAGGAAAGGGAACTTTCTGCGTCAAAATATGCGGTCCCCGTTTCCGAAATGGGACGAACTTTTACAAAAATTCACCCGTTTTAAATATTCTTTTTGACCCCGAATGGTAAACTCGTGGCCACGCATATAACCGAGCGCACCCCTTAAGTAACCGTCTCCAAGACTGGTAACTGTGGCTACGACATAGTATCGTCGTGCGCAAACTCAGTTAATTATCTCGTGCCCCTCGACCCAAATTTGTAGCTCCGCTGGCCACCGACAATATAATCTCGAGCGCACCACTTTTTTTAAAAGTATTCAGGGGCACGACATAGAACTAGGGCCAAGACTCTGTAACTCGTGCGCACGACTATTAAAAAACGCACAAAAATTTTTGTCACTTTTAAAAATATCATAAATAAATCGTAAAAATCATTTCTTGATTCAAAAAAAGATTTTACAAAATGCGCTGACTTGTATTGAAAATGGCAGCTGATCACATCTGTGCTATGATTGGTATCAAATGCAAAGAATTATTTTTGAATCTTCGCAAATAGTACTGCAAATAGCGATCTGCATCTAGTGGAATTTAAATGTCCGTCGCGAAGAACTTTGTCTCATTCCACCAGCAGCTCGCTATCTTCCGAGGACTTTAAGTAATAATTACATGTACTCTAGAGTTGAAAGTCTACAGTATTTTTAATATAATTTTTTTTTCTTTCTTTTGTAAAATACAGGTAAACATGTAGTCTACACTTTTGCGTGTTGATTGCAAAACAATACAAAGCTCGTATATATATGCATTGTTTTAAATCACAGAGATATATTTAATAAACGTCTCTGCACACATGTACATGCATATAATTATATAGGCCTACTATATACTGTACAGTTCATTCGCCTGCTTGTTGTAAAAAACTGTTTGTTCTGTAAAATACCCTATATAACAGTAATACAATATCGAGTCGGTAATTTCACAACTTTATTAAGTAATCGTTCGATAATCGTCGTTTTGTTCGGTAGTCACGGTAACATAATAAATGTTTTCACCTGGCCTCGGTATCAAAATCTAGGACATACTCTTCTATATTTAGAGGTAAAATTAGACATATTTTACAGATTTCCGGCAAAAACAATCGTGAAATATTTACCAAATGAATTGATTTTAGATTTGATTTGCCTTATTTTCAGGCTCACTAATGAGAACAGTGTTTTTATTACCAAAATATCTTGCAAAGTGCGCAAAATAAAGTATGAATTTGCTTTTCGAATGAGGTCAAAATTCGGCACATTTTCGTGACAATTGCATGAAAAGCTTTCATGATATGAATGGTGTCAATGGGTTTTAAGTCGGTTAAATTTCATTGATAATCTATATTTAATATTGTACATGTATTTTTAACGCATATTCAGTGTGACGTATGTTTGACATGTGTTAAATGTGATTACATCGAATCGTTAATTGGTGTTTTGATCAGCTGCGAGATGATCGCCTAGGAATATTCCTCTATTGATCAGAGTAACAAATAAATCGGAACAGGAAAGGTGGGAAAGAGTCATCACCAGGTAGGTGCAAATTTAATACATGCATAAAGATAGAAATCTGTTGTTTTTTTAAACGTTGTTTGTGTTTGCTTGATTACTGAATTTCTGACCTATTTTAATTGTTTTTATATAGAATTTTTATATAATCATAAATGATTATGTTTATTTACAGAGAGCTGAATGGATTAATTCTTCATGTGTGCAACCAAGCTAAATTACTATAGAAGTAATATTTTGAATCTAAATATAATAAAAAAAAAATCACCAGTCTATAGATAGTTTTTAATGATCACAAGTCTATGGAGACAAGAAAGGGGAAAAAAGAAAGGGGAAAATATTTTTTAAAAAAGGTCATATGTAGTTGTGTACCTGGGGGTTTCCTTGTGCATTTATTCAGTAGAGTTATTGCCCTTTACTTAGTCAAGACTCAATATTTCGTTTTTTCAACTTGTTTCGCACAAAGCCCAAGAAGTGATTGATCTAAAGTCACAGAACTTTACAGAAATGTTGGTCAGCATTTAAAGTTCAAGTTTTTGCATTTGTGGGTTTGCGTGTGGATTTATTCATTATTTTGTAGAGTTATTGCCCTTGACTTATGTAAATATATACAATGTAGGGAATAAAGTTAAGATTTGCATTTCTTAATTTTGTGAAAAATCAATATGTCAACATTAGAAGACTAAGGGTAGGGGGGAGTCATGTACAATTTCCTTTATCCCTCTGTTATACTGTCCTACTGTATTTTAGTAGACTGACAAAACAGTGAAGTGTGTGGGGCATCCATGTCTTATGGACACTCTTTATAATGTATCTGAAAAGGTCTCCCAGCTATGATGCAAGTGGGTTTTTATAATTCGAGAGTGAAGAGTCGGAGTTCATCCTATTGTTAGGGTTTCCTTACACATACTTCATTTCAAAAAGTATATATTCTTTTTTTTTAATAAGTCATTTTGTTGCCATGGCAGCCTTGGTATATACATGTATATTCAATGCATAATGCATGAAAAAGCAGAAACTTGTCAAGGTAGCTATCGATAGTGCACTTTGACTACACTGGACTAGAATTACAGAACAAATGATGAAGATGGATGACTTCTTATCACTTCACTTTTATTACAATAGATTCGATAAGAATGTTAAAGTAAATGCGAGAAAGCCGTTCCAAAATCCAATCTAAGAAGAGAACATATAATCACAACATGATCACATTTTAGTTAAGTGTATGCTATTTCTGTACTGAGTAGCAGCATCATATAGGAATCACTTTTCCATTGTTTGCCCGTCCGGCCGTACCAACTCAAGTGACATTATGGGGTGAATATCAATGTTCATTCTGTACAGACTTGTACTTGTGGGGAAAAAGGTTGCTTATGGGGTGCAAAAATGTGCTTATGTGGTTTTAGAGATCAAAGAAAATCAAATAACCTGATAAAAATGAGGTCTCCTCCTCTAGTAGTAGTAATGCTTTAATGAAAGTCGCCGTATATGACCTTTACTAGAATTAATGATTAATGACCCGTTTTTGATAATTATGAGCAATGTACTTTAAATTTTAATATTAACATTTATAAATTATTCAATTAAATATGTATGAAGCTAGTTTTTGTATGTTTTAACATACAGAAAACAATACTGTTATCTATATTAAGATATTAAACATGTTGCCCCAGATAAGTGACAATTTGCCACAGTTAAATTAACATCATGGCAGAATTTAGTTGGAAATTGTTCAGGTTAGATAACATGTTAGTCAGATTTTTGAGGTCAGACAGTGTCTTGCATGGAAATCCTACATTTTTTATTAAACTATTAATATGGAGATTCATTTCATAAATTTCTGGTTTAACCCTTTACCACATATAGACGTGTTTTGACGGCTTTTCGACCCCCCCCCTTTTTGAGACCTCAAGCAGTGAAAAATTACTCTATTTAGGCCCCAAATACTGTTTCTTGTTTGAAAAAGTGATTACTTTGAAATCAGTTTAGATGAAAAAAAAAAAAACAATGCAAAATAGTGATTTTTGGCAATTTTGAGACATCCCCGTTGCCATGGTAACAGGAAATTTATGATTGAGCATGCTGTTACAGAGGCTATGGTCCAGTAAACATTTGTGCCGAGTTTCATCAGTATTGAAGCATTTTTCATAGTTTCATAGCAGTTTGAACTTGTAACAGGAGGCTTTTCAATGAACAGCCATTTTTTACAATATACTTATGAGGTAAAGGGTTAAGAAAACATTTTAATTAACAGAATTGTTGGAAAATAATATTTCAACTATGAATCTATCTGTTTTATGGTAATAAATAAATGTATATCAGACAATTAAAAGAAAACATAAAAAAGAAGGAGTAGAGCACTGCACCTTTTTCAGGGCAGGGTAGTATAATAAAAGCCAAGTAGGAAGGGGGCATAATTATACAAAACTGATGGGAGAATTGCCTGTCCTGAATACTTCAGCTTTCATGGTTATATCTGCCATTCAGACATGCCATTTAAGTTTTGATAGTAGACAAAAAAATTGCACTGTGAATTAAAAGTGATAATCTTTGATACTTTATGAGAAATAAACCTTCTCACAAGTAAGGGTTAAACAATGGGTTGGGAGTGTCTAAGTCAAAAAGGGGTATAACATTGCTCACTATAGTATCAGAATAATCTGAACATGTGATATCATGCTTCACATTTTGATAATGTACACAAGGTGAATAGCTTTGAAAGTTTCTGGGAATATGGAATATAACTTATTACATGTTTCAGTGACCTTGACTTTTGAACTTTTGATCTGAAAATGAGCATGACAAATAGAACACATCAAGGTGCATATACATAAAAAGTTTTAGGTTCCTAGCTCTATGCACTTTGATTTAATGGCCAGTTTTATCATGTCAGGTTCGAGTGACCTTGACCTTTAAACCTAAAAATGGGTGTGACTGGTAGAACTCAATTCAATGTGCATCTACATACAAAGTCTGGAGATCCTAGATCAATGCAATTTGCATAAATGGCCACTTTAATGATTTGTTATTACAGGTGTCAGTGGCCTTAACCTTTGACCTTATCAGGAAATATGTATGATATATAGAACTCATCTAGATTAATTTATAGCCAGTTTTGAAGTTTGAAGTTCAGTGCATTTTGCTTTAATAGCCAGTTGTATTTTTTGTGATTTCATGTCCCTGTGACCTTTGACCTTTTTACCAATTATTTGTCAGTCAGTAGTTTGTATTATAATTTCAGCAATTTAATGTGTCAATAAAGAGCTGTTCTGTTGGTTATAACAAACAATATCTTTTTTTCTGATTTCAGGAAATATTGTAGAAAAAATATCATCTGATTAGCCTAGAATGTCAGTTTACACTCCTAAAGAAAACCATTTAGTTAAACAACGGTTTGGTTCTAAAAATCAAGAACTCGATTCCTTTGGAAGATTTAGTGAAACAAAATATTTTGAAGGAATTGGAAGTATGGAAAAAGCAATGACACCATTTGAAGGTTCAAATACAGCAGATGAGACAATATCAGACAACATAGGTGGTCTGCCAGAAGTTTTAAATAGATTTTATGAACAAGGAATGAACAGTTTAGACACCGAGTTGACAAGCCAAATTTTATCCTCCATTAGAAACAAATTAACTTCCAGCATGAATCATTCACCTGAAACATCAAAAGAACAAGATGTATCTGAATTGACTTTAATTAAACAGGAAATCCAAGAGGACTTTGTTAATTATAATGATAGTTTTGATAATGAGCTTTCGTATCCCCAAACTTCACAGGCATATCATCAGAACCCGGTGAACCATTACTCAGCCTCTTCATTAGAATCCTGCTCATCTAATGTTAGTCCAGACTCCTCTCTTAATCCATCATATGCCTCATCTGCGTCAGCGTCGCCCAAGGAATTGCTACAATTTGGATTTGCCGAAACAGATTTTGGCCAGTCAGAGCAAGCGGTCAGTTGTGACTCTACACAGACTGCTTCAGGCACTGGAGGAGCGAAATTTAAACAGGCTTCAAAGCAGACAAATTTGCTGCCACCATGTAGGGTGTGTGGAGATAAAGCATCTGGTTTCCATTACGGAGCTAACACATGTGAAGCTTGCAAGGTATAAGTTTACTTAAAACTTCATTGTCTCAATCATAACACATATAATCATAACTCATATAAAAACAACTTATTTTTTATCATAGGACATATATTAATTGGACATATATTAATTTAGGTGCTGTATATAAAATTGTTATCAACTTATCTGCCTCTTGATCTTTCAGGGATTTTTTAGAAGAAGCTTGAAGAAGGACAGACTTGATTTCAAATGTAACGGTTCAAATAAGTGTGAGATTCAAAAGGGTAGACGAAATAATTGTCCCATGTGTAGGTACAACAGATGTCTTAATGCAGGAATGTCAAAACAAGGTAAGATATGGAAATTTTTTATGAATATTACGGAATGCCGTTAGGGCCATTGCCTATGAATGTGTTGATCTGAAACGCGATAGTCGATAGTACGATGGTGAAAACGCGAAATCACAAAACTACGATGGTGAAAATGCGAAAGCACGATGATGAAAACGCGAAAGTACGATGATGAAAACGCGACAGTACGATACTACGATGATGAAAGCGCGATAAACTGTCGTGTTTTCACCATCGTACTGTCGCGTTTTCACCATCGTAGTTTCGTGATTTCGCGTTTTCATCATCGTACTGTCGTGTTTTCATCATCGTACTATCGCGTTTTCACCATCGTACTATCGCGTTTTCACCATCGTACTATCGCGTTTTCATCATCGTACTGTCGTGTTTTCATCATCGTACTATCGCGTTTTCACCATCGTACTGTCGTGATTTCATCATCGTACTATTGCGTTTTCATCATCGTACTATCGCGTTTTCACCATCGTAGTTTCGTGATTTCGTGTTTTCACCATCGTACTATCGACTATCGCGTTTCAGATTAACACATTCATAGGCGATGGCCCTAACGGCATTCCGGAATGCCGTTAGGGCCATCGCCTATGAATGGTTTGAACTGAAACGCGATACTCAACAGTACGATGATGAAAACGCGAAATCACGAAACTACGATGGTGAAAACGCGACAGTACGATGGTGAAAACACGATAGTTTGTCGCGTTTTCATCATCGTAGTATCGTATTGTCGCGATTTCATTATCGTACTATCGCGTTTTCATCCTCGTGCTTTCGCGTTTTCACCATCGTAGTTTCGCGTTTTCACCATCATACTATCGACTATCGCGTTTTAGATCAATACATTCATAGGCGATGGCCCTAACGGCATTCCGTAGAATATAGGACAGTATTACTTTTTTGAGGGGAAAATAATATAATTGTAAAACTATATCAAAGAGGAATAATTTCAAAATCAATATGATTTATAATTGTACATATTCTTTCAATTATGGTAGTATAATAAATTAGCTGATGTTAATAATGGTTTTTTAACCTATGCAACCGGTTCAGACCAAAATCAGCCAAAATAGTTTGATATTCAATATGAATACCGGTATATTATAAATATATTCTGATATTTTCCGTAGAAATAATGAATGGTTTTGTCCAGATTGAAATATAAACATGTTCATATATTTTGTGAGGAAGGGTTAAAAAACAAGAATTACAAAAAGTACAAATGTTGGTTTCAGTGTGAATATTTTTCAGTGTTTCATAATTAAAAAAAAAAAGAATCTTGCTAAGTGTAGAGTATGATAACATATTTTTTGAAGAGGTGAATATCAAAAGGCACTGGAATACAAGTCTAGACCAATACAGCATAATCTCTAAGAGCTTTTAAAACCAAAAATTAATATTTTGTAGAATCTGTTAAATATGCATACCCACTTAAAACATTTTTAGTGGTGTCAGTACTTCTTTGCACCTTTTTGTGTCGCCTCTACGGAGTAGTGGCGACATATAGGGATCACTTCTCCGTCGTCTGTCACAAAACTTGTCCGGACTACTCCTCATAAACTACTGATGCAATTTCATCCAAACTTTACAGGAATGATCAGTACCAAGTCTAGTTGTGCACTGTCTGTCTGTCTGTCACAAAATTTGTCCCAACATGAAATTGGCCATTATGAAGCGACACATGTGATTACTGATCGCTCTTGTTTTTGAAATGTCAAAACATATGCTTTTTTCATGGTACATGTATATTGATTGAAATAAGGTAAGATCTCCAGGTGCAGATTCTGCAAGATTCTTTGTCAGAGTGAAAATTTCAACAAAGTCACCATGGCCTTTGAAGTGTCCTTTCATTTTATCTTTTCTATATCAGTAATCAGATGTGCACATATTTTCTGGACAAACAAGTCATGAAATGCATTTTAATACTATTCCATAGACCATAAAGAAAAACAGGAAGACAGTGTTTGCTTACTTTTTATATGAGCTTACAATCAAATATGCCTTTATTTACCAAAATAATTGGTAATGTTATATATTATCATCAATAGGGGTAAAAAGGTTGAAAATAAAATGTAGTAATACATGCACTTAAGGAATAATAGAAGAAATAGCATTATAATTAGCATTAAATTTCTTTATGTATTTCAGACTGCACATTAATGTTTTCCAATTTAATTTCTTCAGCCATTAAGACAGGAAGATATACACATGAAAAGCGGACACAGGACATTGTCGAGGTGAAAACTTTAAAGGGAGAACTCGGTCCACATTTCCTTCAGCCATCTTTTATCAAAGTAGAATATCCACCTAAAAGTGCAGCCAAGAAGACACTGAGTACAGAAAATCGACAATTGTTAGATTGTATCTACTCCGCTCATAAGCAAATTTTTCCATTTTGGCATAAAGTTCTTGACTCTGGATCTCATCAAATAAAGTCAAGAAAACATGCGGTATGTGGTTATTAAAACTTTATTGAATAAATAAAGAATAAAAGGACAAATGTAACACTTCACAGGCCTAGACATTATAGGTTATCCTGTTATACTATAATTATACCCATTGTCAACAGAGCAAAAGATGTAAAAGATACATGTAGTTCATCTATATGGCAAATGTTGTTGTAACAAAAAATTGTTTGTTTGTTTGATTGGGTTTTACGTTACACAGACACAGTATAGGTCAAATGGTGACATTCCAGCTTTACTGATGGAGAAAGACCTCAGGTGCCCTCCCGTGCATTTTTTCAGGCACGAACTGGCATCTGAGTAAAACCACTGACGTTCCGTAAGCAAGCTGGATAGCTTCCTCACATGAAAGAATCCAAAGTAACAAGAAATAAAAATGAAAACATTTCTGAGGCATAATGGACTTTTTAGTTAGCAGTTCAATAGAAGATTTTGCATTCTCTCCAGAAATTGATACATGCAGTTATGAATCAGGTCATTTGATTAATTTAAACTGACTTTGTAACATACCTTTTTATTTCCCATTTGTGTAAAAATGTAATTTTTATTTAAAGGAACTTCACTGAGGTCCATATGCCTTAAAATTTAAATTTGAATTTCTTACATAGATCAACAGAAACACTTAAAACAGAAAGATATGCAAAATGTAATAAATTAATTAATATTTAAAGTCATATTTTTGAGCCTTCTTTGTACTTGAGTGACAAGCCTTGCAAGACTTTTCAAATTATGTTCATTTTTCACAATTGGAATTATTATTCTGGAAAAACTGAGTCAATGAATGATCTAAAAATTTTGCACACTTTATCTATAAATATCTTCATCAAATGGAACATTAATCTCAAAAAATTAATAACAGTTCCGTCATGTGTAATAACCTAAATAGTGGAGTCCCTTTAATGAAAGAAATATATGTACTTGTCTATTAGTCTAAGCTTTGAACTCTTCCATGTGATGATGCTATACAGCTAGCTAATAGACTGTTGGTGTACTCTGGAGACTGCGTGTACTTTAGTAATAAAGCTCTTATGCATGTACTTGAGTATAAAGCGTTAAATGGGCACCTGATGTGTTCCTCTGCTAGTAAAGCTAGATATTCGCCATATAATCTTTATCATGTTACAGCATTGGTTTGATTCAAAACTAATTGAAAAATTAATTGTTTACCAGTTACCAAATATCTTTATTCTTCTCCTGTAATATTGATGAAAAATTCCCTCTAATTTTACTAAAACAGGAGCAGTATAGGATTAAGACAATTTTGAAATCTGAAACATCAAGTATGGTGTCCGAGGAGTGCAATAATGTCAACACTGAAAGTATGGTGGAGGAGGATGAACGTAAAAATACAATAGATACCGTCACAAAGCACATAGAGATCTCAATTATGGCGTTTGTCAGATATGCAAAGTCTATCCCAGGATTCACAGATCTTACTCTCAATGATCAGGCAGCTCTTGTCAAATGTAAGACCCATTTTTTACAATCTTAAATAAAGAACAAATATTAAATTTCAAATTGCTATTCTCTGTTAAATGGATATTTATTGTTGTTTTGATGCTAAAGAATAACAACTCAGACATACGGCCTTCATAGTCAATTACATGTACTATGCATCAAAATTTCAAACCAGTGTTAAGTAGCTGATAAAAACCTCTGAGATAATTATTATTTCTTAATTATTTGATGGAATTTGATATCTTTGTATATATTTAGATTGAGCTTTATGTGTGTGAAATTCTTTAGCCGAAGTACTGTATGATGATACTATCCTATTAATATGTATCCATTACAAAGTTTCTTTTTTATAGGAAAAAAAAATACATCCCAGGTTTGTTTTAATGAAAAAGATACTTGTTTTAGTCAATTACTTCTTTGTTTAGGTAAAGTTGGCACAGTTGTTCCTCCGCAGTTAATTCAGATGAATCATGTTGAGAATTTGGCAGTTATTTGTTGAGGAAACAGATCCTTCAGCTTATATTAGGAAACTGCCTTCTGATAAATGACTGAATATTTGTTATAACCCAGAGTAGTTAAACAAATGCTTTATAGTCTTTTTTTGACACACTGATAATTATATATAAAATGTAGATTTTATTTCTTATAGAAAACATTATCACAATTTTCTATATCTACAGTGTAATTTTCTATATCTACAGTGTCAAGGTTTGAAATCTGGATGATTGGGGCTCATAAGTTTATGGATTATGATCTGAAGGTGGTATCTGGGCCACGTGGGAACTCGTACCATATGGAAGAGCTTGCTGATGTCATGGATAAAGATTTTGTTAGCTCTCTCTTCAACTTCGCTCAATCAATGCAAGATATCAAACTGACCAATGAAGAGACAGCTCTGCTTAAATGTGTAGCCCTCACTTTTGCAGGTACAAACAATGTAGTTTTTTTTATATTCTATAGGTTCAGTGCCTTTTCTAGGTAATAAGTAAGTTGAAAAGCTACCTTTTTTCAAATGTTTCATTATATAACCAGTCATTACTTTTAAGAAAAGGGTCAAATCAGTTCAATTTTTCTTAGAAATTGAAGGAGCATTGATATTTTGGCACCTGTTTTGAATTTCTTTTGAATTTGGGGTGGGGTGAATATTTTGGAATATTTGGGAATCGGCTGATCAATTTCAATTCAACAGGTTAAATGTTGATGTAAAATAAGGTGAACACATTAAAATTGCTAGATGATAGAACAAGAAATGCAGTTTAAAATTTAACAAAAATGCGATAAGTTGGTAACTTATTTATTTTAGTTTGTGAAGGAAGGAAGCTTTAAGCTTAAAAAGAGACTGTGTAGCAATTATCAATAATTTCTAATATAAAATTTGTGCCTAGTATATATTTAAATGTTGACTTTTGTGGTTTGTTTAACAGATCGTAGTGAGCTACAAGAGCCGGATAAAGTGGAAGCTATTCAGCTGAGACTGACCAACTGTTTAGAAGAGTTGCTAGGAGACGGTCAGAGGTTTGCTAAGGTGATGAATGCCCTGATTCGTCTGAGAGATCTAACCGAGTGGAATAAAACTATCTCTGAAAACATGGTTCTAGAATGGCCAAATATGAAACAGCATCCTTTATTACTGGAAATCATGTCAGTTTCATAATGGAATACAGAATTATTTTTGTTTTGATATTTTTACTCTGGATCAATTTCTTTATATAGTTAGTAAGATTTGAACTAATTAGCACTTTTTGCAGGATATTTTATGTATGTTTAAATGAAGAGTAAGAAATCATACATGGTAGGAATCTTGAATGAAGGCAAGAATTCAAGTTTGATTGAAGAAACCTGATGAAAGAAGGGTTTAGTTCTTTTTTGTGCAAAATGATATTCAGGGTAACGTTTAATTAACATAGCAATGATATTTATATTGGTATGTGTGAATGTTATAAGTCTGTAAGGTATGTAATCTTGAATTACATACGAGGCTTACAGGAAATCATAAATTTGCAATAGTATACTATTATTTTAAAGTGGCATTTAATTAATGCATGTCTTTAAAATGCTGTTTGTGTATTATGTATCTGTTTTGTTTGTTAAACATATTGTTTTTCATTTGACAATCAAGAGAAGGTTTCCTTCTTTAAAGTAAGTGTTTGCCCGTAACATTAACAAATATTGCATATATAATTTCGTTGTTTTGACAAGGTCTCAACTATAAGCAGTTTACATACATATTCATTATTGTATGTGTATTGAAATTGTGTAATAGAAAAGTGTGTTTATTTTTCTTAATTGTGTTCTGATGAAAAATTTATTTTTCCTTTAAAATCAGGGTAAAGAAACATGTGCATATCATGTCATATTGTTTGATCTCTTTCATTTACTATCACATGTACAATATTTGTAATATAGTGTTCTCATTTTCTTAGTTTATGATATTTATATTACTATATTATGTTGAATTTTCTTTGTTAAGTGTCTGTTATGTTAAAGTGACAATATGCTGATCCATAAGATAAGATGTAACCATCAAAGAGTAATTTTAAGATATGATGTAACCATCAAAGAGTAATGTTAAGATACATGTAAGATGTAACCATCAAAGAGTAATGTTAAGATAAGATGTAACAATCAAAGAGTAATTTTAAGATAAGATGTAACTATCAATGAGTAATGTTAAGATAAGATGTAACAATCAAAGAGTAATGTTAAGATAAGATGTAACCATTAAAGAGTAATGTTAAGATAAGATGTAACCATCAAAGAGTAATGTTAAGATAAGACGTAACCATCAAAGAGTAATGTTAAGATAAAATGTAACAATCAAAGAGTAATGTTAAGATAAGATGTAACAATCAAAGAGTTATGTTAAGATAAGATGTAACTATCAAAGAGTAATGTTAAGATAAGATGTAATCATCAAAGAGTAATGTTAAGATAAGACGTAACCATCAAAGAGTAATGTTAAGATAAAATGTAACAATCAAAGAGTAATGTTAAGATAAGACGTAACAATCAAAGAGTTATGTTAAGATAAAATGTAACAATCAAAGAGTAATGTTAAGATAAGATGTAACAATCAAAGAGTTATGTTAAGATAAGATGTAACTATCAAAGAGTAATGTAATGCTAAGATGTAACCATTAAAGAGTAATGTAATGATAAAATTTAACCATCAAAGAGTAATGTAATGCTAAGATGTAACCATCAAATAGTGACTTTAATAAAGTATTTGGCAATGAAAAGTTGAAATATAAGATGTAATTGTCAAAGAATAATGTAATGATGTAATCAACATAGCAAACTTTAATGATAAAGTCATCAAAAAGTAATTTAATCCTGTATTTGAAATGATAAAATGAAGTTATCAAGGAGAAATTTATATAATGATATAATGATGTAGTCATTAAAGTGAAAAATGAATTTATCAAAGAAAAATTTAATGATAAGGTGTATTCATCGAAGAAATGTATTAGTAGTAAAATGGTTACAATTAGTTAACAAAAATGAATTTGTTACAGTATAGGTAAATGAAATGATTGGAGGTAGTCATCCGATATAAATGAGATAATATGAAGTAGTCATAAAAGATTAATATAATTTAGTCAATATATAGGAGCATAACTTTTAATGAAAGTCATTAAAGATGAATTAAATCTTTAAATGTAGCAATATGATAATATGTAGTCAATATTTATGGATATTATTATATGATGTAGTCATAAAGGAGGATTATACTAACAAGATTTAGTCATTAATGATAATAACACTAATGTGATGTAACCGTTTAGTATTATGATTGCATGTGACCAATGAAAGAGAATTTTTTTTAACATATTTAATCAGATATTTTTATTATTATTATAATTATAATGCTATAATCCAAAACTCTGTATTTTTAATTTAAACCGGTGTCTTCTTTAAGTTTTAGATTTTGAAATATTGCAGCCCAAAGTTTTTACAGGAAATATATTATCATGTATATGAGAATATTTGTATATGTTTGTATTGAAAGTTGTTTATATCCAAATCCTACAAGTTATTTGCAACATCTTCAGAAGAATTTCATTGCCCATTTTCTTTGAAAGGGAGAGTGCACGATAGGAGATAGATTTAACTTTGGGAATCTACTTGCTATTAAAGTGTGACCATTTAACCAGAAATGCTGACATGGAAAATTGTTTAATATACTGCTTATATTCCAACTTATATAAGGGATAGTCTGTCTGCTAACAAAAGCTGTGGTATAACAGGGCTTCCACTAGGAATTTTTTTTAGGAAGTCAGGACTTCCTTTCAAGGAATTTTGGAAGTCATGAGGTAAATTTCTGGAAGTCAGTTGTTCTTACGCGTATAATTTTCATGTTTCAATGTTTGATTTATAGTATGGGATGATACAAGTAAAAGCAATTATTTTAATCACAAGATTCTAAAAATGTCATTCCTTTTAATGTTTTAAGTTCAAAGTATCTTTACATGATTGTTGGGTAAATATTTTCAATAGAAGTAAGAACATTACCCTGAAAAGGACTGTATTGTTGTTATTTAAGGACAGTGGTAACCGTGTAGAACGTGATAACATACAAATAATTGCTCATTGGTGTAACAAAAAAAAAATATTTCCAGAAAACTTTTAATTCTTATACTATAAGCATCACTTATTATGTTCATTTTTTCTAAACGAAATACAATGTATTGACTGCCATTTAAGTTTTTCATTAAGAATACTTTCTGGTTTTGTTCATAATTCCTGTTTCATATACATGAAGTGTACAGTAAATACATGTAGTTTAATGTCTTATAGAAAACCGTGCTTAGTGTTTTCTTTTTCTAGAAAAAGCCTGGTTTAATCTTATGGAGCAGGGATCCAATAACCTAACTTTGCATTCCTTTATACATTTGTACATTGTTTATTGTAAAAGTTTAGCACATCATAGTTCACTTTCTTTATTTACTATGTGCTTCAATTTGTGTTTTCTGTATGTAATTAAAACCTGCCTGCATAATAATTCAATTTGTATTAAATTAGAAAAAGCATGAATGTGATAAAAAAAATGATATAAAATTTGTGCCTTTTTTCAGTCCTTTTTTTATACACAAAAGCATTCCAAAATTACGGGAAAAGCAGTTTACCAAAGATGATTTTCTTGTGATGATTGTACATAATTTATATGGGATGTATATGTCTCTCTTGTTATAATTTCTATTGATAGTATATTTTGATATAGTTTATGATCATTATTGACTTGTTATTGAAATCTGATATATATAAAGTTATTTTATATTAATGGCATTTCTTATTTAACCCTTAACCGTAGTTGTGAGTAGCTTGACGATCAACAGCCAGGTCAACCTGCACATCTAGGCAGGCTGACCTGGTTCGTTACTTTTTCACTGACATGATTTTATGTTCATTTAAATATCCTGAAGATGGATTATAAATTGGACAGTATCAGAAAAAGGAAGTTATGGTAAATAGGTTTATTTAACAAACTTGGCAGGTTATGGGTTAAATTGATGTGTTGTTGTTTTTTTTTACCAATAAAACAAACTGAATATTGGTGAGTGTATCTATCCGTGGTTTCCGTTTTAGAAAATCATTGCTAGACTTTTAAGATGGTGAAAACAATGTGATATATAAATTTATTATATACATGTACTTATAAATGAAATATTAAGAAATGTTGATGAAATAAAAATGTATATTTTCATTTTTCATATTTTCACTGTAAAAATTTATTTTTCACTTCAGTGAAACAATTGTTTTTGGTATTTTCACTGGTGTTTTGCTGGACTACTTTGTTCTGAGTTCAGCCTATACAAAATATTTAAGGGGAAGTCTTTCAAATGGCAATATAAAAAAAAGGAAAATGTATATAATTAACAAAAAAATTAAGTTTTTTCTATAAATACAGGATTTATTTTCATCTTGTACTATGAAAATTATCATATTTCACTCAAGGCTACTGTTTCTCATGAAATATTTATTTTCATACCAATAGATAAAAATAAATCTAGTATTTATAGGAAAAAAACTTAAATTTCCTGTAATAACTATGTACTGAATAAATAAATTGACTAAGGCTGTTTTATTATAAAATCTATAAATACATATAGCTTTTATATTGCTCATTTAGGATTTCCAGAATGTTTATTTTTATGAAAAGAAACTGTTGAAAATGCTCTGATAAGGACCTGTTAATATTTTTACTAAACCAATACAATGGAAGGCATTTCAATCTATTTATAGATTAAATGAAAATTTTCTATATTTGATAATTGCTTAAAGTCCAGTGTCACAATTTGTTTTAGTTTTGCTGTAAAGTGATCCAATGTCTGACTGCTGGCTCTTATTGTTTTTGTTTTTTTAATTTTCTCAGCTTTTTTTATGCTGTTTCTGGAAAAAGTCTGATTATATCCACTAGTTTAGATAAGTTATGAGCCAGTGTGGAAGACCACTGTAATCGCCATGTTAGACCATATACATGATTATATAGAAAATACAGCTGTCATTTAAGGCTAATATTCTTACTTTCCTTACTGACTTTTGTGATGCTGTAAAAGACCACATTCTGAATGATTCACATATTAATGTAAAAAATATTTGGAAAATTTAGTCTTGTAAATCAAACAGTTTGGTTTGTTTTTGTACTTTTGATTTTTCAATGCCATATCTATTGTCTATGTAAAAGTAGGTTGAACAGATAAAAGTTGAAAATTTCCACTCTGGCTGTGAATGTATGGCTATATGAGGATGACATGGGAAACTATCCTTAAGGTCAAAGCCTAGTCTTAACATTTTGATTGCTTACAAGATATATTAGGGGAAGTAACTACTGTCACATTTTGTCTAGGTCATATTTTTCTAGTCTTTATTTGCATATCTAAATACAATACAGTTCCTAACTGAGCTAGCTTAGGAAAGGTCAGTGGTTTCTACACAGGTGCCCACTTGTGCCTGATATAATATATAAAAGGGGCACTTCAGGTCTTCTCCCATCAGTAAAGCTGGAAAGTCTCCATTAGACCTTTACAGTACTGTTGGTGTGATTTTTATCATACTTTATATTTTAACAGACTTGTCCTTGTTCGATCTGGATAAAATCAGTTATCATTTTGAGGGAAAATTTTGATATATATACTGACTGAATAGGAAACAGTGCAGACCATGACCAGAAGGCCAAGCTATGCTGACTGACCTTGATCTGCACTGGATGCATGGGTGTAATCAATTGTCACTAATTGGACTAATAGCTAAAGCCTTATTTAATCAAAAGGAAAATACACTTAATACATCACAACATTAATGTCCATATAACCATATGTATACATGTTTGATCTTCAGCCAAGTTGCAAAAAATTAATGTCACCTACTAAGTTGCCGCACATTTTTTAGCTTGAAGCTAAAAGCTTATTTGAACTCTAGAAAACCGTTGTTACTGGATCAAAGATCCATGGGTTTAGAGCAAATACTTTGACCATACAGCCTACACTCCCTTTTTAATATCACACAAACAATAGCTTAAACTTGTGTCATTTATTTTCATTCCATACATGTGTATATATTAAATATAACATGAACATGTATTTCCCAAACTTGTGTAGTTTACTTACAGTGCTTTGTTTACTGAAACATTGTCTAATGTGAAAAATGAGGTTAACTTTTACCGTTATCTCTCCGTTTTATCAGGGTTTATACATTGCTTAAAACTTTTTTATACATATCTAATGAAATAACGTCACTGATATTTCAGTTCAGGGTCAACAAAGACTTCCCTATCTCTTGATGTTTAATTGGGTTACCTAATAAAGTATTAATATATATACTGTATGTAATAATGTTAAAGGGACTCCACTGAGGTTTAAAAGCCTAAAAACATAACATTTTAATTTCTTACATAAATGAGCTGGGGCGCACTTTAAACAGAAATATATGTAAAGATAGTTAAGAAATATACTTTGAAATAAATTGAAAATCATATTTTTATGCTTTCCTTGGCCCTATTTGAGTAAAAAATGTTTAAATGCTTTTCATTTTGGGTCATTTTTTACAATTTGAATAATTATTCTGGAAGAACGAAGTGCGTGAATGATCTGAAATTTTGCACAAAGATTAGTGGTCTAAACCAGACTGAGTACATCAAATGGTACATTTATCTGGAAAAAATATTTTCAGTCCCATCATGTCAAAAAACCTCAGTGGAGTCCCATTAAAATAGGGTATTGCTATTTGTATCTTTATCAATATACAAAGTAATGCTGTTTTTTGTAATGTTAACTTTCATTTGACAACCTGATGTTTAATTATACTATCTATATACACAGCTGCAGCAATATTAAAAGGACTTAAAATACTGAAAAATATTTTTATGAGTTTTCTTTTCCATTTGCAGTTCCAAATTCAATGCAAGATAAGTTTATTACTCAATTTAAGTATTGTAATGGTTAAAAGTTACTTTATATGTACTTGCTGGAAATCTTCAAATCGAGAATATGGTAACTTAATATATTAAACTTTAGGCTTTGTTATTTTAGTTGTTACATTTGCTTGGAGATATAAATGTTTACCAAGACTGTACTTTCCTGTCAAATTAAAGATTTTGTACATTTTATTTTCATTGCAAATACAATTTAAACCCATCTTTATGTAACAGTATTTGTTATGGGGAAAAGTGGGATTGAAGGATTTTGTTGAAATTAAAAGTTTGATTATTTGATTTTTGCCAAATGATATCGTGTTTACCTTTTGTGTCAATTGTTATGTATATGATCTAGTGTTTAATAACAGGTTTAATTGTACATGTACTAAAAATATTCATATGTATGAAAATGAATTAAATGATTGCAAAAATACTGTAACTAAAGAAGATACACATTTTTTCCAACAAATTCTTTATACACAATGAATTTTCAAGGAATTCTGTTTTATTTCTGTGTGTAATTTAGTAAACTTAATCATGCTTTGTAGAATTTGTTCCAGATTTCTGGTCTGGTAGCACTAAATTCTGATGAAAATATTTTACACTATCATTGGGCTGGATATACATTCCAGTGAAATATACATTTTTATTGTTAGTGTGTATGGGTTATTATTTTTTGTTGTTGTTTCACATTTGATAGGCGAAATAATTTCTATGAAATATTATTTTTGTTTTGTTCATACTTATAATATGACAATCAAAATAAATTCTCACTAAATATTTTTTTGTTTTGTTTGATTTAGAAAAATCCATGATGATTCTTCCTTGTACCAATAAGGGAAGTAACTGCCGTAAGCAGTTAAAGGTAGATTGTCCAGCTTTATGCAGGGACAATCGCGCGGCGCCACTACTGTAAAAGGGTTATAGAATTATTCCAGCACTTTTTTTGTTGCGTTCTTCCTGAATACTTGAAAAAGTTTATGTAAATGGCCTCGTATTAAACTGCTGCCAGGGGATTCCAGGCAATACGCTTCCATAACAGAACTTAAATAATTATGTACATAATGTACAGTGTTTGTGTGTATCGTTTACCTCACATGTTTGGAGCTTGCTCCATCCTTTCACAATCATATATTTTTTTTCACAATTGCTTAATGAAAATTCATAAAATGGTCAATGAACTTTTAATCGTGAGAAACAGAGCCCTTTATACAGGTGTTTATCATGAATCAACGCGTTTTCAAACAGACCCCCCCCCTTTTTTTATAGCATTAAATAGGGCTATATTCACAAATAATGACATAACTGCGCTAATTTTCACAATTTAAAGTGCGTCTGACCCGTTCACAAAAGACTGGAAAAAAACACTGATATATATCGTAATATACTATTCAAAATTTGATAAGGGCCACGGTTTTTCTCCAATGACAGCGTCGTTAAACATAAAATTGAACCCCCAAAAAGTTTATAGCGTGAATTTCTTTGACGGCATTAAAACATTTCTGAATTTCTGTGCTTTTGTTTTAAATTTGCAATTCAGCGTTAACTTTGTGTAAGTAAGTTGATATAATGAATCAAAATGTAAGAAGGCGACCAACGCCTGACGAGATGGATAGTGGAGAATACGGTAACTTAATATATTTAACTTATCTCATGGTATGTGGAGGAATACTTGGCAATGGCAAAATAGACTTCTGCACCTTGAAAGCTGAAAAGTATTGTCACGAGATTCAAATGACGTATATGTGCGACAATTTGCAGGTGCATTCAGGGCAATGACTACATACTGCATGCCTCATAACCCAACCTTTCACGTGAAACAATAGAGCTCTTGTCTTGGCTTGTCAGATCCCCAGACCTTACTCCAATTGAACATGTGCGGGACATGCTTCAGAGGCTCAGTTATTGTCGTTCTGAGCAGCCGGGCACTCTTGCAGAACGTCGTGCTGCCATATAAGGGGAGTGGAACAGAATTCCACAATTTAAGATCAATCTGCTCATTAACAGCATGCCCAGACGCTGCCAGACTGTAAATAATGCCAATGGACAGTCTATAAACAACTGGAACTTATTCCATGTAGCCTTCAAAGAAATAGACAAATTTCCGGGATTTATGAATTTTACACACATGCTTAAGTTCAATAATACAACACAAATGATTAAATTCATAAACAATACAAACAAAACTTAATGTATCATAAACTATTCAATGTGTCTAAACCATGATGATTACACGCTACAAAAGTTGCCCTTATGAAATTTTGAATAGAATATCGAGTTAAAATGGTAAAAAAAGCCCAGTCATTTGTCCGAGAAGAGTATACTTAATGACCAAGAACATTTTCAAATGTCTGAAAGTTTTAAAAGAATGACAAAGACTTTTCTCACAGAGATATTCTTTTAATATTTCTACTTAGGTAAATTCAAACCATGCACTATTTGAAATTCTTTAATCACACAAGAAATATTTGAAACCTTCTTTGTTTTTAAAATTTTAAAAACCCATCAGAAACTCTGGACCAATAATAATTTTTAAGCCCAATCCATCGGAAAGAAATTTCGTGGCATGTCTTGTGTGTGAATGTTTGCAAATGCCGTTACAATCAAGTTCCAATCAAATCATTGTACTTCAGGGATAAAGGAAATAAAATTCCACCAATCTTCATCGGGACATTTTGTTGCATTAATTATTAAATGGACATTACTTGAGGACAAAAATCATTCCCGCTGCAATATTTAATGTTTCAAAAATTATGTAAAACCACAATTTTACAAGGATAACATTTTGCTGCTCAACTTTTTTTACCCTGGCCATATACGTATTTTTTAACAGGAGATAACAGGGAAAATACAACAAATTTTCCCGTTGGCCACTTGAAACAACATGTCCTGCAGTGGCCGAGTAGGCCTTTGTTACGCCCTCAAACGATTTAAAACTTTTTTAATAAATGTCTAATTTACCAGTAGGTAGTGATAATATTCATTGTTCGAACAAATATTTAAAGCTAATTTACAAAAGTGCTTAATAGATAATTTTTCTTTTATTGCAAATATTTTTTTTACCAAAAAGGACGAATCTATTGCCCAGCATAATATTTAAAAAAATCAAACGCGAAGGGTAACTATTGTTAAGGGATGTATAATTTACATTTTGCGATATCACCTTTCTCTTTCAAAGTTATTGATCGCACATTACAGTAATATAATATATATTTCGTTTTTCATAGAACATACCTGAATCTGGGTAACATATTCTACATGCATCACACCGTTGCCCTTTGTATACTATGTACGTATTCCTCTTTGAGTATCCGGGTTGACATGGTGTATCGTAAAAATTGCAATGAAGTTCGCTCCTCGCAGGACAGTCACTACACACTAAAATGTAGAATAAGAAAAAATATAATTAAACACTCATTTTAAAAGTATATTTGATTTTTGTACTACAAATGCACCAAACAAATGTGCCAGATTGTGGCAAATTACTCACAACTAGAAACAATGGAAGGGGGGGGGGGAAAGAAATTGTTGAAGAGATCATCCTAGCTTCTATGAACGCCAAGAAAACCTTTGATGGAAATCGAAGTTATTAGTCTGTGTCACCAGTTTAGTCTCACTAGGCTGTTTATTGTTGGTAGCTTTCTTTTTCTTTTATTTCTATATTGAAAAACATAGAATTTTGACAAGAATGTTTCAAATTTAAAACAGGGCAAATTTATTACACAAATTCAACAGGTTAAGGGTTAAATTTACTGCGAAGTCGTCGTAGCATTGTATTTATAATTATGTAATTTTTTTTTAATTTATTCTAATAAGTTATATGAAAATATAATGAACGTAAAACAAAGTAATCTTTGAATATAAAAAAACACAACATTTTTAATGAATCATGAAAACAATGTCTGTTGTAACTCACCATAAGAGACGCAAATAAACAACGAAATAACGAAAAATAATTTCATGTTTCCAGTGCGAAGTTAATCCAAAATAGCAACGCTGGAATGTACTTCGCAAACTTATACCTGACAGTAACGCGCCTCTAGCGGCACGGCAATATGTTGCACGTGTTTCTCTCAGGGTTAAAATAATGTTTTTGACAAGTAAATAGATCATTTGAAGCGATGATAATCTGTTCTTTTCATAGTATATAAATTATTATATATATATTATTTATATATGTTGTATAGCTTTTGTCGAGCCGATGTTCAATTACCTATAATTAAATACATGCATCTAATGAATAGCATCACAGCCAATTAGATTTATTTAGTTATTAACATTCAACTATAGTTGGACGAGTAAACAGCTGTGGTGAGTAATCAAGCTGTGTACTTACTAAATATAATTATATATTATTATATTATTATCATCATTACATATGTTTTTGAGGGGTATGAAGGAAATTTAATTGAAAGCATATACTGTATATATACCACTTTCTTACACTGCAGCAAAGGTCCTTTATGCCTCGCATATACTTTTATTTTTATTTCTCATAAGACTAAGCTTTTGCTGTACTTATATAGTATTACAAGATTAATCACTGGCATATTACATGAATCATCTTTCATTTCAACTGTTGCTTTTTAGAAATAAATACAAGTATAGTGAATTAGTATTTTGTATGGAAGTTAAAATACTACTTTATTTACATTTTACAACTTTTATGACAAATTATATCACATTTATAGTTACTTTCTCCTAGTAACAAATATCTTACATTCTGTTTAAGCAATATTTAAATGTTGTAAAATTCAGGTTTGCACTTTCAAAAGAAGTTTGAAAATTATTTCTAACTTAAAGGCAAAATATGCATTTAATTAAAAATATTTAATAGATATGTTGATATTGTTTAGTAATTATAGTCTGATCTCAATTTGTATAAATGCCTCGTTAAACATTTTGACATTATCCTCATATTACATGTTGTATGCACGTTTGAGTGAATAAAAGATGTGTTGTGTTGTTGTTATATCAAATATTCAAACATATTCCAAATGAACAATTTTGCTGTTTACATTGTTTTGTAACTTTTGTAGAGGTAGGAGGGTTAATTGTAGGGTGGGTAAAGACGGGGAAAGTAGCAGCCAATCAACGCGCCAAACATCTGTGTTCATGGAGCTTAAACACTTAATTGGTACGCTAAAGAACCGGGAAAAGCTTCTGGAATCGGGACATCTTTCTGTTTCTGTATCTTGCACTATCCTACAAAACCTCCAAAATCTAACATGACGTATACTCTTCTGGTATGGGCAACCTGAGGCGAGTATAAAATATCTCAAATACACATACAAATTATAGATCTTCTTTAAATCCCCCCGGAGGCGTGCACGTCGCAGAGAAGGCACACAACAGGTCAAATTCAAGTTATCTCAAGTACCAGAGATGATTGATTGACATGTCGTGACTAACTCAGGAGGCGAACAGAGGCTATTTTTAGATGATACTTTGGCATATATATATTTGTCGTATCTGACCACCGACAAACAAAGAACGGGCTTGAAATGTCGCCGCTGGATGTGGGTAATTTGACCGGACCCAAAAATGAACAGATATTGTGACCCATGTGGGTTCGTCCCGGTGGCCAGTATAAAAACACCTCGAAAACAACAACAAAAATAAGAGATTTAAAGAAGAAAAAAAGTATTTACTTAGAACTTGTAAACGAGGTACATCTGCCAGGTAAAGATGTCTATATGGGTACAATAACAGAAACATATTATAAAACATAATTACTAACATATACATGTATATGGTATCAGTTAGTTCGAATGTCTGGTGGTTGTCAATCATCACAATTTGTATAGAAGAAGTGAGAGCGTTAAGTCATTGCTCTAGTGTTTGCCAGTTTATATCTATTTACACACTACTTTTGTAATAAATGTGTACATATCTAACAGCTGATCTTCAAACCTGTTCAGTCTTTAAGTTACAATATATGCTAACAACATATAAAGTAGTTCAACTGTTTTCAGTTGTAGGCTATGCCAACTTTTAAATTATTACATATTCTGCATAGGTCTTTACGTGTTACTATACTGTATATACTGCGATATATTTAAGATGTATTCAATACTGTCATGGTTCATAAGAACATGTGACATCAAATACAACATTGTGAACATGTAACAACTGGAAACACCGAAAAATATACATAAACTTAATCTATACATCTTAACTTTTTGAAAAATTACTATTTGAACAGCTCTCTGCTTATTTTGATGATATATTTGACAATTATTTATGTGCTTTTAGGAAAGGCCATGGGTATCAAACAACTCTGTTAAGACTGCTTGAGGACTGGAGATAGGCCCTGGACAACAATGAATATGTGGCAGCAATTTTGATGGACTTATCTAAGGCATTTGATTGTCTGCCACGTGACATTCTTTTAGATAAGTTAAGAGCATATGGCTTATCAGGCCCTGCCACCAACCTCATGCAGTCTTATCTGTCAAACAGGAAACAGCAAATAAAAATAGGCAATATTGTAAGTTCATGGGCTGATATATCCAAAGGTGTCCCTCAAGGATCAATCCTGGGCCCTCTACTGTTTAATATTTTCATAAATGACATATTTTTCTTTATAAAAAAATGTACTTTATATGACTATGCAGATGACAATACCCTTTCGTTTCGTACTAAATATTTTGATGAACTAATATGTACCTTAGAACAAAAAAGTAACGATCTTATAAATTGGTTTCATTTTAATAAAATGCAAGCTAACCCTGATAAATTTCAAGCTATTGCTGTAGGGAAGAAAACTTTCACTAAATCCCCAGCTTTCAAAATTAATAGAAGTGAAATAACATGTGACGAAATTGTAAATCTCCTTGGCATCGACATTGATCAACAATTAAATTTTAATTCTCATATAAGCATTATATGTAAAAAAGCAGCTAATCAGTTAAACATCATCAAAAGAATAGGTCACAATTTAAATCAAACAAATAGGTTAACAGTCTTCCATACTTTTATATTGTCTAATTTTATTTTTTGTCCTATGTCATGGCATTTCTGTTCAGAAAATAATACTAAAAAGATGGAAAACTACAGGAAAGAGCACTTAGATTTGTCTATAATGATTTTAATTCAAGTTATGAAGATATGCTGATAAAAGTTAGTATACCAACTCTAAAAATAAGAAGAATGAGGGCTATAGCCATTGAAACTTTTAAAAAAAGTTCATGATATGTCGCCTGCTGTTCTGTCTGACCTTATTGTCAAGAAAACATCTTGTATAAATTTTAAATATTCAAATATTTTGCAGAACCCGCAAGTAAGAACTACAACTACTGGTAAAAAATCTTTCAGGTATGCTGCACCTCCTTTATGGAATTCTCTACCTGACAATTTTAGAAAATGTTCAGATTTTGCTTAATTTAAAAAGTTTATTTCATCCTGGAATGGTAAACAGTGTAAATGTATTGCTTGCAGCTAACTTCTATTTCTTTATTTACTTCACTGTTGTTTATTTTTCTGGATATGAACATTTTTTGGTCTCATTTATTATTATTATTATTGTTATTTTCATTATTTTTTGTGCTTTAAAGGTGTTTTTGCCTTTCTTCCCTGCATGATTCTTGCTTATGTTAATATTATCATTTAGTTTCTAGATAGGATGTTGCTTTATTTGTGATCCTTTTTTTCTCTTTTTGCTTACCTTTCCAGCATGACTCAAGCTAGCTGTTAAATGAGTTCAACTGTTGACTTACATGTATGATCCCTTCTGTCTTTTTGTATTTGTCTGATAACCAATACTATTGATTATAGTCTTTCATAATTAAATCATATATTATAAAAAAATAACTGTATGTTTTTTAGTATTATTTATTTATTTATTTAACTATTCATTAAATTTTTAATTGTTTTATTGGTTTATTCAGAGACATAGATTATCTATGTCTCTGGTTTATTATTTAACTTTAAGTTAATTTTTTTTAGATACTAGACATTGTAAGCATATCTAAATATACAAGCTAGTGATGTAAAATTTTGGTAAACTATCATTTTTTAGTTTTTAGCATCTGATTCATTTTTATAAAAATATCTAAAAAGGACTATTTTATGTATACATCATGTCTAATCAATTTTTATTGTAGCTGTTTTATCTTTGTTGATCATATACATAATGATATATACTGTTGATCTTATATTTAATGTTATATACAGTCGGTTATAAAAGCTCCTAGGGCTTATGTTGTACTGTTGAAAACTTGCCGACTTGATATAAAACTTATCTTATCTTATCTTATCTTTTCTTATAAAACAGGAGAATGAGGGACAATTGTATTTAACCCGTTAATTAAAATAAAGATATAACTAGATTCTTAATAATAACCGAAATATATGCTTCATTTACAAATTCTAGGAGAATCATGATACTTTTTTCAATGCATTAGGATATGATACCTATATAATAGAAATAAACATCAAAAACAGTTGAGGTCTGGATTACCTGCCCTTTGTCTACAATAGAAGCTGGGAACCAGACTAAAACAGTTGTTACTTGTATACTAGTCTGGAGTTCCTTCCCCTTTCGCTACGCAATTTGTTAGATGCCGGGAACCAGAATACTTGTATACATTAATTAGCTCTTTCTGTCTCATTGTTTCCTTTAGGTTAAATTGTGAATCATGAAAGCGCTTGCATGTTTCACACAAACGCTTAACGAAACACGAAAACGAAAGTTGACAAATCGGGAAGTTTGACTAATTTTTTTTTTCAACATGTAAATTCCAGATAAATTTTTAAAAAAGAAAGTTCGGTGCAACAAAATGTCGCGACTATTTGACTTAGACCCTCCCGTAGCGGGAATGAACATGAATATCGATGAAGACAAAGATTTGTCTCCGTTTGATGACGGTGGAATAAGAAAGGTTTTGAAACATCATGGACACGGTGATGATTATCCCAATGCAGGCGACACTGTAACTCTACGATATGTTGCCTATGTCGGAGAAGATATGGCTGATGAATATATTTTTGATTCGTCTGAACGCGATGGAAAGGATTTTGTATATGAAGTTTGTAGAGGTAATTTTTGGGGTATTCAATAATTCATCAGTCATTGGCTAGCTGTACGTGCCCTAGTCAAAATAATTATACTGACGTGCCAAAAATAGATTCTGAGACATTTTCGTTCGGTTAAACATTGTAGAGTCAATACTCACTGTTGAGGCTAGTCGTACGGAATTTTTATGCCACCAGAGCATCTGCGATGGCAAATATATATTGCGATTCATTTGTGTGTGTGTTTTATATAGGATGGCCCCCTATGATACCATTGTACTTATTATTTCCAGCATATTGTACAAGTAAAAAGAACTTATACTTACCTTTTTATTAAATTGTGTTTAGCTGTCGCAACTTGACTTTAAAATACACATAAAATACATCTACATCTACATTGTATGTCGGCGCAATCACACTTGATTATAACGCAACGGGTGGTGCTAGGTCAAGTAAAAGAAATATACAAGAAATGATAGAAAGTTAGAAGAGGTTGGATAGGTCAAAAGGAAGAGATATAGACAAAAGGTCTGGCCAGCTACATTTTGCCTCTTCAACCGAAACCTCTCCGGTTACGGTGGCTGCGGCCGACACAGCCTTGGATATCACTAGTGGGTACTTGTAGCTGGGCCCCTATGCGGATTAGAATGTGAGGGCTGATAGCCTCTGCTTGAAGGATACCAAGTCAGGGGCTTCTGCAACGGAGGCAGGTAGGCTGTTCCACGTTGTGGCTGTACGATAAACTCAATGTCTGCATGTATCGTCAGTCAGGCATGTTTTGAATAGGAGCTTAAACAGAGAGCACTATGAAACCATGGTATGTTAATTGATGGCCCTTTTTAGCTTCAGTATATTTTTTTTCAACAGAATATGACATCAATACAGTTTCAGCAGACGACCTTCACTTGTCAAAATATGAAATTATCAGTTTAATTGGTAAATATGGGGTAAAAAAAAGAAGTATTTTTAACACACATGGGCATCTTTGGATTTTCCTATCATCAATGATTGACAGAAATTTATTTGAAATGAAAATATTTCTATCAATTTCTATCCCAATTCAAAAAAGCAGCACTTCCACTTTCATTTTAATGGTGGAAACAGTATTTGATTTGATTTCTGTGTGTAAAGAACAACATTATCTGATTACACCGGAAGGACACTGAACCCATGGGGAGAACTATAGATTATATATTGAACTTAAAAAATCTTCTTTCTTCTTGGATTGACAAAGGCTAGAGGTTAGATATTTGTCATGAAACATTGGGTAGTGGACCTCTACCAAGGTTGTTCAAATTATAGCCCTGGGGTCTAAATTGGCCTAGCCCCTGGGTCATTGATTTTCATTTTGTACATATAGTAAAAACTTAAAAAATCTTGTGTAGAAGGAAAAAACTTACATTGGAATTTCTGATACATGTTCTTAAAAAAATGTCTTCCTGTTTATTCACTGATGAAGAACATACTAGTTCGAAATCGATATGAATAAAAAATAATTGAATGTACGCGTGTGGTTGGTCTTATTGGAATCATATGATACATGTTCTGCAATTTTTATGTAAATTATTCAATAGCTGGGAGTAAGTCTAAAGGTCACGATTTTCAGAGATATTTATGAAATGATTCAGATCAGGAACTCTGGCAAGACATTTGTGAGATTTTTAGTAGAGATATTAAATGAATCAATTTGAGCACATTATATGGACATTATGATTCACACCATGTATTTTATAATGACTATGTTTTTAGAAATTGGCAATGCTTAATTGAAAAGATGGTATTTAAGAAAAAGTTACTGTTCTTGCATTTCAAAGTTTAATACAGTTATGTTATACAGTGAATACCTATTTTTTGTCAATAAAAATACTTTTATTTTTGACTATGGCCTTTGCATCTTAACATTAGACACATGTGCACATGTGTCTAATGATTTGACATGCTGAAATATGACCTTGACCCCCAAATTCACTAGACACTACTGCATTATTGCAAAGTTTTATTGTATAGTAACAAGAAAAATCTACTTCTGTTATATTAATATGGTGGCATAGCATTTTTTCACAAATGCATTCATGTTTTCAATTATAAATAATTGCACTGATGAAGTCAGTAACTTGCAGGTCTTATTTCATTTTTACAAAGAATTATTTTTACAGATGATGTTTGCCATTTATATTATACGATATCTGATAGATCTATCCGGAATAAGTTCACCTTTAATTAAAGAGTTTTCATGAGCTGATGGAAATGCTGTGTTATTTACAAGTAATAATTAAAAAAATGATTTGCCATAATCTAACCCCTGGAAAATTTTGACTCACAAACTTTCATGTCAAATAAAGTCTATGATTGACCCGACAGCGTTCAAGATTATGTAGTTGTGAGAAACAGGTGAGCTGCATCTTTTAATGGTGAACAAACAACCAGTTTGAAATTTCCAATGCCCGCTAAAAGTAATTGAGATGAAATTTTTATTACAAATTTTATCTTTGTATTTCCACATGGATTTTAATTATTAGTTTTTATTATAAGTCAACAAATCACCTTTCATAATTTTGCACACACAAAAGCACATGGCATTGTTTTTGTAATTGAATAACTGCCCACTCATATTTAAATGAACCCAAGATTAATCTCATACTCAAACAATGTGGCAAGAATTGGTAGCGAAACGATGAATATTTTCACCTATCTTGATCTTTGAAAGACCTTTACTAAAGGAAAGTTTACCAGTACAGGTCTCTGTCAGTGTTTTTGCAGTAAGTAATAAAATAAGAAAAAGTCAGGTTGAGCCTCTGCTTGTTGTGGCTCATGTTTTAAAGAAGAAGCTGTGTGTAGGGGGTATTTATCAAATTCATCGATAATTCTACTTTAATCAGAAGGACAGTTTTCTTAGATTCACTTTAATATATTTAGTTTGAAATTAAAAGCAATGATTATTTATATTTGTCAGTTTTCATTCTTTAAAACATTTTAGGTAAGGTTGTGCGAGGTTTTGAGCTAGCTGTGATGTCAATGAAGCAAGGGGAGAGAGCTATTATTTACCTACAACCAGAGTATGCATTTGGTAGAGCTGGTGCCCCACCGAGGATTCCAAGAGATACGCCTGTAACCTTTGATACAACAATTATCAAAATCGAATGTAAGTTGAAGTTAAATTTTCAATTACCCTGGCATCCTATATAGCACTCAAGTTGGAGTCCAAGGTCTCAAAGGAGTATATAAATAGGGTTGATCCGTTGTGACATATAATGTTGATCTCAAAATTAGATTGTTGATTGGTAAAATTCTTTGTTTCTAACAGTGAACCCAACCTACATAATTTACATAATAAAATACTGTTTTATTATAGTTCAAACAATGAAAATCATTGGAACAAAAAATTCTAAATGACTTGTATAATTTGTATAGAATGAGCAATCAAATTTACAAAAGAGTGGATTATACCAAGCTGTGCATTCTTAAGGCATTTGAACATTTTAATGAGGTTACCATATTATAAAAAGGTTAGCATATTATAAAAGAGCTCAGAGCATTTTGGATGGTAGTGTTATTCTAATTGGGACTATATCTTATAGTTTTAGCCTCACTTTGTGTTTACAATTGCTGTACCCTTTATGAATTGGTCTGCATGAGAAGAAATATGTTGAACCTTGAAATTAAAAAAAAAGGTTTTATATGTATGCAGAAAGATCATGTGATGGTGGTTTTACTTATTTTACCATGTTATATTAATCACTAGCTTCTTACATTAGCCAATGTAACCAGGCCATTTATACATGTACATGACCATTTGACCTGTTAGAAGTCTTCACAGCAAATTTATAATACTGCATTGAAAATAAAAATTAATGAAAAAAATAAATTTGCAGCAGCCATTTGTATTGTAAATGTAATCAGCATTGCAAATGTGCAGTATTAAAATGACAAATTAATTATCATGAAATGATTATTTTGTTATCCTATGTTTATAGGTGAGGATTTAAGTCTTCAGAAAGACAAGTCCATATTGAAAAAAGTGTTGAAGAAAGGGAAAGGCTGGTCTCAACCTAACGAAGGTTGTATGTTGGATGGTAAGAATAAGAGAATTTTTTCTGTCCATTTGTGTATTATGTCCCCCTCCCTCCAACTTTAAGCAAATGATAAGTTAGTACTAAAAACTGTTTATTTGTCCATCTAGCCATCAACAAATAGTTTTCTAGATTTTTTCCATGCAAACTACATAAAACCCTGTCCTCTGGAATATATTTGGCATGAAGTTTAGGTCTCTGTCCACCTTTGCATCCTGAAATAGTCCTGAGACCATCTTTCCGTCCTGAAATAGTCTTCAGCCCATCATTCTGTCCTGAAATAATACTCATTTCATCTTTCTGTCCTAAAGTAGTCCCAAGTTCATCATTCTGTTCTGAAATAGTCTCAAGTGCATCTTTCTGTAATGAAAAAGTCCCCAGTCCATCATTCTGTCCTGAAATAGTCCCGAGTCTGTCCATCATCAGTCTGTCCTGAAATAGTCCCCAGTCTGTCCATCAGTCTGTCCTGAAATAGTCCCCAGTCTGTCCATCAGTCTGTCCTGATATTGTTCTCAGTCCATGATCTTTCTATCCTGAAATAATAGTCCATCTTTAGATCCTGAAATACTCCTTAGTCCATCATTCTGTCCTGAAATTGTCCTCAGTCTGTCTTTATTGTCCTGAAATAATGGATGTTGCAGTCAATAGTTTAAAGTTTGGTCTGTCTTCAAGGTTGCGCAGGAATCTGACCTAGGCTTGGTTTTATACTGATTACACAGGTAATTCTTTAGTGCTGCTAGCCCTCAGTAGGTATATCATGTAACATATGCTGATGTTACAATAATAATTAACTGAATTAATGGATGGCAGGCAATTTATCTATGCTCTTCCTTAGGCAAACATTCAATCTGTTTTTGTAGTAGATCATGTGAGAAAATGAAAAAAACCATCTGTTACCCGTATAATTATTGTAAAAGATATTTTTACACATATACTGTTTAACAGGTTATTCACAAAATTACGGTTATTTTCGTCATATAAGCAATGGTAAAAAAATGACATAAATTAAAACATTGAAAATTAAGATGAAACACTTTAATACCATCTTAAAACCATGGCATTATAGTGTATAAAGCTTTAAATCTGATGCAAAAATTATTGTTTGGATTTTATAAAAAATGAATACTTTCAAAATGTTTGTATGAAATAAAAATGGCAATAAATTGCTTTAAAGCGAGTGGCACATGCACAAAGTCATTGCTAAATGGATAAAAGCCTACATAAAATAGCAAAATAATATTTTGTTCCGGAACAGTTTATTCTGTTTATACGTACATTATTCATGTATTAAATGACATTCTACATGTATGTTACAACTTTACAGCCATGTTACTGGAATCAACCATATCATAATGGAACCAATATAATTTTACTGTTGATAAATTGTATAAAAATATGTCATAAGATATAGATTGATACCCTTTGATATATTTTACATCATTACTATGACTCATGAAATATTAAGCTTCATACCACTTGATGAAAATAAACCCTGAATTTATAGGAAAACTTGAATATCTTCTGTTTATGTATTTTCAGTGCATATTACAGCTAGTTATGATAATAAGGTATACCAGGATGCTGACATCAAATTCCCTTTTGGAGAAGGACCTTCTAAAGAATATCATATTCCAAGATTTGTAGAGGTATTTGTTAATGCTTTAAAGGGTGGCAGTGGGTGAGTGGTTAAGAACATTGACTTCGAACCACTTGCCAATTACTGCTAGGGGTTCAAATCCTGACTTTGGATTCTTTGTGCCTGAAAAATTGCACAGAGCTTTTCCTGTACCAGTAAAGTTGGAAAGTCCCCATATGACTTCTATTGTATTGGTCAAGATAAAACCTGACCAAAAAAAAAATAGTATACACTTCATCTGCCTGAACAAAAATTGAGTAGCTTTGGCACCAGTGTAGAGCAAGACAAGCCTGTACAATCTAACTAGGATCTTTACTGCTAATAGTTGAATTTTTTGTAATTTGATGTTTTTATACCCCCACAAACAAAGTTTAGGGGGGTATATAGGAGTTAGCTTGTTTGTTGGTGGGTCAGTCCGTCTGTTCGTCCACATGGTTTCTGAACGATAACTAGAGTTTGGAATGAGGTTTTGTAATCAAACTTGGTATATAGCAACCTTATGTGCAGACCCTGGTTGGTATTACATTTGGACCCCCTGTGGTCAAGGTCACTGTAACTAAAAATAGAAAATGTTTTCCGGACAATAACTAGAGTTAGGAGAGAGATATTGAAATCAAACTTGGTGTATAGCAAGCTAATATGAAGACCCCGGCTGGTATTGCATTTGGACCCCCTGGGGTCAAAGTCACCATTACTAAAAAATAGAAAATGGTTTCTGGACAATAACAAGAGTTAGGAATGCGATATTGTAATCAAATTTGGTGTATAGCAAGCTTATAAAGACCCCGGCTGGTGTTGCATTTGGACCCCCTTGGGTCAAGGTAAAGGTCACCATTACTAAAATAGAAAAATGGTTTCCAGACAATAATGTGAGTTAGGAATGAGAAATTGAAATCAAACTTGGTGTAAAGCAAGCTTATATAAAGACCCTGGCTGGTATTGCATTTGGAGCCCCTGGGGTCAAGGACAAGGTCACCATTACTAAAAATAGAAAAATGGTTTCCAGACAATAAGTAGACTTAAGAATGAGATATTGTAATCAAACTTGGTGTATAGCAAGCTTATATGAAAAGCCCCGTTTGGATTGCAATGAATTGAAATAATTTTTTACACAGTTCATAGTTCATTTACTATAGGTTTTGTTCAAATTTTTCTTCAGACCACATATTTTTCAAAAAGTTAAAGTTGCTGGTGGGGGGTATTAATCACCTTCAGTGATAGGTCTAGTTTTAAGTTTGTAACTCTTAAGGTAAGCAAAAATCATCTTTCATGTTTCAGGGCCATTATGACCTTAACAAAAAAATTACTGAAGAAGAAAGTTTTAAAAGTGCTCCGTATTAAAGAATATATATTTAAAAGACAGTATTGCTATTGTTATTTTTTTTCTCTTCAGGAGTTTATAGATCAGTGGAAGGTAGGGGAGAAATCTCGTTTGTTTGTGGAAGCCAAACAAGCCTTTGGCGAACAAGGATATCCCGATTTAGGGGTTCCTCCAAATAAGGATGTTACATACATTATTGAAATGAGAAATTTTGAAAGAGTAAGTAAATATGATACTTATTGTGAAACTGTTTAAAGTTGACCATAAGTAAATTATATCCTTTAGTATTAACAATTCATAATAATTGTGATAAAATCATTGATAACATATTACCTTATGAAAGTAAATGTCGCTGTTCAAAGCAGAGTTAGTTATTTATGCTCTTATTCCTGAAAGTATTTACTTTTACAACAAACATGACATTTTACAGTGTTGAGGCTATAGATATAAATAGAAAAAGTAAGATGCATGCAGATAAGGCCTTACTAAACCAATGCTTGGCATACTGTAATCAATCTACATGATTGTATCTGGTACTTGTATAGAAAACGTGTTTAATTTTTTTTTACAAATTTAATGGGATGCAAAGGGAAATCATTTTATAAACATTTTTGAATTAATTGTTTAATAAATGAACTAAATCTGCCTCTATTTGTACCAGTTTAGTGGCAGAAATAGGGTTCTTTTATCTGATAAACTTGTAGTTTCTCTTCTTACGCCTGCTGTGTAAGGTGCATATGACCATGCCGAAAGTGTAAGGTATGGTCAAAGAGTCTGATAGTGAAATTTTATGTTTAATGAAATAATTTTCTGAGAGTTTTAATAGCTTAAGAAGAACCTGTCATTCAAGCCTGTATATGATGAAGTCAGATTTGTCATTAGTGAGTCAAAAAGTAAAAAGAATTCTTCTGTGTGCAGCTGCATCTTCATTTCTCATTGAATTTCAACCATATCTTTTCAGAAATCTTTTTGGGGCATATTATTGCAGGGCTTTATTATTTGACCAAAAATAACCTCAATGCATCATTATTTCAGGGGCATATTATTGCAGGACTTTATCTTTTTACAAAATATAACTTCAATGTATCATTATTTCAGGGGCATGTTATTGCAGGGCTTTATCATTTTACAAAAAATAACTTCAATGTATCGTTATTTCAGGGGCATATTATTGTTAATAAAAAAACCTCTATGTATCATAATTTCAGGTAAAAGATATATGGGAGATGAACAATGACCAAAAGTTAAAGCAGTGTATGATGTTTAAAGAGAAGGGAAACATGTATTTTGGGGTAATTTTTACATATTTTTAGCTCGACTTTTCTATGAAAAGGGGAGCTATCCTACTCGCCCCGGCGTCGGCGTCGGCGTCGGCGTTGGCGTCACACCTTGGTTAAGTTTTTCGTACCACCCCACTTTATTTCAGAAGTATTACAAGTATGGCTTTGAAACTTACCATACTTGTTCACCATCATAACCTCCATCTACAGACAAGAGTACATAACTCTGTCAAGGTTTTTGACAGAATTATGGCCCTTTTTTGACTTAGAAAGTGTATTGAGCTTGGTTAAGTTTTTTGTACCACCTCACTTTATTTCAAAACCATTGGAGGTATTGCTTTGAAACTGACCATACTTGTTTACCATCACGACCTTCATCAACAGACAAGAGGACATAACTCTGTCAAGGTTTTTGACAGAATTATGCCCCTTTTTGACTTAGAAAATACATTGAATATGGGTAAAATCCACTTATTGCCTTAACCCTTTGAGATATTGCTTTGAAACTTTTAATGCTATTTCACATCATTACCCCCATCTGTACGCAAGAGAAGGTAACTCTGTCAAGGATTTGTTTTAAAAATTAAGGCCTTTTATCGACTTAGAATCTTGGTTAAGTTTTTAGTACCAGTCCACTTTTTGACTGAACTGTTTGAGATATTAATTTGAAAGTTGGAATACTTGTTTACAATCATGATTCCCAAACATGTCCAGGAGAAGGTAATTCTGTCAAAGATTTTATTTGAATTATGGCCCTTAACTGTCAATGTTTTGTATTATAGGCAAGCACTAAAAAACTTAAAAAATCTAAAAAAATTCATTCCTATCCACTTGTTCACTTTACCATAAATTATGTCATAATAAAATAATTCTTCACTAAATATCTTAATGCTCATGGCCATTGTTCACTTTAAAAATACAGAGATTCTTGTATTGCCTTTTACTGCAAAAACTTTTTTTATTGGCAAGCAATAAAAAAGTCGAGCGCGCTGTCTTACGGACAGCTCTTGTTGCTAAATAATTATAGGTATAATTATAGATATTCAAAAACAATATATGTAGTTGAATATAATTGCTGAGAACTCTTTCAAAAAAAAGGACTTTCTGCCAATCAGGAGTGTTTTGGGGGGTTTATTTTAACCAACCCTGTATAAATAAGAATTAAAAATATTTTTTCCAATCTTACCGAAATGAGAAATAAAAGTAACACAGCAATTATTCAAATTGTTGGCTGTTGTTATTTGACAATAAAGTTTTGCATTGCAGAGGGAAGAATGGAAGCTGGCTCTGAAATTCTATGATAAAATGTTGGATTTTGTACAATATGATATATGTATGAAAGGGGAGGAAGAGACCAGGAGACATGAAGTCATGGTTTGTGGTGAGTTTTATAAACAATGACTTATCTTTATTAAATCACTGTGGTACTGTTAAAATGAATGGGTCTATAACCGTACAGACATAGAATTAAATCTTAATGGGCTTGTATACTTAAATCAATTGTCTAACTTTCTTTTCATATTTTTAAACAACCATAAAGACATATCACGGCTGTTAACAGTTTTATTCATTTCTGAGGCATAATGTGCCTTTAAGAAAAAGTTTAGCAAATGTAGAAAATTTCACTATGTCCAATGTCCTATGTCCAGAGATATATAACAAGGTAGAATATGATAGATATAGAGACTAGCTTAATTATGTGTGACCCACCATTCAACCCCACCCCCTTCCCTTTCGTAAGCAAAACAAACCGCATAAACAAAACAGAAATTTCCGAATTATATTTTCATTTACCAATATTTGGAAAATATGTTAAATTCTTAATTAACAAATGACTGTTTGTTATTTTAGCATTCCTGAATAAAGCTTTGGTTCTCCTAAAACTAGAAAGATACATGGATGCTCGGCATAGCTGCGATAAAGTCATAGAATTTAACAAGAAATGTGTGAAGGCACTATACAGAAGAGGATTGGTTAGTTTACAGATTTATTTACTAATATCTAACCTGCCAGATGATGCTCTATAGAGGTTTAAGTAATGGGAAAGAGCATCAAAACACAAGGCTATCTGGTTTGTACGAGAGGGCATAGCCCCCGATTCTAACACGACCCGCATTTTTCCCTATTGAACATAGAAGAACCGAAAGTGTGTGTTATTATGCAATAGAGTCACTGTTTGACGTTCTATATTTAGACATGTGACGTAATCATTATACATGTGACGTAACCACTATAAAATCCGACGCGCTGACAATAAGTACGGAAACAAATCAGGCGCAATTTTGCATAATAGCAGGTACGGCAGCATTTATTTGTTTATGTCGTGTTAGAATCGAAATAATATATCCAAATCGGTGATTTTATCACTGGATAACATCACTGTTTGTCGTTCGGATGCGCATCATTATATCACTCGGGCTACGCCCTCGTGATATAATTCCTCGCATCCGAACTCCAAACAGTGATGTTATTGAGCGGTAAAATCACAGTTTGGGATATATTATTTCTTAAATATAAATCAGATTGCAGAGTGTTTTGATGTTCTTTCTCTTTTGTATCATAGTTTAAAAATAATAACATGTTTCCTGTCATCACAACAGTAAACCCCAGAAAAAAAAGTAACAGGTGTAAGAGCATCTTTAAATGTGCTACATTACCTCTATAATACTAAATAATTTTTTTTCTTTTTTGGTAGACATTCTTTTACACAAAGGATTGGCGTGAGGCGAAGGCTGACTTTGAAAAGGTTATTGAACTTGATCCAAAGAATAAATCAGCAAGGAACCACATCAGTATCTGTAATCGTAGAATCAAAGAGTCGGCAGGAGATGAGAAAAAATTGTACCAGTCTATGATGTCTGGTGTTGGTAAAATGGGGGTAAGCAGTCTGTTTAAAATACAGGGTTATCCATATACTTGAAAAAAGTTACAAGATTTCCTGTAGGTGAAATTTTTTAAAGCATTAAGGATAACAAATCCTTACAAAAATTTATGGGAATTAGCTTTTCATCACTTTTTTCTTTTTCTAGAAAATACACCTGCTGCATAAGACATTTATTAAAAACGTATGCTGTTAAAAGATTCCATTCTCAGAGACTTAGGAATGAAACATCTAATAACTAAAACCAGTACCCATGTTATTGGCATCTTGTAAGATTTAGATTATTAACATCTTTAAAGATGCATTATTACGTGTATATATGTATAAAATAATATGAAAAATAATATTGCTTGATTATTGGCTACAACTTTGAATTTGATACATTTGCTACAGTTTCTAATTTGCATTAAAATGTCAATTACAGTTATGTTTCTTTTTTTAACACACACATATTTTACTTTCTTATTTTGCATATCTTGGCTACTTACTTGGAAGAAAAAATCATTTCTAAGGGGCAGATAATTCTGAAAGACATCATTGCTTATTTTTTCCCTTTTTGACATAAAATATTTGCCATTTTCTCAAAAACTGTCAAAGGTATTCTTTTCAAATTTGAAATATTTGTTCACTATCAAGGACAGGTAAGTCCGCTAAGCATGTTTTTAGAATAATGCCTCATTTTCTATGTTTTGTTCATTGACTATCCAGCACTGAGAAAAACTGGAGTTCACTTTCCACAGACAGGTCTTGTTTTCCTATCGTAGTAAATATGTTTTATATTTGTTACAGGGAAATGACCCACACATGTACGGAAGTGGAATGAATGACATAGGTGACTGGGACAATAATATGGCACAAGGAATGATGACATTGGAAGAGGAGCGAGAGGCTTTTGGTGAGACAATGCCTCCAAGGGGAGGTAATAATCACGGACAAGAACACTGACACTTATGTGATTCATCATACCTGAAATAAAGACGCAAGCCAATTCATTCAGAATCATCATTGTGGCAATATTAACAATGAAATACAGTGCTTGGCACTGAAATTAAGAAATTATTTACTTCTACCCAAAATTCTTTCTTTTTACATTACAAAATTAGAGTGAAGGAAAAGTGAACTTCAAATTTTTGAAGCTTCCTATTTTCTGAAATTTTCTGGTCATAGTTCAGTGTTGAACAATATAAAGTACTCATTTCTGCAAGTATTATTTAATGTTTCAAGCATCATGATTTAAAAGTTTTAAACCTTAACCTGCTGGGACAGAAAGTGATCAGCCTTTGATACTGTGGACCAACTTCAAAGCAGGGCAAATCTATTGCACAAATTCAACAGATTAAAGGTTTAAAAAAGAGAGGACCCAGTCAGACTGGCTCTGGCAAATTTAATTTTTGGTTGAAATCCTTATATATTGTACATATTATATTTACATGATTAAAGGTTGTATATTTGCTTATGAATTTTATGTATTATCATTCATCATCTAAAAGCATGTATATTTTAATTTGACTGGTATAATCCATATGTATGCTTGCTGCTTTTTTCTCTACTGCAAGATTTAGTATATACAGAGTTGTAATATTATTTGAATTTTGTACGAAGCTATAAGCTTATATACAGTCTCTGGAATCTTATGAAGACCATTGTGTGTTTATTTTACATACAAACAGCTCTTTTTGTCTGTGTAATGTTTAATCTGGTAACAGGAGGCATTTTTATTAAATTACATGTATAGAGTTAAAGTCCAAATCTGGTGTCTTAATTTTATTTTGTTGTGAAACTTTTTTCAGAAATACTCAAATGAAGATACAAATAAATAGAACTTTTTGAGTCATACATCATTTCCTCAAAAATGTAATGTTCATTGTCATTGTTGTGCAGATTTCATTGGTGTAATTTTGACATTTTCCATTTGAGATCATTTGTAACACATTTACATTTATATTATCCTGGTATAAGAGCCTAATGATGGGAAATGTGTCACCTTTTTGAAAAATATTAACATTTTTATTTGATGTATGTATGTATTAAAGGAGCTCCACAGAGATCCAAAATACATAAAAACACAAAGTTTAAAAAAAACTCAAGTACAATGTACATCAATTTAAAAAGCACTTGAAACTAAAAATTATAGAAGAAATAATAAAGAAATATACTCAGAATTGAACTAAAAATTAATAATAAGTGTGACTTATAGCCCGATATGAGTTGTTACCTTTTTGATTTTTGGTTGTTTTGTGCAACAAAAATTATTATTCTGGAAAAAAAAGACAGAGTGAGCACATGATCTGAAATTTTGTACACAAGTTATTGGTAAAGATTTTATCAAATGGTATACAAAACTTGAAAAAGTAGTCTCATCATGTTAAAAAAACCTCCGTGGAGTTCCTTTAAATTAGAATGACATTTTCTTCGCTATAACTCTTTTCAGATAATCATCATAATGATCATAAGAATCTGGAATTGGGAAACAATATAAAGTAGCTACATTATAACTTTGAAAAGTTTAACAAATATTATGCCGAAGTTGTTAAATCTCCCTCAGATGCTGTGGGAATTATTTTTATATGTGAACATGTGATGTTTACTTTCATATAATCAGTATCATCTTAATTATATCATCATCATGTACATCAGAAATTCATGTTGTCTGCCATTTGTGTGTGTCATCCTTATTTTCAAGTTTTTTGCAATAAAATTGGAATTAACAATTTCTGTGTTGTATTGTGTCTGGAAATAGTTGTATATAAGTTCATGTTATTCTTGCAAGCCGAATACTGATGCTGAATTATAGAAAATACATATTTCCTAGTTGGAATACTACATATCATATATCTATGCTCTGGGCAATTTTAAGTTTTCCACAACATTAAAAAGTGTTGGTTTTTTTTACAAGTCTTAATAGACTAAGTGACCACTAATGTGGGATCAACTTTGACTGTAGGGTGCTATTTATATTTCTTGTAAGAAGCCAAATATCTATGCCCTGGGCTTTGTAGTTTCGGACAAGATTTTCTTAGAAATGTTGACCATACTTTGATGCAAACTAAGTGGTCATCAGGGCAGAGAGATATTTTTGACCCCAGAGCATGAGTTGTATAGTTTGTTGTAGTTCACAAGCCAAAGCTACATGTAAATTATCTTATCTCTGAGCATTGCTGATTCATATATGAAAACTTAAATTAGTTTCCCTATAAAAGTCAATATAAATGACATCCTGTTCGTAAATTTATGTGACAAATTTTGCAAACTTTGAATATAGACCGTACATTTATCTTTAATTGATAGGTTACCTAGTCTACATGGTCTAGTCAGAGTCAGTACTCTGGGTGGGGTCAGGGCTTACCCCTTTGAGGTGATTGTACCATCCATATGTTTTGCAGGAAACTTTATGCTTATGCTTTATGGCATTTAATAAAATTAATCATGGCATTTTTAAAAAAAAAAATAGACCTATCACTGAAGGTGAATAATACCCCCACCAGCAACTTTGACTTTTTGAAAAAAAAGTAGTCTGAAGAAAAATTTGAACGCAAACTATCAACTGTGTACAAAGAAATATTTCAATTAATTGTAATCGCAACTGCGGTCTTGAAATAAGCTTGCTATACACCAAGTTTGATTACAATATCTCATTCCTAACTCTAGTTATTGTCCGGAAACAATTTTTCTATTTTTAGTAACACTTTAACGGTGACCTTGACCCTAGGGGGTCGAAATGCAATACCAACCCAGGTCTTAATATAAGCTTCCTATACACCAAATTAGATTACAATATCTCATTCCTAACTCTAGTTATTGTCCAAAAACTATTTTTTATATTTTTGCGTAACGGTGACCTTGACCCCAGGGTGCCAAAATGCAATACCAACCAAGGTCTTCATATAAGCTTGTTATACGCCAAGTTTCATAACAATATCTTATTCCTAACTCTAGTTATTGTCCGGAAACCATATTTCTATTTTTAGTAACGGTGACCTTGACCTTAACCCCAGGGGGTCCAAATGCAATACCAACCTAGGTCTTCATATAAGCTCGCTATTCACCAAGTGTGATTACAGTATCTCATTCCTAAGTCAAGTTATTGTCCGGAAACCATTTTTCTATTTTTAGTAACGGTGACCTTGACCTTGACCCCAGGGGGCCCAAATGCAATACCAACCCAGGTCTTTATATAAGCTTGCTATTGGCCAAGTTTGATAACAATATCTCATTCCTAACTCTAGTTATTGTCTGGAAACCATTTTTCTATTTTTAGTAACGATGACCTTGACCCCAGGGGGTCCAAATGCAATACCAACCCAGGTCTTCATATAAGCTTGCTATTCACCAAGTTTGATTACAGTATCTCATTCCTAAGTCAAGTTATTGTCCGGAAACCATTTTTCTATTTTTAGTAACGGTGACCTTGACCTTGACACCAGGGGGCCCAAATGCAATACCAACCCAGGTCTTTATATAAGCTTGCTATAGGCCAAGTTTGATAACAATATCTCATTACTAACTCTCGTTATTGTCCGGAAACCATTTTTCTATTTTTAGTAACGGTGACCTTGACCCAAGGGGGTCCAAATGCAATACCAACCGGAGTTTCCACATAAGGTTGCTATATTCCAAGTTTGATTACAATACCTCATTCCAAACTCTAGTTATCGTCTGGAAACCATGATGTGGACCGACCGACCGACCAACAAGCTGACTCCTATATACCCCCCCCCCTAAACTTTGTTTGTGGGGGTATAAAAAATCCCTTTTTTCATTTAAATATATCGCTTTTGTTTTTCCTGCATCCATACAAGTTCATCCTTGCTGTGATTCTTCCCATGAAAAAAATTTTAAGTGACCTTGGGGCAGAGGCTTTTTTTTTTACCCCAGGTGCACGATTTATATCACTTTATAATTATTTACAATGTACATGCCAAATCATGAAATATCTAAGTTCTGGGAATTGTTGTTTGTGAACAGATTCTTTAAGACACGTTTTCCATTTAATTCTATGTGAACTAAGTGACTCTCAGGGCAGGGCTATATTTCTTGACCTCATTCATGATTTATATAGATGTCCACTGGGCAATGCTACATGCAAAATATCAAGGCTAGGTCACACTAGATTACCTATGGAAGTCACCTAAAAGTAGGGGCAAATTTAAGCCCAGGTGTAAAGTTTTTTAGAGGACCACAAAATGACACTTCATGTCAAATATTTGTAATCTGTGCAATTTAGTTTCAGAGGAAAAAAATTTAAGACCTCCATTCTACATGTATATAAATCTATGAAGACATGTATACTTTACTATATAAATCTAAGTTACCCCTAGGGCAGGGCCATTTTTGACACCAGGGGCATGATTTATATCTTTGTAGAGGTTCATGAGCTAATGCTTCCATTTTGATAACTAATCTTTGGGCATTAAACATGTGGTTTCAAACAAGACCTGAATGTATTTTTATATGTAAATGAAGCCACACTGTGGTGGGGCCAATTTTTACCCAAGGGACATGATTTAAATAACTTTTGTAGGTTAAGTATCATAAGGTGTTGATACATAAGTACCAGTGTTGCTATATGCCAAATCTCTTAGCTGTGACCACTGCAGTTTCTGAGTAGAGATATTGAAGAAATTTATTTTATCCATATTTTTAGGTCTTGTGATCTAGGCCTACCTTATCATAAGATTGGAACCTACTATTTAATTGTAATAAAGTGGTCATCTAAAGATCATGTTCAAAATACACCATGTGGTTACATGGAGCTTTTGTTTAAAGTGTGAACAATTGACAACATGCTTTCAGAAAAAAACTCGCTTCTAATTAACACTTTTGCTCAGGTGAGCTAAAAATAAGAGTAAGCAACAAATTGATATTATTTACTTTATTTCTAAGGGTTTACATGGTATACATGTATAACACCCTCTTAAATAATGCGAACAATATAAAATTACAAAATTTTGTTTATATCCGTTGTACAAATTTCTTTTTACGAAAATTGCCCAAAAATATAAATAAAGTTCACTAGACCTTGTGCTTTGCATAATTACTCTTGCTCTTCCAAGCCTTTATTGTGAAAACCCTCCCCCCCCCCATCCCCCTCAACAAGCGTAATTGACCCTATCCCCCTCTCCCAAAGTTTTTGTAATGGTCTCTCCTGAATATGATTGACCCGTCCTGCTTTGATTATGGTGCTGTCCACAAGTGTAGACTAACTCATGATGGTACATGTATATGCCTGTCAACAATAGTACTGACAAAATGTTAACACAAGGTCTAGCAAAATCATTTTATAAATTATTTTCTCGGGCCTAAAATCACAGATGTAGTTCAACAAATCTCCGAATATAAGTCTATGAAAAAACATAAACACATATAACTACTACAATATAAGTACTCTATAATTGAATGTCTACGAGCAACAGCTATATGAGCTTGGTAAAAGAACTTTTTCACACTTGTAAAAAATCTGTATAAAGTATAAAAGATGAGACAAAAAATGCATACATATTTCTATGATATTAAAGTAACTTCAAAGTGACACTTTTCCTTTAAAAAGTGTCATTGTTAAAGCATGCATACAATATTTAAAAAAAATAATAAAGAACAGAAATGTTTTATAATAATAACCTCTTAAAAAGGCCATTAAACCAGATCATTGATCAATAAAATCAAATTAAGAGATCACACTGTGTACATACACAAAAGTACTGACCGATTTTCGAAACTATTCTCCAAGAAATTTCATCAAAACTTAGTTTTGCACAAAACAAATTCTGACCTTTCATTTTTCAGCTGTAAAAGTTTTAACAAAAAATTCAAATTTGAAAAACACACTTTTTTTCTTTTTATGATCATACATGCATTTTCACTGCAAAGCTTGTTTCATACAAATTCAACAAAGAAATAATCTGAAACTTCACGATCAACATGATCAACTATCCATTAGCAACATGATCAACTATCCATTAGCATGTATATATTACTAAAATATCAAAATGGATAGTAATTATTATAGTTTCTTCAAAATTCAAAAGTTAACAAATTTATAACTTAATATAATGCGACAGGTTCATATAAAAATCTTCGCAGATAGATCCTGATTTTTTACAATATTTACCTCCCTTGCCAAAAGTGGCAGCCATTTTGGGGTTCAATATTCTATATAATATAGAAATTTTGACAAAATATGAAATAAACAATATAAACAGCCCATTTATGTGAATGTCCAAATTCTTTATACATATGCAGCAAAATATTACTTTCTGCACTAATATGTAAAAGGTTTTTAGCAGTTTTCATGGAGATGACAGAATTATGAGAGAGTTTAACCTTATCTTAAGCATATATGTTGGAAATGATCCCCAAAATGGTGGCCAGGGGAGGTAATAATTGCTATATAAAAAGCATCTATAGGCAAATCTATATTGATGTTTACCAATTAAATACATATATCTTAAATGGACTTATCTATCTTTCATTTTGTACAGAAGCATTCATCATTTGTAGGGGAAAGTTTCAAGTAAGTACCCATTCTCTAGATGAGTGCCTCATAACAACAGCATATGCCAACAAAAACAATAAAATCACATTAAATATCTATGTTTATACCTGTATAAAAATGTAGCAAAAATTGATAATAATTTTATACAATTAATGTAAACAGACCTTTTCTGTGAAATAAATTATAATAAAATAGTTTTGTTCATGTAAAAATCCATGTAATAAAAACAATATCTTAAATTTCAAATAAAAACAATATCTAACATCTGAAATTAAAACAATATCTTAGATTTATTATATAAACAGTATCTTAGATTTAAAACAGTATCTTTGATTTAAAATCGAGTAAAAATGCTGAATGTACAAATCACAACCAGTGTAACACATAAAGGAAGCATCATAAATCAAAACAGCAGTACAATGTATAATGCCAAAAAAGCAGAAAACATAAATATATGCTTATGAAATGTAACAAGAGCTGCCAGTCAGACAGTACGCTCAACTATCCGGTACCAATTATTCTCAATGTTTGGTTAATATAACAAAACCCTATATAGAAGAGGAATTTTCTAAGTTTGCAAAAAGGAATAAATCAATGAACATTGAGATATAGGTCTTGGTTTTATATACTTATAACCAAAAAGCTATGTTTAAAGTTTAAAATAAATTTCCTCATAGAATTCAAACACAAACTTTTAATCAGGAATTTTCTAACTAAACAAGATATAATTCATTAAAGACTTTAAAAAGTTGCATGCAAATCCTTAACCAAGTGTTACACAATTTCCTTTGACATTGAAGTATAGTCAAACTAATAAAACTGTTCATGAGGAGAGAAAATATACAATATGTATATAATATGTATATGAGCATGTATGGGATTACAGGTAATAAATGGGTGAAAGTTTGATAAATAATTTAAAGCTGGGATGGTATTGCACTGGATGTTTTAGTTTGTATATATATGATATAAACCGGTATATAATTACGCTGATTAAAATACCTGTCAGTATAGAGACAAAATGCCACACCTTAAACAAACTAGGCCTATACTGGTTAAAACATCAACAGGAATATTATCAGAAAATGTAACAAAATTAAATTCAGACTACATGATAAGTATTTAAGATCTAGACAAATCTAATAAGAATTCAAATATTCTAAGGTTTTCATAAAAAAGTACAGGTAAATTATTTCTATTTTTTTAGTTTTTAATCTAAATGCTGTTAAAAAATATATGTATTAAAGCTTGTGATATCTTGATACAAATTATACAGAGGTGAATGCAAGATATTCTAAAGTAAAATAAATTATATGTTTATGAGGGTTAATATATATGGAGAACTTTTAATTTCTAAGCAAAAAAAGAAAAGCATCAACACATAAATATTCTGGGTTTTTTTCCTTATGATCTGGGTTACATATATGATTTCCTGCAATCTTTGTCAATAAACAAATTCCTATGTTTTTCTACAAATATGTAATCTACGACATCAAAACATTGATGACTTTCTCCTATAATGGCACAATAATATGAGCCGTACCATCACAAAACCAACATAATGGGTTTGCGACCAGCATGGATCCAGACCAGCCTGCGCATCCGTTCAGTCTGATCAGGATCCATACTGTTCGCTATCAGTTTCTCTACTTGTTACAGGGTTTGTAAACAAGCAGCATGGATCCTGATCAGTCTGCGCAGATGTGCAGGCTGGTCTGGATCCATGCTGTTCGCAAACACATTATGTTGGATTTGTCATGGCGCGGCTCAAATATTTATTCACAGATCTGATTTTCCTTCACCAAACTTCCTGTACTGTAATGTACACATAAAAGAAGAAAAAAAAGACTCAACACTGTAGCAATTCAAACAGGTAACAATAAATTCTACTAAAACAATAATGCCATAATTAAATCAAGTTTAGCACAACTGAGAAATTTAAGAAATGTAAAAATTTGGAAAAAAATCAGGGGAAAAATCACAACAACAGCTTAACTAAGCATGCTTACAGTAATGAGGAATTTTAGGACCATATAGTAGTTACATTAAATCTAATTGCCAATAACATGACAAATTTTACTATGTAATTCATTAATAACAATCAAAATAACTTTAGTTTTAGCTTAGTTAATAATTATTTTCAAATTTTTGGAATATTGTTATTAATTAAAATTAATTAAATTATAATTGAAATTGTACTAATCCCTGACCCTATTTTTGGGGGGAAAATAAACATTAACTGCCATTGAGAATGAGTGTTAAAAAGAGCCATCTTAAGAAGGGGAAATACTTTTAAGCCCAGATGGCTGAATATGTAATACATATTCAAATGTAAAAATAAAAAACATCCTATAAGTAAATTAAAATGGTCCCTTTGACTAATACCATGCCACAGTCAATAAAATTGTTTGTTTGCCACTTTAGACCCATACTACTTGAGTTAGGTTGGGTAGGTACATGGATAAGTAAAGTCTATTATTTTCTGTTATGGCACACAACCATAAATAGACTCAAATTTAAAATATAAAAATCCTTGCTATACAAAGACTACATAAAAATTTGTTTTCTCAGCCCCCAAAAATTTTCCAAACGGTAGAATCTTGGTAAGGGACGATCAAAGGTGGCAAACAAACGATATTTTATATAAAGCCTCAAGTAATAACATATCAATCTTCATTAAAACATCAATTGTACTGTAAATTTTAAATATTTCGAAATGCAAACAGTTAGTCAAGAGACTGTAACCACTAGCCTACAAAGGCCCACTTAAAGCAGCATGCCTTCAGACTTGTGCTCATTTTCATGAAAATGTATCTAAAAGTAAAATCTTGTGAAGTAACCAAAAGGAAGCAATTTTCATATTACAAACATCACTCACAACCCATGTAAATTACCAAAATGAGGTCAAAATATTCGAAAATAGCCTTTACAGTGTACTGTGTTAGTAACGCAGTAGAAATATGATTATATAAATACTAAAAAAATCAATAATTAAATTGCACATAACATGTAAACTATTACTTCAATCTTGAAGCTTTTTAATTTTCATAAAATCTTAGAACGTTTTTCACAGGTTTGATTTTATTGAAATATTTTGGCTCATCTGGAGACATGCAGCTTTAATATGACTGTGAAGACCCATTTTATTTGGCTATATAGTCAGCCTCTTCCATCGAACTAGGCCTGTTTTCAAACTGCTACAGATCAACAATTAAATAGTTGAAATTGATGGAAGAAATACATGTTCTGTTGAACTTTTTGATGTGTAAAAATTTCTGCATATCAACTTGTGTTGTCAACCACTTTGTTGGTGTGTGTTGCATATTAATGTTAATTAAAGAACTCAAATTCTCCACATCAGCTCAATGTTGGCCAGTTTATTGTAATGTGTGGATTGACTGCCAGTATCATAAGATGGACTTATTTTTCCTGAGACAACAAAACATAGCAACAGCAGCTGTCATTGTCAGTATCTGAAATCAACATAACAATCAATTAGTACTGGGGGATTATGATAATTATAGTTTTTCTTTTTGGGTTGGTTTTCTAGTTGCATCATCACTGTTAAGGTAATCTTGTGAGTTTTTAGCTTTACTGGTGAAAGAAGGCATCAGGTGTCCCTCTTAGTATTATTTCAGGCAAAAACAGACACCTGAGTAGAACAATTATACTTCCATTAGCTAGCTAGAAGCTATTTCTTTCCAGCAAACGAAGACTCGTACATAAGTTAAGCAGAAAAGGATATTTGAAGACCTGTCTATTTCTAACCTCTAGGTTTTCTTAAAAATGGCTACTTTTTACATCTAGAGCACTTTGTAATAAGACTGTCACAAGAAAAATCAAAAACCAAATTATTCCCATTTCCATACTGATATCACCTTGAATCTGAAGTTCAGTTAAGCTAACAAACTGTAAGTACATACCTGTATAACAGCCACCACTAAAGCTAACACTCCAAGTGTGTACATATTTTTCATGAACCAAAACTTCACCTCTTCTAAACAACCCTGCAATAAATCAAACAAAGACATAGTTGTATTATATGGTAATATTATGTGACAAAATAATCTTAATTAAATAACTCAGCCATACATTAAAACAGTTGACGCATAACATTATACAAATGTACACACTGTACCGAATTCAACAAGTGGAAAGACAATATATTTATCATTTTCATGATAATTATAACATTCACTGTCTTTTTAACATGCATCTTGGTGCAAAAAGGCTTTGTTAACTTAATTTTACAGAATATAAATGACAAAACTTCTTATTTAAGTTTTCAGAAATAGAAACAGACCAGGATGCTATATAAGAATAATCTAACTAATAAATTACTTCACAGGCTGTTTTAATAAACTTGATCATTTTTATGAAAACAAGAATTTGTAACAGTTACCAACGTCCCCCGCCTCGGGAAAGTTTTATATGAAGCATAAAATTGTGCTATTTCAAAAGATTGAGGTATGGATTTCAGGACTTTTAGTCCAAAATTATGATCAATGCTAGATCTGCAAATGCAACAATAAATTTATTAAAGAAATACTAGTAAAATGAAACACGGAATTTAAAATTCTATCATGTTAACCTTTGACCTCTAAGTGTGACCTTGACCTTGGAGGTAGGGGTGCAGGTGTTGTGCATGACATATCGTCTTATTAATATTACTATTTGTGCCAAGTATTTTCAAAATCCCTTTAACTATGTAGAAGTTATAGATCAGACACAAAATATACCCTATAACAGACTATGTCAATCTTTGACCTTTAAGTGTGACCTTGGAGGTAGGGACCCATGTTTTGCGCCTGACATATCATCTTATTATTGTGATTATTTGTGCAAAGTATTTTTAAAATCCCAGGTTATGGACTGGACACAAAATATACCCTATAACAGACTATGTAAATCTTTGACCTCTATGTGTGACCTTGACCTTGGAGGTAGGGACACATGTGTTATGCATGACATATTTTCTTATCATTGTGACTAGTTATTTCAAAATCCTGAAGAAGTTCTAGATCAGACATAAAATATACCCTAAAACAGACTATGTTAACTTTTGACCTCTCAGTGTGACCTTGAACTTGGAGGTAGGGATGCAGGTGTTGCGCAAGACACATTGTCTTATTATAACAAGTTATTTCAGATTCCTTTGATAAATGACAAAGTTATGGACCGGACACGAAAGTGTGACGGACGGACAGACGGACGGATGGAGCCTATTACTATATCCCCCTTTTTTCTTCGAAAAGACGGGGGACAATAAACAATGACATTATAGTACTAAGAGAAAGACGCCTATCATATGTAAATACAATGATATTCTATAAATTCAATAAAGTAACCATTTAAAAGAAAAGACAAACATGCAGGAAGACACTTCTGAATGATTTAAAAAGAATGGATAGACATCAAGAAATTCTCAAGTAGCTTCCTGCGGTGGTTTTGCCAACAGTTACAGCAGGTGCTTACCATAGAGTATTGAATTATATACTTTAACACTCTACCATCTGTATAATTTTATATGGCTGTATCAAAAATATGTTTTGTAAAAGCGACTAGTTATCACATTATTGACAGTCTGCTAGCAATGAATGGTGTACTAACCCTGCTATAAAATGCGGCTGTACTGCCAGCATAGCCACACCCATCTATTGGCTGAACACAGCATGAATCTGGTACACTAGTCTTATCTGGCCATGCTGATATACTGTACCAATCTGTATGATTGTCTATACCACAACATTCAAACTGAAAAACAAAACAAATAAAAACATTATATAACTGATAATTTAGATTGCTTTTAAAAAGTTTTACAGAAATTTTCCTCAAATCTGAGGTAGAAAAATATGTTCTCCAAAAGGATCTGAAAACTGCATCATATAACAAAGGGATGTAATTCAATACATTCTAAGATAGTGTTAAGTGTCTTGGTCATTGAGTCCTATAATATTGATCCTGAAGACATGTGTAGTTCCAAGAGAATATCTTCATATGCTATAGAGATAGAACTAGTAAACAAAATTCTCCAAGCAGAATCATATAAATTTAAAGTCTTCAGCTACCTTGAATAGTTATTTATAATCATATCTCCAAAGAAATTATGTTTAAATTTATTTATTATTATTATTTATTATTTAAATTTATTATAAATTTAAAGTCTTAAGCTATCTTGAATAGTTATAATCATATCTCCAAAGAAACTTATAAGGTTCAGCTTTAATAGATGTGTGGTTAGTGTGAGTAGGCTAGCATAAAGCAAATGCTATAATACCAATGCTAATGCAAAAGCCCAAGTGAGAAGGATAGCTCTCCCTATTATATGAAAAGCTATATATGTCAGGGTGGTAAAGTTTTTTTTTAATGTAATATATATTAAGTATTTAATATATATTAAGTATAAACACACAAGACTGACAAAGTCACTTTAAACATTCTTCTCTGTTCTTCAGGTTTTTTTCATATCCTCAAAAATAGCCAATAATTTCCAATTTCTCTGCAAGTGACCAATCCTACAGGATTTCTGAACCAGCAGTGTGTGACAAATTACCATTACACTTGATGTCCAAAATCAAATGTCACAAAAAATTTACTTCTTACCAAAGGATTAAACTAGCAACATCTGAGACTAATACTCTTCCTTGAGCTAACGGGGCAGACAAATCATGTTAAACAAAAACAAACGAAGTAAAGAATAAAAATCTCACATGAGTTTGTATACTATCAACTACTGCCACGACACCCCCATTCTGTTTGCCTGCTAATTCTGGCCTGTAGTCTTCTTGTATACTCAACTTGACCTCCTCGTGTAAAAATCTGTTTATCTGTTATAAAGTCAAAATGCTATGAACACATGATTTATTATAATTTGAAAGCAAACGGCACTTAAAACCCATGTAATTTACCAAAAACAGGTGAAAATATAAAAAAAAAAAAAGCCTCTACTGCAATAGTAATGCAGGAAAAATATGGTGAAAAGTATTGCAAAACCGATAATTTAGCGCACATAATATGTAACTTCTATTGTGAATCTTCTTACTTCTCAGTACACTTTTCTCAATGTTTTTTTTATTTTCTTTAAATATTTTATCTGGAGGCATGCAGCTTTAATATTTTGTCTTTCAGATCAGTATTATGTTCAACTAAATGAAGATGGAAATTTAAGAAGAGGAAGTAAATATGTCACTGAAGCTTATATAATCCTGTATAATATTGCTTTCAGCTCTTTTCCTTTCTATCAAGTTTGTTTATCAACAAGTATACAATATTGTTGTAAGAATGTCATGTAAATTGTATTTCTTACAGTAGATATAAGTAAATGTAATTATGTATTACTTTGTCAACCACAAACTACTTGAAAGCCAGATTTATATACCCACCTGTTGTTTATGAGTCAGGCACAGTGAGGTTGCTGCCACCTCTAATCCAAATATGACCAGTACAAACACAAAATACTGAAACATAAGTAAAGCAATTTGGGATCAAATAATCATTTGAACATTAGCTTGCTGAAACCAAGTTAGTATGATAAGCCTTTGCCACCAGTATAGAGCCAGGCCTGCCAGCACACTTGTGTAGTCTGACCAGGCTCTCGCTGTAGCCCGGTTTTTGTATTTTGATATTACATTCATGATTCCGTAACATTTTAAATTGAATGTTCCAAATTCAAAGCTGAACAAAATACATTACATAAATTTAGCAGGTGAAGGATTCAGTACAATGTATTTGATAAGTAATTCGCTTTGCAAAGTACTTCATCTAAAGTAATTTGTATCGGTATCTTTTAGTCACATACTTGGCACGTGCCGCTTCATGTACAAGTATTTTATAATAAGTATTATTATAGTAATTCACCAAAGATTAAATGGCAACTTCTAGCTTAATATGAAAAAGAATAACAGTTGCTCTTCAGATAAGAGCAAAAACCATGCAAACATTGTATAGGCAATGCAAAGATACATGTAACTTGGTGTACAATCAACAGTTCTAGACTAAACTTTTGGAATACATGTCATCTTTTTTCTTGTTCTTGGTCAAAAAAATACAAATATTAAGAGATGTGCAAAAGACAGTAATTGTTATAATTTACATGTATATACATTATAATGTATGAGAATTATTCATCTACAGATAAAAACCATGTTATCATAATCTAGAGGATTTTGTAGAAACACCATTAAAATCAGTCACATTTTCAAAATACTGAATTAAAACAATACATACAACAACTAGCATGCACTGAGACTCCAGTATAGCTCCACAACATCCACAAAATCCCAGGATAAAGATAATAGCCCCAGCACAGATTGTCAGTACAGTTGCACTGAGAAATGCAGTATCAGGAAGCAATGTATTGTAGGGCGCTCTATTTACATGCATCCAGATGCCTACTGTCAGCACACCCAGTCCCAATAACTGTAATGAACACAAATAGAGATGTGTAAAAACTGCAAATATATTAAAGATTTTACTTTAAATAACATTTAAGATAATAAATTTAATTTGATTCCAGGTAGAGTAAAAGGTTCTTCATTTATTTCCTTGGTAAAGAGATACATGTACATTGAAATAAACTTTGTAAAGTGTTTGCTTTTTGTGTATGCATTAAGTTTTCATTATTGGGAATATTCAGTCTGTTAGTTTAATAGGCATACATAGAGCAATGGAAAAATATGACAAACACATATAAAATTAAACATTCTAAAATCAAGGTGACAGTTCATTTATTAAAAAAATAAGTGGAAAGGTATACTTTTGAAAAATGGTTAAAACTAAATTGTATGCCAAAGTAGGACTGTCATTGATGGAAAATTTTGTAACGATATATCGAGAGACAAATATGGACGATATATTGATATATCAACTTTGCCAGAAGATACGTTGAAAAACATTTAAATATGTGATATAAATTTGGATCATTGTGCTATACATGCTTGTATTGGACATTACAAACAGTACAAACTAACAAAAAGTTTGTTTTTTTCTGTTATTTTTGCCACTGACATTTGTAAACGGAGTTTAAAGTTCAAGTTAGCCAAGAAAACTGGAAAAAATACTTGCAAAACAGAGAGGTATACTCACTTAGAGAAATAGTTTATATATTTTAGCTTGTATCGATATTTGAAAGTATGTATCGAGATTGTATCAGATGATGAATATCGATGATATGTCAATATTGTGATATTCAATGACAGCTCTATGCCAAAGGAATGAATAAAACCATTAACCCTAACCCTTCTGGAACCATAAGTAATAAGCATTTTTTGTTAGAATAGCCAGGTCACCCTGCATGTTTGTTGGCTAACTTTTAATTTCATCTTGATATTCCACAATTGATAACAGACAGTTCCCCAAAAATGGAATCAGGTCAAGTCCATTTAAGAAATTCCAGCAGGTTACTAGGTTACTAAGGAGATTACTTACCCAGACAAGGATATTGAAGGCTATAAAGCAGTACTTGATGCAGCAAAATGCTGACCCTTTATGCCTGCCCATCTCTTGACTTGTTCAATCTACACTTGGCAGTCCTCAGTACATTTACACATCAACTATATGTGCTGTGGCTTTACATCTACAACAGAAAAGTGGAAATTTTAAAAATCAAATAGGTGTAAAAAAGTTCCATTACAGGGAAAACACTGTTACATATGTTTGATTTTTTGAGAACAAAATTAAGACTCATTCAGTTTGCACAGAGAACTGATAACAAGAGCTGTCTGTAGGAGAGAATGCTAGACTATTCTCAGTTCTTAATAGTAAAACAAAAGCCTGAATAATGTAAAATAGAAGAACATAACTGAACTGTGTCAAATTTTTTGGTCTCTAGGTTAAATATTATGAAATCTGTATGAAAAATGTTCCAAAAGTGTTCGGTTGACAATAAAGCACATTAGTAATCAAGTTTGGACACGGATTTACATTACAAGGATCGGACGCTTTCGTTTTAGCTTAAAGTCTCGTCGCGCGCATGCGCGGAAAAACACATCGGATAAAAGTGGACAGAATGAGAGATGGCGGAACGCGCGGAGTGCGAAATATGACAGATTTTTACATGAGTATGTGGTGTTATTGCAGATTTGTGAAAAATTATACACATATGAATGTATTGATACAGTATTATTTTTTGCCGCTAAAGCATTAATATATGAAAATATGCCGATAGAACCATGCAACACTTAGTTAAAAAAGTACTTAATTTAAAAAATATTTGCCTATTGTTTAGGCATACTCTCTACACTTTGGCGCCCTTTTACTTCTAGCGCAAATTATTACCGCGATTCATATTAAGATAATTCTTTTTTACGTGGTTAATAATGGGCGCATTGCAAAAAAAAAATTCTTGATTGCTAAAAAACTTTTTAAGAAATTCATGTTTAAAATTTGTCTTTATTTCTTTCAATTATTTTCAAATGATTTGTACATTTTTTTTGATTACCTGTATATTACACAATAAAACAATAAAAGTGGAACAAACAATCAACACAGGAAAAGTTTTAAAGTTTATTTAATGATGCTAACCGACGTTTCGACTCTCACGAGTCTTCATCAGGGTTATAAAATATCAGAATAATAGAAAAACAATATTTAGCTGTATGCTGTATATTAGTATAAATATAGTAAATATTCTACTAATTAGTATATTAAATACATTTTTAAGATCTTTTCTAGACAAGCGTTCATATATAGATAAATTCATTAGATTGGCAAGGAAGAAACTTTTATTGGCATACAGAACAGCTGTTTTATAATATTTTTTTTTATTTTGAAACAGATTTTTTTCATAGATATCCTTTACAATTCACGTCAAATGATTTTTTTGTCATATGTTTATTTTCATTATTTTTCAAGGAAAGGGCTATACAAATTTAGTTGTATATTTTCTATTTCATTTATAAATGTTAATAAAGAAAATAGATTTACATTGTACAATGTATTTATATATATCCTCTTCAGAATCATTTTCTTATCACACATACCATGGATTGTAGTTAAAGACCGCGCACATACAAAATATACATTCAAATTCTATTTGTTTTTGATGATTGAGTGTTGCAATTATCACATGTAACCTGGTAATGAAAGTTTGAAAATAAAAGTTTTCAATTATCACTTGTTACCTGGTAATTAACCCCCTTCAAAAGTATTTAAACTTCAAAGAAATTTAAGCGATGTGTAAAAAATAATCAAAAGTTACTTTTATTTCGTATAATACTGACTCAAACTATAAAGATTTTTATTGTTTTTCTAGCATTACATTAAAAAATATCAACAGGCATTCAAATAAAAAGAATAATTAAAATATACGAGTGACATTGTAAAGCCCGCAATACATTACCCGTAAAACAATTGTGCGTTAATAAATTTGACTACATAACCCAATAAATCTTAAATATTGCATCTTTGATCATCTGTGAATAACTAACATCGGCTTCTTTTTTATTTTGAAATTTAATTTATTATGTTACCATAATAATAAATTTCAAATACCTGCATTATATATAAAAAAATGTAAATTTACCGCGGATTTCGTCAAGTTAAATTTTTTAATTGTCGTTGCGGACAGATAAACTGTACCTTTAAAAAATAGATTAGATATTTGAATTAAACAAGTATTTTTCTTCAAAATAAACTTTAAATTTCCAAAGTCGGATAATAAATGGAAAAGCTATATGGTATTTGGTAAAGTAGGTATACGTTGCGAACGGGCATTTACGCTTAGCGCCGGTAAATTATCGATTGATGTATCTTTATCGGGTGCATGCATTTATATAGGGTTAACTGGGAGTGTCTGATCCCTGTAATATAAATCCGTGGTTTGGATAACAACGGTTAATGTGCTTCTAGATATCATGAATCTTTTTTTCCATCTTGAAATAATAGTTATTCACATTATTTCTTGAGTAGGAAAAGTTAATGAAGCAAAATTAGTCCCAAATACCTAATAATAAAAATGGGGCCGGGTAGACCAGAAAGCAGATTGACTTAGGCCGGATTGACTAATTTGGGGCCGGATTGACTTTGAGGCCGGAATCCGGGTCAGCTCAGCCCTAAAACGTACTCGGGCCCCCAAGTCAGCTCGGCCCTATTCCAACTCGGCACGGGTCAACTCGGCCCACTTTTCAATTATTAATATTTAAGTTTGTGTTATCACTATTTATTGTAATTATTTATAATACATCTATTGATAGTTTCCGAACTAGCAGCAGACAGGCTTTTCTTATCCGTAGAATTGCGAGTAAAGATAACTGATTGCGTATCTCACGGTATTTCTGACTCGTGGTAGGTTTAACCGTAAATTTAAATACCTTCACAGGGCCGGCAAAATCTCAGAAAATTGTACTTGTCCACGGACAAGTAACCTAAGAAATTTACTTGTCCGTACTCAATGTTCACTTGTCCGTATTTATATTTAATGTTTACTGCAAATGTCAATAAAAAGAGCAATATGATTATGAACTTTCTTTCAATTTTATTAAACATTCTATGCCATATGTTTAATAATATAATATATTATGATTGTAATATAATATATTTATAAAATGTTAACGGCAGTAGATTAAAGTAGAACGACAGCGATGGACAAATTGTGTATATTTTACTGGAAGGAGCATTGGTCTTTTGCCAGCACTTTTTCAGTTTTCCTTGCACCCAAATTGCTCTAAAATATTATCTTCATTGTTTTGCACTCTGGTATCATTTCTTATTTATTCACTCCTTATTCTATTCATCTATATAATATTCATTTCAATGATTTGAATCCTTTTAAAAAATCATATGTACTCTTGAGTTAGATTTGTCAAATTGATGACATCTGGCTTTTTTTAACGATATAATTATGATTGCCACAGAATGTAATATCATATACGTACGTATATACGCTTGGTTGCAGCGGATGAATTGTGAAAATTTTGACATCATTACCATCGGCGACGATGAAACTGACATGTATACATTAACACCAGTATTAGACATTCAAAAACAAAGGCATTTTCACAAGAAATCTTTACATAAAATAAATTATAAAATGACTTTGTCCACATAAATTCAAGCAGTCAAATTGCCGATATGAGCGTAAATATTCCCGAATGACCTGGAAAAGCTATACAATGTATTTAAATTTCATTCTACACAGCGGTATTTCAAAGACAATTGTTGCGAGATTGATGCTGTGTCCGATGATCTAAACAATAAATGCGATTGAAAAGACCACAGCTTCCAATTCAATTTTATGGCAGAACCCCGTTGCTACCGAAAATATTTTATTGCAGAGGCTAAGTCGGCAGTCATAAACCAAAACAAACATATACCCTCAATAATTAGTTAATTGCCGCGCGCATGCAGTAACTGCATGACGTAAGGAAAACCCCAAGCCTGGTTGGTCGCTATTTATGTAAACACTTAAAATAGTAACACCCTAATATGCACGGAATGCCCTTATGACAGACACCACACTTCACACGCTAGTTTTCGTATTAAATGTGTGATTTTCCTTCTGATTTAGATCTATTAGAAAAGAACTAGATTTTTTTCTTCAGAATTCCTCTTTTAGCCGCCGAAATTTACTTGTCCACGGACAAGTAAACTGCATAATTTTACTTGCCCGGACCTACAATTTTACGACTCGGGCAACTCGGACAATTGATTTTGCCGGGCCTGCCTTCAGAGTCAAACAATGTGTTGAAATATTTATTGTTACCGGCTATTATCATCAATCAGTGTGTATATTAAGGATACCGGTTAATTAGGTGATAATTATGATTGACTCTTTCAATCATTTGATTAGTGACCACCTGCAATTAATTAGAAGCTTATGATATGAAGTAAACACGTTTTTGTTTCATTTTTTTTTTTAAATATTACTTTACAAACAAATTGCATCTAAGGAAACACATTTTTATTAGATTTATATTAATTTTATCGAATCTGCAAGACAAATAAAAAAAAAATTCTAAATGTACTTATTTCGGCAGAAGTGTACTGGGCAGGAACCAGTTTTCGGACAATACCAGTTTCCGGACAAGTTTTATAACGGCTTGATTTTAACTTTATCAATGGCGATAGGTATTATATGTCATGAAGATGCTTGGTTTGATTGTTTGAGAAAATAAACTTCCTTCCAAGTTGATACATCATTAAAATTTCGTGAGGATATCTTACCTGTGTTTTAAAAACAGCCTTATATCCCTTTGGGGCAAGTGATTTGTTCTGCGCATGCGCACTATTTTGTTTATTTCTGGATATAATTTGGGGTAGCAATAAATGCACAATGTACTTCATTCGAAGTTCATTGGGTAGCTAAATCTGTAACGTATCGGAAAATGGTGTTTAGCTAGGTTTACTCCACTTTCGCACTTCGTTGCTGCCGTACACACAAAAATATCCGTTACACTTTTCAGTCATTCCGAGACCCATCACGTGATCGTTAATTTTCCTATCATAAAGATTTTTCAGAAAATCAGCTTAATTATATAAGAAAGCTAATATGTGAGAAGAATTTTTTTGTTATATTTGAATAATTATCAGTTAAAAACAGATATGAATAGCAGCTTAATATATGTCAGGAAACTGGTTCTGCAAGAGTGAACAATTTACACTTTTGATGACCTAATTTAACCCTTCAGTTTGTACATTGCTTACGTCACCAGGCAGTATTAATTGTGTTATCAGACATAGTTAGAGCTCAGGTTTTTGGTATGTTAGTTTTATTAATGCATGTTAGTTTTATTAATGCATATTTATTATTAAAAAATAGACAATTAAAAAACTTGAATTCTGTCCGGAAACTTGTTTTCTGCCCAGTAATTATATAATTATAAGATATTTCTCATTATTCATTTACCTTAACAACATGCAAAGCAAAGTTTATACGTTATATATATTTTTGTAAAGTGGGCCGAGTTGACCCGTGCCGAGTTGACCCGTGCCGAGTCGGTATAGGGCCGAGTTGACTCTCTTCCTTGAGGCCGGATTGACTGGGGCCGGGTTGACTTGTAATGCAACAAAGTCAGTGCAAAATATTTCTCGCATGGTTCTAGTCAAAATATTTTAACGTGCAAAAACAAGATTCTGAGATATTTTTGTTCTGGTTGTAGAATGGAGAGGGGATATGATCTTTTTTGGCAATACACAAAATAATTTTTGTTGAACTAGAATAGACCAAACACAATCTTGAATATATTCACATGATAACGAATCAAATTATTTATATCTTGAGCACTCGGATTCAATAAACAGATCGATACTTACGCTAGAATAAACGAAATACAGTGAATTTAATTATACTTCTTGTCAAAATATTTAGATTGCTGCCATTTTAGGTTAAAGGTCACAATGATGTTTAGGGGGCAGGGGACATATTCGAATGATGGCCCCGGTCAAATTTTTTAATAACTCAGACATGGTGTTTTGTATATAAATCCGTGTTTGAAGGTACTGATACTGCTGCACCTTCATGAAGATTGCCTATATTGGTATATTTTAGGTGTGATTTTGGCTGGGTGGGGGTAAATATAAATTGCTGTCAGTCATTTTTTGAAGGAGCAATGCATGCAAACTATTATTTTCTTCAATGTATGTCATATATCATTGAATAATGCTGTGCAACTGGTTATCTGCCTGTGAAACAGATTTTGAAATATTTGGAATTGTGTTTCTGGCCACACTGAAATACAAAATTTTTCATTTTTAGGTCCCCTGCCCCCTTATATTCCGTCATGTTCGGTATCCGTTATCAAGATAAAACAAAAGGTTATGCAGTACTAAAATGTATATTATACAATTCACAAAGTCAACTAAAGTTGGTCATCATCATCATCATCATCGTCAGTAATCGCCTCACTCTTCATAGAGCATAATCGCGATGAAATTAAAATTATGTACATGCGCAGCAATTGGTTTCCTCTTTACAGTTAAAAATTGTCTATTTACATCTTTTTTAAAATCTGGTAAAAACTGGCAATGGGCAATGTGTCTAGTTGGTGGTTGTGTGTTTTGTCAGCGCCGACTTGAACCCCTCCAAGGTTGGTTTCTCAACAACTTGTATGGGTAGGCGATTCCAGAGGATGATGGTGGCCGGAAAGAAGCTGTTCTGGTACACAGATTTCTTACAAGTGAGCTGGCTGAGTTGTTGTTGGTTGCCTCTTGATGTTCTTGCATTACGTAGTGGGGGATCTGGTGTGACGTCTACAAGGTCATGCTTGATCTTGTAGAGCATGTGACTCTTGCCATGTCTCTTCTCTTCTGTAGAGTGGTCCAGTGTAGTGAATTTACCATCTCTGTGACACTGCTCTGGCGTGAGTAGTCATTCATGACAAACCGTGCTGCTCTTCTTTGTACTCTTTAGTTGGTTGATGTGGCTGTCAGCAGCAGGTGACCATACAGAGGAGGCATACTCAACGCTTGGCCGTACGTAGGTGTTGTAGGCTTTGGCTTTGGCATCTGGTGGGCTTGACCGGATGTTTCGGCGCAGGAAAGCTAGGGTTGAGTTGGCTTTTTTCGTTATATTGTCGATGTGGCATTTCCAAGATAGGTCTGGTGTGATGGTGACTCCAAGATACTTGGCCTGGTTGGTTACATTGAGGGTTGTCTGGTGTATTGTGTATGGGAAGATAATGGGGTTCCTCTTGGTGGTAATTTGGATGACCTCACATTTGGCAGCATTGAACTCCATTTGCCATTCCTTCTCCCAGACTTGGAGACTGTCAAGGTCGTCTTGTAGGACACGGGCATCCTCCTGGCTCTTGATCGTCCTATCGAGGAGACAGTCATCAGCAAACATGCCAGTCCTCGACTTTACCCTAGAGGGTAGGTCGTTGATGAAAGCAAGGAAGAGCAGAGGACCTAAGACGCTGCCCTGGGGCACTCCGGATGTGACAGGGGATGTGTGGGAGTGTGAGCCTTCCAGGACCACGCGCTGCGTTCTGCCAAAGAGGAATCCTTGGACCCATTTTAATGTGTTGCCTCTGACCCCATAATTGTCTAGTTTCATCAGCAGTCGTGTGTGTGTGAGACCTTGTCGAATGCTTTGCTGAAATCGAGCAGGATAGCATCTATTTGTTCATTTTTGTCAAGTCCTTTGACAAGGTTGTTCACAGTGGTGAGTAGCTGTGATTCACAGGAGCGACGGCGTCGGAAGCCAGACTGGGAGTCAGACAGTATGTTGTTGTTGTCGAAATGAGCCATGATGTTGCTAAAGATGATATGTTCCAGGATCTTACAGGAGATTGAAGTGAGAGAGATAGGTCTGTAGTTGGATGGTGTAGATCTGTTTCCTTTCTTGAAGATTGGGGAGACATCAGCTGTTTTCCAGTCAGCTGGGAGTGTACCACTGTCTAGAGAAAGCTGGTAGATTCTGGTCATGCCTGGGGCAAGTTCCTTGGCACAGAGTTTGAGGAGCCTGGTAAGTACTTTATCTGGGCATGCAGCTTTGTGTTGCTTATGTCCAAGAAGAATCTTGAGGACACCCTTCTCTGTCACAGTAATATAGCTCATATCTGGAATATGGCGTTTTGGTAGTTGTGGCGGTTTAAGTCATCTTCTTTAGTGAAGACAGAGGTGAATTGGTCATTTAGTATGTCAGCTTTCTGTTTACTTCCACTGAAGGTTATCCCATCTTTCTTCAAGGGTGCTACTCCAAAGTTTTCTTTCTTCCTGGATTTGATATACTGCCAGAAGACTTTGGGGTTTTCATGGTCCTCACTCAGCATTGAGGCAACATGGTGGTCATGTGCACGCCTACATGTCAGCTGGGCTTGGCGCTTGATAGTTATGTATCTGTCCCAGTCATGTTGGGTGTTAGATCGCCTTGCACGCTTGAACCAGCGTTTCTTCTGCCGTGTGATACGTCTGATGTCTCTGGTAACCCAGGGTTGGTTGTATCTTTGTGATGTCTGTCTTGCTGGCACCTCCTCTGCAACTATATGTGTGCATCCGTGCTTAAAAAGTGTCCAGCAATCTTCAATGTTTGTGTCAGTTAGGTTGAGGATGGTGTCAGAGAGATTGCTGCATTTCTTTTTCATATTATCAATGTTGGCCTTACCCCACATGAGTAGAGTGTGTTTAGGTGGTTTCAGGCGGGGGACACACATGTTCGTGTCGATAAAGACTGCATGGTGGTCGCTGATGCCGGGCATGGGGGAGCATTGGTTGACAAGATCTGGTCGGTTTGAGAAGAACAAGTCAAGGATGTTGTTGCCCCTGGTGTGGAAATCTATCATCTGGGTTAAGCCAAGGTCCGGTTCCATATGCAGAAAGGCTTCATTGATTGACTTTTTGTATTGATGACCTTGTATGGTGTTATTGGTCCAATTTATATCTGGCAGGTTGAAGTCTCCAGTGATCCAAATAGCAGATTTTTTGTACATTTTACAAACTTTTGATATGGTGTCGAAAAGGTTGTGGGCATAAGATTCATCGTTGTTTGTTGGTCTATATGCTGACCCTATAATAAGTGATTCATTGTTAGCACATTCTATCTTAACAAAGACAATGTCACATATTGAGTCTACTTCAATTCTTTCATGTTTGATGGTATTTTTGATCAGGATTATGCTACCTCCATACCCATCACGTCTGTCTTTACGATGGATGTTAAAATTGCTATTTGGGGGAAGAATTTCGGCATCATGGATGTCAGGCTTGAGCCATGTTTCGCATCCGCAAAGGATATCACAGTTTATCGAATCAAGAAGGTTCCAGAAGCTGGCCCTTTTCTTTGAACTGGTTATGCTCTGTATGTTCAGACTGGCTAGACGGATGTTGTTGGTACGAAGCTTTTGCTTATTTCTGGCTTTAGGACTTGAGCATGATGGTATTGGTGCTTGAGCACTTTTTGAGCTTGATGTTGAACCACTAATACCTGATAAGTCAGATATGCTACATGAGGAGATGCTATCTGGGTGCGAGATATCACTACTGTTTATCGAATTTAAGCTGGCGGGATGGTCTGGTCAGTCCCATTTTGAGATTAATGCCACCAGTTTTTCTCTATAACTTGAAAGCGATCAAAGAAAAAAACGAAAGGAAAGAGACATCTTCTTAAATTAGGCGTGCTTGGCAGGTTTTATATTATATTTCCGAAATTCAAAGACATTAATAATTATAATTGTGTTTGCTTTATACAGAATCTTTTTTACCAACTGAGCTATTCGGCTGCTTACACATCATCTCCCCTAAGTTCTGAACCGTGACAGTTTGATTGTGTAGGAAGCTATAAGCTTATAAACACACTTTCGAATCCGTTCTTGGAACCAACCAGTACTGAGCAATGAGTGTAAAGTTTCTTGCTCAAGGAAACAAGGACTGGCCCCTGATGGGACTATCTTTATAATTTCATTTAAATAAAACAAAAAACACACAAATAAATAAAATAATTTCATTTATATATTCCCGCAAAAACAAATTACATCTAAAACACAAAATATCACAAAATCATACTTTTTTCTTAGTTAAACTTTTAACTTGGCATGTAACTTATTAGAACTAAATTTTGGATTTTGAATCACATTGTTTCTATAACAGACCTATAATTTAGTCTCAGTTACTATCAAAAATTAATAAAGGGAATTGTAATGATCATGAAGATATGAAGGAAGAATAATAGAGGAATGCTTTGTTGTAAATAAAGGCGTGAAGAGGAACAAAAGCTCCCTGTCATCACTTCTGTGATTAAGCCGTGCTCTCATTAATATCAATTTTGAGATGAAAAGCACAGTTGACTATAAATTCAACTACAGGATTCAAAATCATCAGTCATATTTTTTTTCATTTCAAAAATAGCTACAATGTGAAAATAATTGGCCAAAACTATTACATTAGTAATCTTAATAATGATACCTAAATTAACTTGTCTTAAAAAATCTTAAATATTAGAAGGCCTAATGTAAATATTACTAGTAAAAATTGACTTCAAACCACATGCCTGAAATAGTGAATGAAGGGGTACAAGAGGTCTTCCTCGACATTAAAGCTGAAAAGTCGCTTTATGGTCTTTACAGTGTTGATCTGACATAAATCCAATCCAATAAAAATATAATATGGTTAACCTTGAACATAAATAGTAAAAATTATTTTGGTTTAATGGTTTTTGCATTCTATTAATTGGAAAACCAACACATTTTTCTGGTAATACGTGTTTTGTTGACAAATGTATGATATAAATAATTTACTAAAAGCTATAGCTTAAGGTCTTCAGCGTACCCGTTTATATACTATGACATGACGCATCAGATGAAAAACAAAAATGTTAAAAGCAGCTTATAAAGTTTTTGAAGCCAGAACTATAAAAGCTAGTGCTGGTAGTACTAATACTAAATAAGTTGCCAAGTACATGTATTGGTACTGATACTTAAGTACCATAACCCTAGTTCTGATGCATGACTTTTCCAGATCAAGGTTGGCAATGATAAAGTCACACATGACCACCTACTTCACAAGTTGCGTCATCAGGGCATAGATAATTGGGAAGTTAGTTGGATAGAGATCTTCCTCTAGCTCGCGTCTTAATCATTGCTGATGACTCCCTATTACAAAGGAGAATCAGGACAAAAGAGGAATGTGCCATCATAGAGAGCGACATAGAAAGATTAGAGCAATTGGAAAAGGAATGGCAGATAAATAATTATAACAAATCAAATGTGTGGTATTACGGTTCACACGCCGAGGAAAGTCGCACTTTGCAGCCACCTATTTCATCCATGGCCTCACAATCTTAGTAGATCCGAATGAAAATATTTTTGATTGAATATGAATGAAAATGTGTCATGGAATCCACGGATTGAATGGAAATCAAATATAGCACTTATGTGAATTCCTTTCTGTTATGATATCAAGATTAGATAACTCTTTACATGTTTAGTTGTATAGTTAATGGGATTACTTCCCTTTACTTGATATTCATTAATGCTATGTTATATATATGATCATGCCTCTCTGATACCTGGGTCATTTCTCACTTGAGCTCTGGTCTTAACAACATGTAGTAAATGGTTATAATAAATTGTAGAATAGTTTGAATCTTGTTATCATCCATACAACATAACACTTTCCATGACAGAGTTTCGTCTTCATTATTCAACTGTACATAATACATGATCAATACATGCAAGTTTTACATTTCTATATTGATTTAAATAAACAAAATTTCGTATATTATTATTTTGATTGGAATGAAAATTGATTAAAAATGCTTTTTCTTTTTGAATTGAAAGAGTAGAAGATAATAGTTAGTAATAACAACAGCAGAGGCAGCAGCAGCTGCGTCACACAGTTTGCCATGGAAATGAAGTGTGGGAAATGTAGTTATGAATCGAAACGCACTTTTTATGATTTGAAGCCTTGTTAGAAAGGTAATACCTTGAAAGTATTGTTGACTTCTTCCACCAACGGACGAAAAATAGGATACAGATCGACAGCATGAAAAAGAAGTATCTTATCAGAATAGATCTACTGTAGGGTGGACAGGCAAAGACGCTGATGAATCTCGGATGGATGGCTAATTCATGTGCCGAGCATGTACACACACACACACACGCACACACACGCACGTGCGCGCGCACGCACGCACCACATGTAGACACACAGGAGATGCATCCAAGTCTGAAAAGTCAAAATTGTACAAGTGTATACGTTTTGTGTTTTTAGACGACTTATATATGTGTTTGAAAGAATTAAGTTACTGCGGATGAATTTCTTATATGTTTGTTGTTTATGTTACACTTTCAGCCAGAACAGGTAGTTCACAAATCAATGATCTAACATTATGCTCACTGCAAAGGTTTGCACATTATTTATAAATATATATATAATCCTAGCCATGAAATATATTTCTGAATAAAAAAAGGAAAAATCATGAACAACAAAACAGGGATAAAAAGAAATCAACAAGTTTATCCTTAAGAAGGTATGTAATTCCGGTAGGGACATGTCACTTTGCTTATTTGCCAACTACTGAATTGCTTATTTGCTAATTGCTAAATTGCTTATTTGCTAATTGCTGATTTGCTTATATAATTTGTATGCTATCGTCAGGCGACAGTCCGATTCGCGGAGTTCTTGTTTGAAATGGCATAACAATTAAGTCTTTTTAGACTTTATTTCAAGCTCATGAACCTATATCATGTTGTTATGTTTATAAAGTTTTGTTAATTATAACTTGTGACAATTTTATATTAAATTTCGAAAAAAATAAATAAATTCAGTTTCAAAAAGTAGTTGTTTTTTTAATTATCTTGAGTTTCAATTTTAGCTCCACTATTCAGAGAATAGGGATACCATTCTACCCACCAAGGAATTTGTTTTCTTGGTAACTTGCTTTTCTGTCATATCTCTGTTACTACTGGTTATATCTAACTTCACATAAGCATTAGACAACAAGCATACACAGTATACTGAGAGGCTTTGTCCATTATACCCTGGGTCATGACCAAATTTCAAGAACATTGAAACAAAACTGGGATTTCTAGAGTGGTTAATAAAGGATTCTATGACTACGAGCTAGTTTTTGACTCATGTAACCCAGTTAATATCTTGACCTAAATATCATCCAGATGAACATTGTGACTAAGTTTGATGAGGACCATGTCCAAATTGTGACCACTACAGTGTTTACATGATTTTTGTATGATATGACATTGTGACATTGATTTGGCCCCCACATGACACATTTCATCACAATCTAGAAATCCACAATATTAACATTGTGGCCAAATTTGATGAAGATCCAAACACAAGTGGTACCTCTCTAGTGGTTAAAAGCAAAATGTTGATGCACACACATACAGAAGTGATCTCAAAATCTTAGAGAGCTTAAAGCGAAGCCTATTACTTGAGTGCGAAGGCAAACACAAGTGTTTAGCATGCACCAAGTGGATCATTTCTGATACTATGTGTTTGAACCACTAAAAATGAGGCCCTCCATGACAAATATGCTGAGAATAACGATCCCTTTATACACATTTTATAGTTTTGTTTTCAAGTTCTTTTATTTTCAATCTTCACCCAATAATTTTCACTTATATATGTGTAATCATGCAAGTGTTTATTATGACATCAGTCTTTGACTTTAGCTGTACAAAAAGATCTATAGCAACACATTATAAGGCATTCTCAAGGACATGTCAGCCATCAATTGTAGACATATATCTGCGTAGACATCACTGCAACTAAATTAATTGACCAACAGTATTCTTGGAAAACCGCTGAATTTCCAAGAATACTGTTGATAGAAGTTAACTGGTTAATTGTCTGTAGTCAGATTTGCTATACCTCTTGCACAGTGTAAACTAATTCTATTGCAAAAAAAAAGCAAATTAGCAATTGGCACATAAGCAAATACGTAAACCAGCGGTTCACAAATAAGCAAATCAAATTAGCAATTCAGCAATAATTGGCAAATAAGCAAATTTGCCATTAAGCCTATCAGCCATTGGCAAATAAGCAAATCGGCAATTAGCAAATAAGCAATTCAGCAATTGGCAAATAAGCAAATTGGCATGTCCCTACCGGCATTCGACAAAGAAGGGGTATAGATGGATACCGAAAATAATCTATTTTCGCGAAAATAAGATCGCGGCTACGAAAATAAGATTTATTTTTGAAATAGTACATTTATCTGTTTAAATAATTATGTTAATTATATATTTATGCATTCTTTGAATGATTTTACAGCAAATTAAAATTTCAGAACACATAAGCTTGAACCATGTGAATCAATGGTCACATGGCTGAGAAAGTTGGTAATGGATGATACTTTACAGTAAAGTACGTGTTCGACTAAAAATGTTTTTAAAAGTACGTGATTAATTGTGTCCCGATACCTTGTTTGAATGTTTCACAACAAACAAAATTTACAAGGACACATTCCCCGCCAAATGGAATGCGACTTTTCTGTTCCTAACGAAGGCTATGATTGGATAAAATAATTAGATGAACCAATCAAATAGCTCGGTACCTTTTAATGAATGATCGTCCATTTTGCCCCTCGTGTTTTGCAAGTCAAGGTATCGTTGGTAAGAAAGTGATTTGATTTGTCGATATGATACCTAATTTATATTGTGTCACTGTCATTTTCCCTAGGACTTTGTACTTTATTTAATGATAACTTTTCAATTCCAAAAACAGTCATTTTCTATATTTATTTTTATGTGAAACATCATCGGAGACGGAGATTTTTTTTCAGGCGCCAGATTCCTGAATTAATCAAATGTCGGAATATTTCTAAATATTACTGCCAAGTCAATTACAAACTTGCACGATAATGTAAAAAGGTTTTTACACAAACGTTGACACCATTCTAGATCATAGATCATTGAACTGATCCAAGATTTCTGTTTATGGAAGAATTGTTACCAGGCCCCAATTATAGAACGAATAGATAATTCTATTCTGTTTTGGTTTCCCACACACATGATGCAAGTCTTGTTTTCATTTCTAATTTCAAATGTGTTACTATTTTTTCTGGCATCTATACATTTCACCAGGACATTTTGGCTTTGGTCTATTCATCATCTTTTGGCCCTGGACTCTTCAGTTATGTTTTGTTATAGTATTGTAAAGGAAGGGATTTATCAGTAGACATGTTTGACATGACCTATATATGTTGTTACAGCTTGATTGGTCAAGTGATTAGATTATCTTGAGTGATAGTTGACCAATCAAGCTGTAGCCTAACAACAAAAGTCTACAAAAGGTGGTAAATCAATGTGCATCAAGCTGTATCATGTGCCAAGTCAGTTTGAATTTATTCCATATACAGGGCACTCTTGGTTGTTTTTGGGGCTGAATATGCCATAATGGGTACCATTCCCCTCTCAAAATCATATGTATTTTACCCCTAGATCAGAAAAAAATCCACTCCAAATTCTAAAATAAATCAACTTAAACAGGGTTCGCACAGGTCTTGAAAAGTGCTTGATAATGATCTTGATTTTGAAAAAAATGCTTGAAAATGTCTCTGATGCTCGTAAAAATAAAAGTGGTCATCAATTAACAAGAAAATTTAAACCAATTTTGTACAAAATGGAAAGGAAAACTTTGCCAAAATTTTTTAATTACCTCTTGGCTCTACTTATTTATATTATGAATGTTTATGAGTATGAAATGAACAGAAAATGTGTTCTACGTCATCACTTTTTGCATTAGCGGTTTTCACGAGTATAAACAAAAAGTAAACTTTGAAAATTATGGATAAAAAATGTCTAAAAATGGAGAGAAAAAAATGTAAATTCTTGCTCAAGTTGCTTCTAGATTATCCATCAGTTATCATATAAAGCAATGTTTGAAATGCCCATTGCAGAGAGCTGGCGGATATGCGTGAAGATAATTGAAATAAATGGTATATCATGTATAGCCCATAGGAGAAAGTGAAAGTGCAGTAAGTATTAGAGAAGCAATACATGTAAGAGAGGAAACACCCTTTAAGGAAAATGCAGGATAAATGACCGTGATAAGATGCCTGAAGTGCACACTTTGCTTTAAGATAGAAGTCTTTGCTTGACATTTCGATTGTTTGCAGGAACTCTATTGCGGGACGTGTTGGACTGTCCTTGAAAATGCAAAATTGGCCTTAAAAAAGTCCTTGGAAAAGTGCTTAAAGTTAGTTGACAGATTTCTGTTTGAACCCTGTTAAAGTAATTTGTTTGATTTGTTAGTCTAATACTAGCTATTGATTTCAATGGTAGGAAAATTACAAACCATTGAAACCAATGGTAGGAAATAGTGTAATGAGTAAATGTGATAGAAAATACACTAAAAACATGATAACATAAAATTTCGAATTTTGCTTGAAAACAATGTAAAATTTCCCTTCCTTAGGGTATGGGTACCTGTCCCCAAAAGGTGTCTAGTGCCCTGATTTATAAATTTATACTCTTTAATTATAGAATATTTTTTGGAAAATTATTTTTGAATGTCATATTTTTGTAATTACTAGTATTATGCAGTGTTGCATCTAGAATTTCTAAATTATGGGGGATTGTCCCCCACTCAATTGAAAAATGTGGGGGACATACATTTACCTTACAATATGACATTCGGAATAGAATTCATTTATTTTACGTTTAGGCATTTTTGACAGCAATTGTACGCTCAAAAACGGAAGTAGAAAAAATAATATATTGACGAATAATACAAAACACACGCAAGATGACTCAGTCGGCTGCTACATGGGATTAAGTACGTATTTTAGTCATAACCAAACATGGCTGAAGCGTTAAAGATACGATGAAGATAAACTGAATTAAGTTGAAAAGATTGTCAGATGTGCGACTTGGCGCGCACTGACTTCATTAAAATGCGCGATCTGCATAAAAAATGCGCAAATCGCGCAATCGCGCGGCCTAGATGCAACGCTGACCTATTATGGACATTCAGGTGGTCAAGTGCCCACTCTTTGAGTTGCTTGGAGATCTAGGTATTATGGTGCAAAACCATGGTATTGACAGACACGACAGATAGAAGTTTAAAAAAACCTTTTTCCACCGCTCCTCACTCCTTTAGAAAAATAAAAGTAATATTTGATATTGTACGAATCATTGTGACACATACCCCTAGGATCATTTTATATCTTCAGGCTTCGCGAAAGTCGGACATGTCCGGCAAAAATCAGGCCGGTCCGATATTTTTTTTCGGAGTTCCGGACCTTATGTCCGGTACGAATACCGGGATATATCCAAGACCGATCAAGACCGAGTTTTCTCCCTTGAATAAAAAAATGTAAAACGAGTTTTGATTCGCCGTTTCATTATAAGTGTCCGATACATACGACTGTCAATAATCAAAATGTCGGTGTTACTACATTATTACGCTGGCGCTACGCCCGGCAAAAATCGTAAACTATCCAATGAAGAAAAAAAAGCGAAACAAAAGGAATACGAGTCCAGACGCCCGCCGAGAAAATTTGTGGGTAAATGGAAAAATGGCCGCTTTGATCATGAATGTTTTGATTTCCAAACAGAGTCCATCCACAGGTGCTTGAAACAAACTTTTTAAAGTTTTATATGGGCTATATACTATATATCTTTATATACATATATAGACTGGTTATGTAAAATATTTGAATATATGTGACTTGCGCCTGTGAGTCCATTAATCTGGATAAACTCAGGGCTCATCCGGAAGGGCGATTCAGGCGAAAACTTTGCCGTGTATATTTCCATTTCGCTCTCACAATTGATCAAAGAGAAGTCAACATCGCCGATAAAATCTTAATTCCCAAAGAATAATTACTTGGCGATGTAAAGAGCAGAGATTGTATACGCCCATATGACGACTGCTAATTATCATTATCCAATCAGAGCGTCGCTTTATACTACCCTTCTACCTGTATGCAAAGCGATAGACCGCCTACTCTAGACAGTAAATAATGTGAGCATCGGCCCGAAACGGGTATAATTGTGTGACAGTTTTGCGAGTTTAATACGGGATTTGGCGATAATTATAGATTGTTTTTTCCCCGATCATCTAAACACGTGCAAATCTTCCCTAATTGATATACACGCGGTGTTTAACCCGAGTAAAGGCGATCTGCAATGGGTTTTTCACGGCTATCACAAAACTGTTAGTCAATTAAAAATAATCAATTTCATTAATGATCAGCGACCGGATTAAAAACTTAATCATAGTTTTGAATGATTTCAGTCTGTTAACAAAAATTAGTTAACATAAATTAAAAAAATTGTTATGTCGCTCACGTCATGGCTACAGGGCGAAATGCCCAAACCTAGAAGTAAAAGAAAGTTACTGATTCTGACGCAAAAATTTAAGAAAGCCAATTCGCAAAAATCTTACGATTGGTATGTTGAAGACAGTGAGAGTGTTTGGCATTGTTATCTTTGTAGAAATGCCAAATTTGACACAGCTTACGCACGTGGGCACGACATCCCGGAAAAACTACGAATCATGATCGGCATGCTACATATCGATCGTATATCATGTGTACATGTATATAACGGAAAGAAGTGTTCTTATTGTTTCAATATATATATTTGTTTTAATGTCATAAATATGACGCTCAGATTAAGATTTATCAATATTGTAAATTTCAAAAAGCATTATTTATAAAGATATTACGAGTTTAACATTTCATGAAAATAAAGGGAGGTAATTAGAAATTTATTTTCTATAATTTCTCAGTCAAATTTTTCAATAAGAAATGAATGTATTTAATTTTAGTGATCAAATATAATGTGCACAAATGTTTGCAGTACATATTTTACATATTCTTCGATGTTTGAAAATTGTTTTATAAGCATAACTATATGTACATAAATATGACATTACAACATGCAAGATCATATAAGAATTTTCTGTAATCAGAACAGAATAGGCAGATTTTGTTTGAAACTTTATCTTCTATTAAAAGTGAGGAAAGTAAAAATATGAAATTAATTTATTCATCAAATTTTTTCTTACACATTATTATCAATAAATCTACATGAAAATATATAAACAAATATGTAGAGAAAGCTTATAAATTAGCTGATAAATAGTTTAATTGTGTTTATATTATAGTTAAGGATGTATAGCCATGCATGTTAATGCATACACATTGGGCTGTTTCCCTTCTCCCTATTTTTCGCGAGGAAGTCACTTCTCCCTAAAATTTCCCCCAAGGATGAGCCCTGTAAACTAATGTTTTATTTAAGGGAATAAAATTGTGTTGCAAATCTTTAAAAGTTGTTATGTCTTTAAAAAAAAAAACACCAAGGTATTACCATATACATATATTTGGGGGAAAAAATTCGGTCAGACAAAAGTTCTTTCGGTCAGACAAGAATTGAAAGTTTGTCTGACCGAATGTCAGGCAAATTTATCAGCAGTTTCGCGAAGCCTGTATCTGTGTCACTGTGCACACAATGAAAAAAAGCAGTACTTAGTATCATTCATTTGTGACATCAGAAATTGTCTAGTAGGAAAACAATTATAATTTTAATGCATGCAAAATATATTTATTACAGGCTGACAAAGAACATTTAAAATGGCTGATCCAGAAGTGTAAGTATAAAATATTCATATTATACATGACATACCTATAACTTAGTTTACTAATTTACATATTTATACTATTAAGTATTCCTTCTGATAACTGTAGACCTGAATTTGGGTACACTATGCTTAAAACAATTAATAAATCTTGTCTGTATTTTATGTAGAATAATGAATGTGCATTAAACTTTAACCAAAGACAATACATGTGTATTGTTTTTGCAGTCAAAGATTTTAATGATTGTATTTTGACTAAAGGTGACTGTCACTGGCATTGCTTCATAAGATAATTATTTTACAGTGTACCTGATGTAGAAGCAGCAGATGCTGGAGGTGAAGAAGAACCAACAAGTGAAGAACCAAGCAGTAAGCATGTTTACTAATATTAAAAAGCAGTTGTTTTTTCCCAGCATGTTAAGACTGTCTCCTGTACACTTGACATTGTTTTGCTTTTATGTTTGAAAGACCTAAGGCTATGATTACAATTTTAGGAAAAAGACTGAAAAATCAATTTTTATTGTTACTGAAGCTTCAGTAAAAAATAATGTGCAAGAATATGGAAGGAATAATTTCCAGAAGAAATATGATTAACTTATTATATGAGCTGTAAAGGTGACCATTTTGTTGTGGCAAATTGGAAAACCTTTATTCATAGACTTAATATGATGCATGCTTGAAGTGTTTGTATCTGATGTCATACAAATGATAGTTCTATATGTTTTTTTTGTTTGTTTTTTTCATTTCCACAATGTATGCTTTTTAATCAAATATCAGGTCAGGGAGATGATGTAGCTCAACCAGCAGTTCTTGCCAGTCAATTGATGCGGGACCCCATGATGCTTGCTGCTCTACAAGATAAACTAGGCAGTATGGTGGGAGGTAACTCTGGGTACATACAAAGGTATTAAATCAGATCAAATTGTTTTGTTACTCATGCTTTTAATTTGGATTTTTTTCTCTGTTTATATAAAAATTGTTTTGTCTTTGACAGAATTTATTAGTGATTCCACCAAAATATTGAAGTATAGTGTGAGAGGAGACAGTTGATAACATTTTTTGTCTAAACCACCACATCTAAGATGGCCATTCTTCAATCTATTATTAGATCAATTTTATTGCTGTTTGTTGAAATCTCAATCATAAGCAGTTATCAAGGTCATGTTCAGGATTAAATAAAATCTGCAGGACAAGGATTCATTTAAATCTTATGTTCTGGAATTTCAGCTTGCCAAAAGCAGTGAAAAGAAGAATTAAGGCACTTAAAAAGCTACAATTTGAAGCTACGAAGATTGAGGCTGAGTTTTACCGTGAAGTCCATCGTTTAGAATGTGAATATGCTGCCAAGTATTCACCTTTGTTTGATAAGGTTTGCCACATACTTTGTACAGATTATTATCATTATCTACCTAAAACTTATGAGTGATTAAAAAACTGACATTATATATCTTGCTTTTAAAAGCTGTCCAATTATGTTATGTGGAAAAGCTATTCTGCACGATTATTTAAGTTCTTCTTTTAATATTAAAAGAATCCTTGCTTGAAATAATGAATGTATGTTGTGAAGGGTTGGAGTCGTGCGTGGTATAGAAGTATTTCATGGGTACTTTAGGTGGCTAACCTGAAAATATTATGTAACAGTTCATGGCACAGTTTTTACCATTTTCAGGCATAGTGTTATGTGCAAAATTCAAGACCCTGTTGTCAAGGTCAAGATCACATAAGTCAAAGTTCAAATCGAAATTTGGTATAGACCACTTAGTTATCACGAATTTAGGGATTTTATTGTAAAAGTTGGCAAGTTGAGACTGGGCATTTATGTTTGGCGTATTTTGTGACTCTCACACTATTGTGTAAAGATTGTATTTATATTTTATATAGAGATCAACAGTGGTTACCGGAGATTATGAACCAAATGATGAGGAGGCAGACTGGCCTAGCGATGATGAAAAAGATGAAGAATTAGCAGTAAGGCTTTATATCATTATGTCAGAGACTTTGGCTTACAACGTTCATATTTGTTGAAGAATATTTCATGAAATAAAAGTATAGGGAAAGTCTTAGATAAAAGATACCTTATATATAAAAGATACCTTTATAGGAAATTAACCTTTTAAGAGCCTATCATTTTGAAAAGTCTACTCTAGTTAAAAAATGCCCATCTTTTGACACCATACAATAATGAAACAAATACATTTATGAAAAATGAAGGGACCAATGCATTGGCAGTTGTCTTAATGAGGTGTCTTTTTGAACAGCAGCGAAGTGTAGGCATGATCTTTTGACAGGATACCTGTTTGTTAAATACATCATTGACTTTTTGACATTTAATTAATTATTGATTACTTTTAAGTCTGTATTGATAAAAGATGGACAAAAAATAGCAATGATACATCCATACAGTTCTATCATTGACAGCTCTTGTGGAATAATCTGAATAACTGCATGCTTTGTGTCAGATACAAAACACACTGATATTGAAGAATGGCTTTTAACAAAATTAAATGGTTTCACAGCATTAATCTTGTGTTGTAATTTGAATTCCATTAGCGAGACTCCAGAGGTTAGCTTAATAAATTGTTAAAGTTTACAAAAGAATTGGTATATTTTATGCTTAACCTGCTGATTTTGTGTAATGGATTTGATTTACAAGTTGAGAGGATTTCAGTATCAAAATACAAACAGTATAGAGACTGGCTCTTAATTCTGATGGCAATGGCTTTTAGCTTCCACTTCCAGCAAAATAAGGGTTAAATTAGTGCCTTTGTAATGAGTGTTTATTTTGTTTTGTAGAAAGGCACAGATGAACTTGCATCTGGAGACAAGGTACATAATCTTATATTAAATTTGCTGTGAAATCATTTACTTTTGATACTAAGGCATATTTGGGTTAATCAATAGATTTTGGGTTAAATTTTTTGTTGCAGGAAAGTAATTTCAGATGTGTATAAAATGTAAGAAATGTTAAATCATAGAACGTAATTTTGGAAATTGATTTGTTCTGGGTTATCTTAGCTATGAAAAGAAATGGTTTCACAGTTTTTCTTGTAATTTTATGTGTTTACTCATAATGAGTTGATTTCAGAATGATTATATGTATAACTTGACTATATATATATATCCTCTTTGAACTCTGATAAAACATGGATGTATCTGAACAGCCTTTGAAATAACCATTATTGTATGTAGCCCATATAGGCTACCCCCAGTGTTTCTTCCAGCTTTGATATTTTGGTGAAAACTTTTGACCCACTTTATCTGATTTTAGGAGTCATTATGCCTAAGTGTTATGCCGTTAACCAAGAAATTAAAGGAAAATATCAACCACAATGATTAAATATATCAGTCTCTTATAATTCATTCAGCCATTGCAAAAAGAAAAGAAAATATTGCATAAAAATCATTAGTAGATAAAGAGAAAAAAATCTCTTTGAAATTACCCAAGTTAGCTCCATTCACAGGTCAGCTTTTAATAGCTTAATTGTGATTACTTTTGCTTCATGGTTACCATATTGGTAGTAACACTAGTGCACTTGCTGTAATCAAAGTTTGTAATGATTGAAGCAGGGTTGTGTAGACAAGTTTGTTTTGAAAATGGGATAATTAACAGAACAAGAGGCAATAATTGGGTGTAATTATATTACCCCCTGGGATGTTTGAAAACAAATTTTTGTCTATTGATAAATTAACATACTGTTAAAAGGTAAGAAGTCATTAAAATCAGACAAAGCAGTGCATGATTATAAGATAGTTTGTCATGGACTTAAATTTAGCATAGTTGAGATTCATTGTTAATCGATTTAGAACAAATTCCTACGACACAGGAAAAAATAAGCCAAAAATGTGCTCTGGAAGAAACACTGAGGCTTGTAAAATATCACTTAAAGACAAAAAAAATGGCTAAGAGATGAAAAGTAATAACTGAACAATACAAAAATGTCCAGTTTTAGTTATTATCTCCCAGTCTGCAAATGTTTTACTTTGTGATAATTATTCAAAATTTTCTTCTCTTTTTATATATGCCAGAGCAATACTTTGCATTGAAAGTGATATATGAAAAAGTGTGCAACTGGTCTGAGGTTGTTCTTTCAGTGACGGCACTAAGTTGGCTGACAAAACATATACTGATTTTAGTGGAATTGTAAATTTTGAAAATGCAGCAGACCACACCACATTCTTGTAATTCTGTAAACTTAATTTGATATCATTGGTTGACAGGAAGAAGTAAAGAACAAAGCATCTTTAGAAGACAAGAAAGAAGAAGATGGTGAGAAGAAAGAAGGTAGGTATATATATGATGAAATGTATGGATGAAGAAATAGGAAATTACTTGTCAAAATACTCATTATCTTTGAAAAATGCTAGTAGTTAGTTGGATTTCTATGCATATAAACTAGCAAATATAAGTGAATTAATGATAGTGCAAAAACTGAAGGAAATATTTGAAGTTTGGCTTGATCGAGGTTAACGTTGTTTTAGATGAGAGTTGTATGTTTCAAAATAAGTGAACAAAAAAGATACAAATGATTTCATACATGTATAAAAAGCATGAAAAAAATTGGAGGTGCAAAAAATAAATGTTTTTCAGAGAAAGAAGAGGAGAGTAAAGGCATTCCAGGTTTCTGGTTGACTATATTTAAAAATGTTGATATGTTAGCTGAGATGATTCAACCCCACGATGAACCTATCCTTAATCACCTGCAGGAAATCAAAGTAGAATTTAAAGAAAAGGACCCAATGGTGTGTGTTTTGACTTTTGTTAGTGTTTGTGTAGAATTTTAATGCAGGAAAAAGAATTTAGAAATTGAAAAATTGTTTGTTAGCTTGGAGCAGGAAACAAGAAATTGTCTTATTCTCCAGGAAATGATTAATTGCTTCTTTAAATAGGAAACAAGAAATTTTGTCTATTCTAGAAAACAAGAAATTGTTTCTATACACTAGGAAATGAAATATTGTGTCATATAGGAATTGCAAAATTGTGTCTTCATTTTGTCATGAAACTTCAAAACATGCATTATGATAATCTTAATTCATGTTAGATAGAGAATGCTTTTTTTCTGAGAACAGTATCTAAAATAAGTTTGACAGCTTCCAGTGATTTTCACCTTGTATAACAGAAGCCTTTTTACAGTGGCCAATAAAAGACCTTTTCACAATAGAAATTTCCTTTAAAATCACCCAGTTTTCCCAAAACTGCACTTAACCAGCTATTTTTCTCCCTAAATTAGCAATAGTGATAATTTCCTCCCAAATCAATCAGCTAAGGCCTCTTCCCAATTAAGTTAGTAAGAAAAACTTACTTCTAACAATTGTCAATTTCCTAACTGGATTGATATAAAGAATAAAGTTTGCATGGCAGCTTTCCAGTCATTTTAAGGCAGGGTGATTTGAATTCTCAAAATATGCATCTGTCTTAACACTTGTCTTGAATATCCTTGTCTGTGACTTCCATACAACTACCAGGATCTGGTATTACCTTACTTTATTTCTGTAGAAAAATTTAAAAAGGACTTTTGCTATATTAAAGTTGTCTTTTTCTCATTTTCAGGGTTTCACATTAGAATTTTTCTTTGAACCAAATGAATATTTTGAGAATAAAAAATTAACCAAGGAATACATAATGAGATCTGAGCCAGAAGAAGGGGACCCTTTCTCATTTGAAGGTCCAGAAATAATCAAATGTCACGGGTATGTACATTTTAGTTGAAGATGTATAGAAATAAATTATACAATTTCAAACTAAATGGCTGATGAAAAAATTGTCACAGATTATAATCAGTTTACTGTCTTTGATAATATATTGTAACTAACAAGGAATTTTTTTATGCCCATATTTTTATGGCATATATTTTCGTCTGTCATTCCTTACTGGGTTCATCGAAAGTGATAATTTGGAAATACCTTCATTTTATCTTTATGCAGGTGTAAGATAGATTGGAAAAAAGGAAAGAATGTGACAGTTAAAACAGTGAAGAAAAAGCAGAAGCATAAAGCTAGTGGTACCACAAGAACTATACAAAAAACAGTGCAAAGTGATTCATTCTTCAATTTCTTTAGTCCACCCTCACGTGAGTATTGTGAATTTTCTAAACATCTTGATAAAATTGGAATATGACCAAATTTTGTTAATTGCTGTTATAACTGAAAGGTTGTTGAAGAATTATGATAGAGCTTTATGTGTGAATGAAACATAAATGCTTTAGGCCTGTGAATATCTGTCCAGAGCTTTAACTTTACAAAGGTTGAAGGCCCAAATGGCCTATGATCTAAAAAAAAGTTGTTTTGCAGTCTGCATTCCAGCAAAGAATATAGCAATTAACTTAAGATTATTGATTTATTGATGCATCATTTTATTTTATTATTTGTTTCAGCTCCAGAAGATGAAGAAATGGTAAGTGTAAACTTTAAAGTAAAATTATATTTTTGTTTTGCATGTGTGCTATCTTTATTTTAAAAAAAAAACATATGTTTTGTTGTAGCACTTTAATGTAGATTAAGCATCTTATCACAAAAATAGTTGTCAGTAACTTATTTAAATGAACTATTTTATTAAAAAAAGATATAGTAGTTAACTTGGGATCTTAATAATTAAGATTCCATAACTTTATTTCAATTCATATTAAATTTTAGTTGATATTGCATTAAGAAAACAAAGAATGTCAATGGAGAAACTCTGTTGCAAAAATATAAAGATAAACAGCTTGAATCAAAGCAAATCAGCAAATAGCTTGCATCAGAGTAAATCAGTCAATCAGCCAGTGGTGTTGTGTAAGTTTTGATGATTTGTGAGATTTAAATGTTATTATTCAGGATGAAGACACAGAAGCACTATTAGCAGCTGATTTTGAAATAGGTCACTTCATACGAGAACGGATAGTTCCGAGAGCGGTCCTGTACTTTACTGGAGAGGCACTAGAAAATGATGATGATGTAAATTATTATATTTTGTTTTTTGTTTAAAACTTTTTACTTCAACTAGTTTTGAAAATATTAATATTGATCAGTCGGCCTAGTTTATATTAAGTTTTTCTAACTGAATTACAGACCTCGTACATATGTGAGTTAAATTTCCTTTAAGGGATGTTGAATTTCCCTCGAGGAAGTTATCCAGAAATAACTGATTGAAATTTATAGTTATATGTAAGTTCTTGCTTGTGCCTAAAAATATACATTGCAAGGGCGAACTTTAGTCATCGTCCTTTATATTTTAAGTCTTAATAATAATCATGATTCTTGCTTGAAAAATTGTAACATTGTTTGCTTAAATTGTTAAATAACTATGTAGTGTAACAATGTTATTTTAGGATGATTATGGGGATGAAGAAGAAGGAGGTGAGGAAGGAGATTATGATGAAGATGCTGATCCTGATTATAATCCTGGTGTAAGTACATACACTGTCATCATACAATGGTGCTTTGTATTATTTGTTTAAATAGGATGTAGTAAGAAAAGTAGTCTAGCTAGTGATTTTTCACCTTATATATAACTGAGGCCTCTCAATTGAAATCCTGCAGTTTTTCCAATAATCTGAACTTACACCAGCTCTTGTACTTCCCAAATTGGAAAGCTTAGCAATATTTTTTCCCAGAATCAAGATACTTAGGCCTCTTCCCAATTTAGTGATTTGATGCATCATTGTCTTAACACCTGCAAACTTTTTAAAATAGCCTATTAATAAACATCCAGTATCAACGTGAAATGACAAGGTGCAGCTGTAAGACAAAGGGAATTATTCTTGATTTTGTAGAATTGATGCAGAATTATAAAAAAAGATTAAGGAGATTGTTCTTATTTTTGGCATACATTTCTATCTAGAATTATGTTTCCGTTTCGTAATTTATAGTTAGTAAGTTAACTTAATTATAGATACTTGAAACTACTGTATAAGTGGTTAATTTTGCGACGTGGAAATATTTGCGATTTTTTGGGAATTAAAATTATTTGTCGCACAAAAATTATTTATTTTTTGGCAAACTTTCTTCTTTCATTTGAAAACACGTGTTCATAAAGCATCCTACATGACTAAGTTAAACTGTTACTGGTACTGAGATAATTTTTCTCATTGCTTGTTTAAGTATGGTCTTAACAAATAACAAATGTTTTAATGAAACAATATATGTGTTATTAACCCAATAGGTTATTCATATAACAAAAGAATGTTTCAAAATATGAGATCAGCTCCTTTATCAAACTAACAATGCATAATTCAAACAGTTATATAAATAATAAGGGTATTAAACAAAAGAATAGAACGGTTACAATAACGGCATATTCTAAACATGTACCTGCTTAATTTATGATGTCAAACAAAAACAGTATTAAATTCAAGAAATCATATATTCGCAAATATTTCTGCACGCAAAAAGTCCGCTTTTTGACATTCGCAAAAATTTTGTGACGCATAAATATCCTTTTATACAGTATATTACATATATGAAAAAAAAAAAATGGTATGTAGAAAGAATACATACATTGATGTTTTCTCTTGTCAAACTCATTGTTCCAGACTGGTAAATTTATATCGAGAGAGTTCCAAGAGCATTGTGCACAGCTTGCCCTTGGCCGTATGTCTAAGCCATCAAGCGCACCATGTGATACTCGTTTGTTTCTTAGACCTAGCTCCGGTTCCGCTGTGAGACGAGAAATGACTATGCAGGCTGACTTAGCAAGCCGCCCAAAGACTGCTCCACCAAGATCTCCAAGAGAATTTGATCGTGTATCCGATAAACCGCCTGTTGCCACTTCAGCATTTACTGCCTCAAAGTCTGAGAACACCTTAGTAAGAGAAGGGACTGAGATATTTTTACCTAATTCAGTGACATCTGAAAAAGTGATTGAGGCTAAGCCCGATGTACCCCAAATGACGAGGGAAAAGACTTTCATTACAAAACCTTCAAATCAGTTCTCAAAACCACCATGTATTATGCCAAGAGAGAAATCATTTATAAAAAGCCCAAGGCGGAAAGGGGCAAAACCAAGCAAGCTGTTTGTGAATAAGCTTGGGAAAGAAACTATTGAATCAGCTGAGGAGTGTAGTGAGTCTGATGAAGCAGCTGAACAAGAGGGTACAGGGAAGGATCAAAATATGAAGATGAAATCTAAAGTAACAATTGAAATGGATAAAAAGTCAACTGATAAACTCCAAGGGGTGAAAAATGTTAAGGCTGCTACTAAAAAAGAAGAAAAGAAATCTGCTAATGTTACTACAGGGTCAGTTGAAAAATCTGCTGATGTTACTACAGGGTCAGTTGAAAACAAACACCATAGAACTGGTGTCAAATCCAAACATCATGAACACAAAACCAAACATGACCAGAGATATGGTAATTTAAAGACATCTGGTAGTTACAACAGAAAGGATATTGCAGAGAAACCAAATGCAAAAAATACAGCATTTTCTATTCTGCAGAAACTTACTGGGAAAAGGAATAAGGAAGCTCATAGGGCAGGCCAGGTGCCGAATGTTAACAAGCCAGTACGTAAGTACAAATTCTCAACACCATCAACTGGCAATGCTAATAGAGAGGTCAGTATACCAAAAGACATACAAGGTGACTTACAGCGTATACCTGCCAATAGAGAGCAGAATACAAATGAAAAGATTGCTGCTAAAAAGTCTGTTGCCAGAGAAGCTCATAAGCTTCAAGCTGGTTGTGATACAGAGCAAGGACATAGAAAACCTGCGTCTGCTCCTGTCAGAGTAAACAAAGAAACGGCAGGGAAATTTCCTGTGTATGAAACTAAAGAACCAGTTTGTAAACCTAAACATGTAGCTGTGAGAGAGAGCCAAAGTGCAAATCCTCGAATAAAACATAAAGGCCCTTCTGCCCAGCAAGGCGAGTTTACATCACAGAAAAATAAACCTCTAAATACTTCAGAAGACACTGGAATAAAAATTCCAACAGAAGATAACAATTTTAAATCATTTCCAAATTCACAATCTAAGATGAAAACTGAAGAAAATTCAGTGTTGAGAAAATCCAGTCATCATTCAAGAGGTGCATCATCATCAAAGTCAAAAAACAAAACTGTGGAAGAGTATCCAGTACCGAGTTCATCTGAGCCAATATCTGGTCAAAAGAAAGGAGTTAGAATACAAAATGCTATGATCTCCACAAGCATGGAAGTTTCTGAATCTAATGTTGCTGTTGCTGAGGAACCTGAAGGTGGAAGAATCAGTGTTGCTAGGAGCAACACACCAGCTAATCTACACCCAAAGCTAGAGGACAGTCCGTATGTCAGAGTGAATCCTTTACTGCAGTCTGGCAAGCATAGACGGCGGCAAGGGGCAGGTAGTGCACATAGCAACACTAGGAGTTCTGAACAAGGATCTAGGAGCGATTGCAGTGATGCTAAGGATGTTGAGGAGAAACACTGTAAATGTGATTTTAGTTATACCCAGAGTGTGATTGATCTAAATTGTTACTGGTTTAACAATCTTACATGATGATATGTTTAAGGGGTCTCAGTGGCAAAGTGTCTCGGTTAACTAACTTCTAATTACTTGTCTGTCTCTTTGGTTGGAATCCATCCAGAGATTATAAAATTGTGTTTTAAACTACCCGGTTAATGTTTCTATGGTTGGTTCTTCCACCAAGGCATTTCCTTGTGCCTAAATGAATTGTGGAAGGCTTTTTATTAGGAGCTTCCTCTCCAGTAAACTGTCATATGACCTTAACATTGTCAGTGTGAGTTTAAAAACCCAGTCAAATATATATTTAAAAAAAGCATCATTTGGCACAATGTTTGAATCCAATTTTTTCACAGTATATATATATCCACTCTGGTAACTAACATCACATTAACTGTGTCCGGTCTGATGTGTGGAGACATAAATCTGCAAAGTATATGTATCTGTCCTGTTTGTGCTTTCATTGTGTGATAAATCATGTTATTTATAGGTAATTTCATCAAAACAGCTTTTATAGAAATGCCTGATCCATAACTTGAATAATTTAAATGCAACAACAGTAAATTGTTTCTGTATATTTGGTAGCAATATGTTTTAATCAGTTCAGTGTGAAATTAAATGTTCCTGTCAGTGTTGCCACTGGTATATGAAACAGGATGTAAAATATTTTCAGCGCTTTACTTGAATTTTTACCCTCAGTTATGTAAGAAAACCCTTATGTTCTGAAGAGATGTTCTGGTATAGAATGAGTATATAGGAGAAATTAAGAAATTAGCATAGAGTGACATAAGAAATTGTGATTAAAGCAAAGCTTAAATTGTTAAGTGTTAAGTTGGAAGTGAAGTCAGGTGGGGCAACATGTGTATCCTCAACCAGTAAAGTTAGCGACAATATGCTAATAGCATTGTTGTCTCTAACCTTAAAAAATGAATGACAAATTTTATTTATTTGGTTGTTTTCTCTTCGTAGGGCTCCAAATAGAAATCAGTTTTGTATACACACATCTGGAATGTTAATAGGTATAGTTTCTGAAAACTTGATCAAAGCTAGCATTATTTCTGTCATGCTTTCATAGACAAGTTGAAATATATTTAAAGGTGTACCTCTCGTGTTTTGCTGTGCTTTAATTATGTTTATTGTATTATATTGGACTAGTATTGTCCTGACATTTGGTTGTAATGAATTTTTCCTGTTCTGTTAACTTATCGATTCCAAGCATGTGTTCAGCTGGTTGATTCTGCTTGCCTTCAAATCCACTCTCGCTATGGTTTAATCTTAACACCGCTCATTTTATCTCTTTTCCCCTTCAGCAGCCCATGCCAGTTTAAAAAGGGTTAAAATGATTTTTTAGCTGTTAAACATATTTATGTATAGGAATTACACAATGTATTTGGATTTCAATGGCTATGTTTAGTTTTTAATAAGAATTTCAAAGGCACTGCCTCCATGCTTAGTTAAGGAAATATGGTTTTTAGTACAACTGGAATTACACAATGTATATGGATTTCAATGTTTTAATAAGAATTTCAAAGGCACTGCCTCCATGCTTAGTTAAGGAAATATGGTTTTTTAATATAAGGAATTACACAAGATTTGGCATTTAATTTTTAAAGTTTTCTAACACTCCTCTTTTCGCTTACCTTTAAGGGTAATGCGTTTGAAACTTTAAATACTTTAGTGACTATCTACCACCCAAAGATATATTCAATTGTTTATTTGGAAAGTTGTTTGTACCACCTCACTTATTTCCTATACCCTTTGGGGTATTGCTTTGAAACTTTAAATACTTGCTAGTCCCACTCCAAGGCAATTATATAAAATGTTTCGGAGAGCAGTGAACTTGGAGGTTAGGTAGCAGGAGAGAAGCAAGTAATAAATTTATTTTCAACCTACAGTGTCTATTCTAGGAATTGAAAAATAGGGGTGATTTTCCCCCCTCTATTTCAAAAAAGGGGGCGATTTTCAAAATCAAAGGGCGCCAATATAAACTGCCAATGTTAAATCGTCTGCATTAAGTTTACACTGAGGCGTTCAACCGATGAAATAATTATTTAAAACGATAATATTAATTTAAGGCAGCAGAAGTTGTCCCCCCTGAATTTTTAAACGAAAACAAATTATTACAGAACTGCCGCGATTGATTATAAAGGGATTGGCAATACAAATAATCGAACTATCTTTCACGTCTAGATCATAGCCAAGCTAGGAATTGCCTCATTTTTCTTGATTATTTACTACACTAAAATGGCCCCCAACTGTCAGACCTAAGCACACTAGTTCCGGTCGATACGGAACATTCCGTTAATTTCCGTCAACTCACGTAACCAGTACCATACGGTACTAAATTATTATAATTAGCTTACAGTAACCTCCCTTCGGTTTTCGGTGTAAATGTAAACAAAACAACCAAATATAATGCGGGATGGAAGTTTTACGGATTTATTAACTTTTTTTATAGATGCGCGATTTTCACGCACATGATTTTGAATTGTGCGCGATCTGTTAAATACTAGCGTGAATCGCGCAATCGCGCGTCCCAGAATAGACACTGAACCTAGTGGGCTTATCCTCTGCTATGATTTTGGAACTGCTCTTTTTATTTCAAGAACAAAATGTTAAAATTTGAAACGAGTTATATTGCATGCATATGTAAGCTAACCTTAGCTCTATATTTTTGTGTTGACTGCAACATAGTACCAGCAACATATAGGGATCACTTCTCTGTCATCTGTCCATCCGTCACAAAACTTGTCCGGAGTTCTCAAAACTTACTGGTGCAATTTCATCCAAAATTGATAGGAATGATCAGTACCAAGTCTAGTTGTGCATTTTGACGAAATGATTTTTGTCAGAATTATAGTACTTTTATATTTTTTGTGTTTAAAAGTTTTGTCCAGACTACTCTTACTCTAATGCAATTTGTGTGAAACTTAACATGATTGATCGATACCTCAAGTACTTGTGCATATATAACAGATTTTCTGGTTGAATGATATTTATAGCAATGAATTAAAAAAAAAAAAAAGCATTAAGAATTAAAAAGCATTTTGGACTGACAATGATTTTTGTGTGTCCTGTTACACATCAGCTGCAACATGCTACAAAGTAAGAAACATACAGGAAACAAACTGGTCAGTGACCCCTCAATACAACAGAACTGCCTAATTGGCTGTCATCAGGCGACACATGTGATCACTAATTGCTCTTGTTCTGTAAATTCCTGCAAAATCTTGTGCATATCTGTAAGTGGAGGTGAATTAAACAGTGCTATTATCTTTATGTAATTAATATGGAAAGGTTTTTGTTGGGAGCTTAAATGATACTTATAGGGTATCTATAACATTTAAGGGTGTAATGTCACTGACTCAAAATTGGCTGTCACATGACCTGACATGATCAGTATACAGTATATAACAGAGAAGGTGCAGACAGATGATGGAAAATATAGAAGAAATGTTAATTTTATTTGTAGAGCGTACTATATTTATACCTGTTAATCTTTAGCTAACCTTTCAGGTTCAATTTTAAACCTTGGTGACTGTTGAAAATAGGAAATATTATAACATAAGACTATGAAAAACTTCAAAATAAAAAGTTAAATTTTTATTGTTAAGGTCAGTGCCTTCATACCTGGGCATATCATATGACGAGTGTACACACATTAAATATTTTGTTGTTTTACTCCCATCAGTAAACCTCTAGTGTACATTAATTTTTTTGTTGGACTGGAGTGCATTTGTGTTTCATGTCCTCATCTTGTATTTATTCAAGAATGATCATAATTTTATTGGGAACGCATGTACATATGAATGTTGTTTCCCTACATCATGTCATTATTTAAAATTAACTGTTCATGGTTGCATGTTGAATCCCAGGCTGATATTGCTGCTTTTATTCTGTTTGGAGCCCATGTTTGAGAAGAGAGCTACTGTTCAGATTTTTTTCACATGTTTCAAAAACAAAATAATCTTGTATGTGATAATATGAAATAATCTTTAAACATACACTTGAAAGATTCTTTAATATGAACATACTTTGATAATCAAAGTTATTATACTTCTAAGCTTATTTTATATAAAAGATAATTCTGCAATGCATCATAATTGTTTTAATAAATCTTAACTGTTATTTTATGTGATTTCTAGGGTTATATGTGAAACTGAACTAAAAGTTTCTTTGATGTATGCTTTAAAATTTCACATATGAAGTTAAGACTTGTTCACTAAATTTTAGATTAACTGAAGGTAGTAAGCAAATTTATTTGACCTTATTTTCACAAATATTATTTATTTGGACATTTTAGCTGGGGAAGAATTGATTTCCTTAAAATTGACTTACTATATCAATGGACAAAAATCATGGAAATTTTACTTGCATTTCTTGATTTGTACTGTCTTAGCTAAAATTTCAGAATGGAATATACTTTGTTATACATAATGTTTAACATCACACGAAATTAAATAATCTAGTCTGCTTGCCTATGATACAATTATATATACATGTATAAGTAATTATATGATTATAATGATATATAACTAAATGATAATAATATGTATTTACAGAAGGAGAAGCCTGCAGACTGTAAACAACAATGAAGTGCCCTGATTCTACTGTCAGACATTTTTCTTCATACAAAAACAAAATAGAAACTGTTTCCTCATTCACTCACGTCCTTTCCGCAGTGTTCGGTTTCTTAGCCAGCTGACCAAGAAATGGAAGCTTTTCACTTGAGTGCATTTGTTGCTAGGCAACTATTTACAGTTGTTCTTTTTTCCTGTGATGTTTTCAAAGCCTCCGTTGGCGTTTTTTCAAAGCTTTCAGAAAAGAGTCTGTGTAGAAAAGTTATTTGTTTTAAAAAACAGTGCGAAGAAGTTTTTAATAAATTACCAAATACCAACTTTCAAAATTGTTCATACAGTGTTAGAATGTAAACTTATTTCATATAACTTTTTATATTATTCTTGGTTTGTTACACATGTTTTAAGAAGATTTTAAATGTTAAGATGGGAGAAAATATTGTGTCAAGTGTTGCATATGAAATGAATTGAATCATAGCTAAAAGATTGGTTTATGTTTTCATTATTTTAACATACATGTATTGGTGTAAATGTGGTATCATCAATTTTGACTCTTGAAAGGACAGGCTTTACAGCTGCTAGTGTAGTATGTTTATTTGTGCAATGATTTGGACTGTTAATGACTTGCAATAATTATGTTAATGAATATTACTTATTACAAACCACCCTCAGTGAATAACTGTTTATTATCTGTATTTTACTCGGAATTGGTAACATAGGACTTTCATATATATGCTCTTGAATTAAACCTTAATTGTTGACAAGGTCAGATTATTTTTTGTAAAGTGAAGTGTTCATTTGGTCACATTTTGTGAACTTTTGTTGAGAAAATAAGTTTAATTTTATTGGCTAAATTACCTTGTAAACTGAATGAGATTTTTATGCTGACGACAGGCTATCCTTGCTTTTATGCTTATAATTTTTTTATTTTACTTTTTTTTTTGGAAGTTGTTTCTGCATTTTGCTTAGAAGCACAAGAGTTAAGAAGTTTAAAATCCAAATCCTTTTTAATAGTAAGTTTAGATATTGCCAGTTGCGTTAAATATTTAAAGTGATGAGATCTCAGGAAAAAAGGGGGTTGTATTTTCTGTAATTGTCAAATCTTGTGATTAAAAGAAAAAGAAAAAAAGATACTACTTTCATGTTGAAATGTGTTTGACAGATACTTATTGTTACCTGAGCATATTGATGAACGTAAATACTTTTTTTATGATTTCAAGAATAATATAAGAGAAAAGAGATCTGATATTAGTTAGTTATTATGTTGATGGTGAGATTACTTCATAGTAAAGTAAGTTATTTGAACAGCATGGGATTGTTGGTTCATTTTTGTATCAACATTTTAGACCACCTTGAACATTTCCAGTGTGCAAGGAGATTTCATTTCATATCATTATTTTATTACCTCCCCTGAATATGATACCTGATAAGTTGTTTTCTAGTCTTTTATTTAAAAATAAACATGGGAAATCTATATTACAATTAGTTTGCTGTCTCCCTTGGCAACAAGTTGTTACCAGTCTTCAAATATTTGAGACATTGTATTGAAGGGCCCATTATGCCCCAGACAGCATCAAACAAACTTATTTTACAACTACTGATTTCGAATTCAAATCTCTTGGATACATTTCCAAAGTTAATATTTCATCAGTCATGCATTTTTAAAAAAGAATGTTTCATTTTTTTTATAATAGATTGTTGAATGATTGTTTTACCATGCATTTATAGAGGTGAAGGTATTTTTAAAAACGGCCTAGTCAGTTAAATATTCTTGAAAAACTAAAATTATGCTCGATAAAAAAGGAGATCTTGTAGGTATAACACATTGCTTGAATGTTAAATGTACAATTTTTTTAAAGTTGACAATTTTGTATTTTTTTTGTGACTAAATAACTTGGTCTCTAAACTTTTTTCCCCATAAAATATAGATTTTTACGCCCATACTTCATACACCTCGTTTACTGAAAATATGTTTGATTTCATTGCTGAATGTTTCTTGTTGTTTTTTTGTGTGTGTATAATATACAAAAGGCACTTTAATAATATTGTACATATATTCTGTTGGTATCATAAGTTTATAATATAAATGCCATGTTTTTAATGTAAGTTTCCCAAATAAATGCACTAATCTTAAAGTGAATAGGTCTACAACATGCACAATGTCCATGCGTTTTTTTTAAGATAAAAAATTGAAACATAAATTAAAGCCAATGAAAATGTATTTTTATAATAAAAAATTTGTGTAGGAAATAGTGCTATTACATTCCTAAGTGAATTGATAACCTTTCTTAAAGATAAATGGTTAACATTGTGCCCCAGAATGGAAAGCCAATAATATGATGTATGCCAATAAATGTGTATGAATGCACACACACGATGAACTTAAAATAGTGCTACAGCTTATCTGTTCTAGACCAAGTCACTTTAAGTATAGTCTATGCTTGTTTTGGTTGTTACATAAATTTGATGCCTAACAATTCGGTACCTATGTATATATAAATAGTAATCCACCTTGTTTCAACTCTCACACAGTGCTTTTGAACAAAGATTTTTTCCCCCTTAATATACAGTAGTACAAAGTGAAATTAATTTACCATTCACTTTTAAGTTCTATAACTGGACCATTTATTGTTCAGTATTTCAAATTAGTAGTTTTTTCAACTGCTTTCAAAATTGATGTATGGGTAATTTCTGCTAGCTCAAGTAGATTGTTTTTTTTCATTCACCACGTAGGTTATAATGTCATTGTGTACATGTTATATATATGCTTAAAATTTTGAAAGCTATTCTCTTGGTGATGAGACTATTAAGGGTAGAAAATTACAAAGAAATATTTGAAATTTATCTCGTATTTTTGAAGACAAGGCACAAACTGAACAAAATCACATTTAGGGTATGCTAGTATTGTTCTTTATAAACAATTTGATACTGGAAAAGGGTTGAGCTGTATCATTAACATGTCTTCATTAAAGAATATTATTTAAGAGTTTCCACAATATTCGTCATATCAAGGAATATAGATTTTTGTGAGATTTTTAAAAAAAATGAACCAAAAAGAAAGAAAAAACATTTTTCTCCAAACCCATTTCTGAATTACTTTTTTTTAAACAGAAAGGTTACTGTGATAGTAAGTCATATTGGGGAAAATAAACTTACACACTTAAAAAAAGTAAACATATGTCATTTACTGATTAGCATGCTTGTGTATTTACTATGAAAGTTGATGTGAAAAATGAATAAAATATGTTTAAACAATTACAGGCAATTTTGTTTTGACTTAGCACATAGAAAAGGTGGTTATTATTAAGTTTTGGGAGGTTTATAGGAGTCACCCGGTGGTATCCGTTGCATTTTCCTTGTCTGGAGCTTAACTTGAAGACTAATGGTTGGAATCCTAAATGACTTCATAGAATGGTCAGGCACAATAAGAGGAAGTGCAGTGCACAAGATTGAAGAACCATAACTCCATCTTGACTAATTACAGAGTTATTGCCCTTTGTTACTTTTCCTTGTCCGGGGCATAACTTGAAAACTACTGGTTGGAATCCAAAATGACTTCATAGAATGGTCGGGCACAAAAAGAGGAAGTACAATGCACAGGAACCATAACTCCATCTTTACTAATTACAGGATTATTGCCCTTCTTTACTTTTCCATTACTTTTTTTGTCCGAAGCATAACTTGAAGACTGATGGTTAGAATTCAGTACAACTTCATACAATGATCAAGCACATTGAGAGAAAGTGCAGTGCACAAGAACCATAACTCCATCTTGACTAATTACAGAGTTATTGCCCTTTGTTACTTTTCCTTGTCTGGAGATTACTTCCAAACTACTGGTTGGAATTCAATACAACTTCATACAAACGTCAAGCACATTGAGAGAAAATACATTGTACAAGAACCATAAATCCATCTTGACTAATCACAGAGTTATTGCCCTTTGATACTTTTCTTGTCCAGTGCATATCTTGAAAATTAATGGTTTGAATTCAATGCAACTTCATACAATGGTCAAGCACAAGAACAATTACTCTATCCAGAGTGATTGCCCTTTGTTACTTTTACTTGTTGCAAAGCATAACATGGAATTCAATACATTTTCATAGAATGGTCATGCACAGTGCACAGAAACCATAACTCTTTCTTGACTCATTTAAGAGTTTTTGCCCTTAGTTACTTTTTATTGTCCAGTGCATAACGTGAAAATTAATGGTTGGAATTCAATGAAACTCCATACAATGGTCAAGCGCAGTGAGATAAAGTGCAGTGCACAAGAACCATATCTATTTGGACTAATTATATAGTTGTTGCCCTTTGTTACTTTTTTGCCCAGTGCATAACTTGAGAACTACAAGTTGGAATTCAATGCAACTTCATACAATGGTCAAGTGCAATGAGAGGAAGTGCAGTGCTCAAGAAGACTGAGAAGTGTAACTCTTTCTGGACTTATTACAGAGCAATTCAATAAAACTTCATCAATGGTCAACCACAGATAAATGAAATGTAACATGCAAGAACCACAACTATCTTTAATTGCCAACAACCTCTAGTTCAATTTTGTTACTAGTAACATCCTCATTTCCAAAGCAGTCATGCAGGGGTAATAATCACATTTAGTGATAGTTCTAGTTTGATTTTGCTTGTGTTGATTACTTTAAGGTGGGGCAATAGCTTAGTTGGTTAGACCACTGACTGTCACTCCCGAGTTCAATCCTTGATAACACCCTAAGGATTTTTCAGAAACACTTCGTGTTTCCCACCTACCTAGAGGTATACTGGTAAAAAACCCAATTGATCCTCGCATGTATCCTTTTGAATCATGACTGTAGGGTCAAAATTGGAGCTAGCCCTATGTGACTTGATTGGAAAAGCTTTTTTCCAAAATTTAATTGATTAGAGCCTAGATATACTGCATGTAGCATTTTCTAGAGGACTTTTATTAAGGTTGTTCAAATAACCCTTGAATCAAAATACATGTAGACTGCATGAAAGCAGACGCTTGGTGTAAGACCCTGCCTCCAATGTGATCACCCCTGTAGACACTGCATCAAAAATATTTAACATTTAAACATGAATTGGACAGCTGTTACAACAAAAAAAACTGGTTTTCAAACAATATTCAATACCTTTTACCTTTTAGTAATCTAATGATTGCTATCCACATGGGTTCAAACCCTGACAGGGGCAAGTCGTTGTTTCCTTGAGCAAGAAACTTTACACTCATTGCTCAGTACTGGTTGGTTCCAGGAACAGATTCGAAAGTGCATTTATAAGCTTATAGCTTCCTGCACAATCGAACTGAAATAAATTCTATATATAATACCTTTTACCATCAAGTCTCAATATTGAAAGGACAGGGACCCCCAAGCATCTGTGCACCAAAGGGGTCCTATGAATTTATATGTAGACACAGGATGACTGACAAAGCTTTGGTATTTTATGTGTGGTGTGGACTTTTTGTCCAACATTTTGCAAATCATGACAATGGGATCAAAATTAGCCCCTACTAGGATGGCCCAGATATTTCGACATCTATGGATGGACTTTTGAATGCTTTTGTATAGATAAATGTTATACAATTAAGATTATGTGAAGCTCATCAGTTATGTAGCTCTTAGGTTTAGGTAACACTACATAGAAATGTTTTCATTTAAGTTTCTAGTCAAAGATTTTATCATTCCTGGATAGATTTTAAAATAAGTTGGCATTAATTTGTTAAACATCATAATAATGAGTCGTACTCTAGAAGTTATCAAGTAAATAGCCATACCACGTCCAAAGTCATTATATGAATTCATGCAGAATAGTGCATACATGGTTGTGTCTGGTCAATAATTCTGTCGTTTCTGAATGGATTTTAAAAAAGACTAAACATACATGCCTTAAACCATCGTTGGAACCCCACTTGGAATGATTTCCCTGAACTACATTTATCATGCAATTAAGTGTATACGTAAGGAGTAAGTCAGTATGCATGGGTTACTGAGGATGGTGTTGAACATGTGTCCCTCGCAAGAATAACAAAAAAAAAGTTCAGCTAAAAGATTAAGGTCTGAGATCATGATTGAGAATATATGGTTTTGTCTGGTCAATGACTTTGTTACCAAGTTTGTTCAAATTATAGCCCTTTTTAGCAATTATAGCAATTTTCTTTTATGCGCAAGTAACTAATTGTCCTTTTACAATCTTTAATCTCTTGATTTGGTAGACATTTTAAAACCTACCTTTGATGAAATTGATAAGCCTAAAAAAATTGCCGCCAGCATAGAGCTACGGCAGTGTGCACATCCGTGCTGTCTGACCGGTCTGTATTTGAGCCTAACTTGATTAACCAGAAACTGATAATGGACATTCCATAAATGGAAACTGGACAAGTCCATTTAAATAATATAGCAGGTTAAATGTGTGAAGGAAAACATGAACAAATTCAGTATTCATATAATTTACTTATTCTGTTAAAACAAAATGAGTACAAATCTTCTCAAAAATAGGTTTAACATAATACCGTATATATTATATATAACAAAATACTGTATATATTATATATAACAAAACTTACAACAATTTCATAAAATAAAACCTAGAACATATATTTCAAGATTAAACATGTTTAGTGACGTGTGTATGCAAATGATTTGAAATAATGACGGAGATAAATATTACAGCAGAGAAATTTGAATATCATCAGGTATGTTCTTTGCACAGTTATTTCAAGCTTTAAAATAAAGATTACAAGATTAAAAAAAACAAAAACAGCAACATTTGTCTTCATTTATGTATCTATTTCCACACGGGGGTCCGTACTCTCAGTGCCTGAAAGGGCAGATGGAACCTCATTAAGCCTAGAACACATCTATTTCCACAAGATATATTGATTTCAATTCTATCAAATTGTAACATCCATTAACCCTTTCACTGCCATAGTGACGGCTTATGCCGTCCCTGTTATTTTCGGCGTATTTGCCATATGGACGGCTTTAGCCGTTTCTATAATAATAATAGTAATAATAATAAATTAATGATAATAATAAAATAAAAATAATAATAAATATAAAGAAAATTATACCATCAACAATATTTTTATTATACTCACAGATTTGGAAACATATATAATTATTATAATACTAATAACAAATAATAATAATTATATTAATTAATAATATAGTAATTTCTTAGAAAACCCTCTGGCAAATAGGTGATCAATAAAACAATAACCCTCTGGCAGCAAAAGGGTTAAAGTGACATTATGCTCATTTTTTCATTGTCAAGCTGACCTGAATTTACTATATATTTCAAAAGATTGACTGAGATAATAGTGATTGACCACAAGGTGATATTGGAAAATGTTAAGGATAATATATGAATCTGCCTAAAATATGTAAAGGCTGCCCCACTCTTTATAAATTGAACATCACAGGTAACTTCCAGGCGATATTTACAGAAATTTCCTTAAGCTATGCGAGTTATTTGTTGTTAATGTTTAATGCGCAGTAAATTATATAACTGAAAAGATATTATGGGAAAATGTAACCTTATTTCGACTAGTAGTTGTAAACTTGCTTTATACCCTTGGACTGGCATAATGTCACTTTTATATATAAATTTATTTAATTTTATATGTTCAAAGCTTATTATAGTTATAAAATTGACATGAACTATTTGTGTAGAAACATTTGCACACATTTGCTGTGACATTCAATCCAAAAATTGTTTCTTTTTCATAAACTTACTTTAGATATAACTACATGTATATGCTTTTAATAAATACATTGAAATGTTTACAGGGTCTCTTTGGTTTCTTTATGAATGAATTTATACATGTTTTATGTTTTTGTTTTTCAAGTAAAATATATATAAATAATATTAGATGTCCCAAACTATTTACTGATTTCCATGATACATAGGTAATATACAATTTAACATTGGAAACAAAACTTTGCTTCTACATGTATTTAAGCAAATAAAATCACTCTATCATAAACAGAGAAACAACTAGTGGTAATAGTTTACTAATTAATATAGCAAAGCAGCCATAGGGCATTCATTTAGATTGAAAGCTTTTGATGAAATCATCTTACTACCTAAATTTGGCAGTTGATTACAAAAATAGTTTGCTTTTCCTGAATTTTTTACACTATATTTTAAATGTGACTTCCAATGTGAGAGATTTTGCTGTCCCCTACTTTAAAATTTCAGAATTTAATGGAAGCCCCGCAACACTGGAAACTTTATGTTAAACTTTGCTTCTGTGAAATTAAATACACATACAATAGGTTTAATTATGTAAATTAACCTGGAGAAACATGGGTAAATGATTTCAGAATTTTCAGAACTTTCAAATGCCTTTTTCTTCAGCTAAAAGGCTTAATCGATGATTTAAAGATTTTTTTAAAATTTTTCCATCTTTAACCTATGGAAAGACAAGAACTTTGCTTCCTCACTGTATTTGATAGTGAAAAAGATAGTGTTACCACCTCCCTTATTACCCATAATAATCTTGTAAACAATAAGGAATGTAAGCAGTTCTATCATCATAAGTCTTTGAGGTAAACAAAAAAGCCAAATATTATTTCCATTAGTGGCATCTCATTTAAATTCCAATAAGCATTCTTTAATGAACAAAACAATAACAAATCTGTTTTAAAATTATCCTAGAATTTTGATTTACATGCAGTCTGTATTAAACAAAATCTTCTTTTTCTTTACCTTTTTTTTCTACACATGATTATTTTTTAAGATGAAAGCATACAAAACAAAACATTGCTCATGGCTTATACATGTATATCCCCTTGCTTGCTGGAAAGAAACAGCATTTGCCAGAGGTATAGTCAGTTGCCTGAACTTATTCAAATTTTCATTTTCACAACTCAAAATTTCACAACTCAAAACATTCGTAATTAATACAGAGGCAAAATAAGGTTTCAAGGGTTTAAAATCTTGGTTCAGTAACCCAGCTTACAACATAGACATATCTAATATGATGAACACACCCCAGTCTACATCAACTCTCGTTTGTCAGTATCATAGATTGTGTATCAGTAAAGCTAGGATGCCACCATGGGTAAACCCTGACCTCTAAAACTGGGTCAAGGACAAGTTCGTGCATGCTCATCTGATTCTTTTTAGAAGTTGCACGGAAGCTCGTATCCATGACAAGTTTCAGCCTGTGGTAACGCATACTTCCGTGACTAACATTGAGATAAACACCATTCAAAATAAGACCCATAACAATTGGTAGTGGCGTGAATCCCGGACACGTTACTTCCAATATTGAACAGTTATTATCAGGATTGTAGAATAAATCTTGATGCCATTTCTCAAAATTCCTAGACTTCAGACTGCATCTTTGATTACTGCTTAAGTCAACATTATCTCCTTTTCTGAACTTAAAATAAAAACTCCACACATTTTTTATCTTTTTATGCCACGTAAGTAAGCATCTTTGTCCAACAAGACAATGTGGCTCGTTCTCAAATGGTACCATTGTTTTGGTACGATTGACGAATGGACGATACATATAAAATAACATTCTAATTGTTCTTGCTCGAAGTCCATGAATACAATCTAATGCCTGTTGACGGAGATCATTGGGAATGTCTGCTGCATCACAGTAGTACCTGAATAATATACAATTAAAATTATGTACTAAACATACTAAATTTAAAACATATTTATTATGTGTTGAAACATATTTATTCAAGCTTTTACCACCTTCCAACTAACAAAAAAAGAACTATCTAGTCCATAATGGCACTTTATAAACCAACCAGTACTGGTGCCACGTGAATAGATATGGTTGTGACCCATGTAAGGCTTAAACTAGCAATCACTAGGCTAAGGCTCACACCTTTACCACCGCTCCTTTTAAAAAGATGTTTTTTATTTTCTATCTCTCAAAACACACAGTATACATATTGTCCATAGTACACTTTATCCCCCTTCATTTGCCTGTCACATTGATATGATTATACTCTTATATGTAATTCAAAAACTTCAAGTTTTATAATAATAAGTTATATATATGATTACAAAATAATAAGTTTCAAAAGCCAATATGACCGAAAAAAATTCTACAATGTTATTATTATTAACTAGACAAGTGTCACAGTGACCTTGACCTAATGAGCTCAAAATCAATATGGGTCAGCTACTGGCCATGGGCGATGAAGCTACCAAGTTACCACAACTTATGCTTTCTTGAGTTATTGATTGAATACTGATAACAGGAATTTTTTTATGTACAGACAGTCGGACCACCCCATCACAATATGCATCCTCCATGACTGTGCTCTCCAGAAGGGTTAAAAAATTTATGTGCTGATTATGTGCCTTTGTGGTTTGGTTAGCATAACTTGTTTTAAGAATTCAACATTCCTTTAGTTTAAAAATAATTCACTTAAGCTAAACAGTGAAATTAAAAACTTTAAGAAAATTTGAACCATTTTCAATCTATATTTTTGTTTGCCTGTTGTTGTTGATTTTTTCAATACTTTCAAAGGAAAAACAAATTATACTGTGATTTGTTTTTGCTAGATTGTGAAGTGACCTTAGTTAATCTTGAATCCATGATTCCTTGATTTAGTGACAGACACCTAAACGTAAAGTAATCAGAAATCTCTCCATTAAATAAATCATTACCTGAGATAAGTTGTTTTCCAGAATTGTACAGTATGCACAACTGCATTTGTTCCCCTACATAAAAGAGCAAAAGTTGTCACTGATTCAGGGTAGATAAATCTTGCTAACTGAAACCAAACATCAACAGGGTAGACAACTCCACAAGTACATGTATTATCCTGTAGTTTTTTCATCTTTTTCATGTTTGGAGCTTTCTTCACATGTTCTGAAAAACATAACATACATCTGCATGCATTATGGGACATTTGCAAAATTGTACACAAGTGACATAGTGAACTAATTCTATGCATGAGGACTATAATAGTTTTAAATGCTAATGATGATATTTTGAATTGCATCATGACAGTGCATAGTGCAGCATTGTTATGTGTCATACTTGTACAAAGTTTCTTCATGAATGCTATTATTTACACAGTGCCCATGTTAACATTTCAGTATACTATACTTCAAAAATTATTTGTGGGCCACTAATTTTTGTGGATAAGTCAATTCTGCGAATTTAAGGACCAAGGAAATTTCCTTTCGTCTCCGGTAAGATTATTTTGCATCACATTAAAATTACATTTTACCTTTTGAAGAAATAAACAAAACAGTCAACGAATTTAAGAACCCAGAGTCATGACTTTGTCCTTTTTTATAAAAATAATATAAATGTTATTAGTATTTTTTATTATTACATTTGGTCCAGTATTTCAAATGAATCATAACACATTTTACTTCTGTAAATAGGCTGTCTATTAATCAGCCTAGAAAATTTACAGTTTATATGAAAAAAAATTCAAACAATAAATTGGTCAAGGTTTATAACATTTAACTTTTAAGCCAACACACACCTTAAGGTATTGGTTTTTGAAAAAAATTAAAATTATTTCAATCACTAAATTTATTGTCAAATCTATAAATTAGGTGAAATACTCTTGTTAAAATTATATTGTTAATTGTAAACATTATTATATTTAATGTATTAAAGTATGCTGAAATAGCACCAATTCTATTAGTAACAGGATAGAATCAACATACATGTAGCATTAAAATAATACATTATAAATTTGGTCATACACATACTTTGAGTTAAACATGCAGTGTCATTTGCATCAATGGTAATATTCACATGTCTGAAAATGTTGATATATTTTTTCAAAAGATTCCTTTTTTTTTTACATAGTTTACTCACCTGGTGGTGTGCTCCATAAATTGATCAATTTATACAGTATTAATGCATTACCTTCACTTTCATCTGACTCTGAGTCTGTCATCTTGTCCACTGTGATATCAAAGTCATCGAGGTCCTTATCAAACCATGATGGTTCTTCAACAACTACCATACTGCTTATTTCTGTGTCATAATAAACAAGAGGGCCATGATGGCCCTGAGGTCGCTCACCTGTATATACGCCCCCCACCCCCGGGCCAATTTTTACCCAAGGGCTTTTATTTGTTTATTTGAACAGACTTGGTAGACACCCATAAGATGTTTCATGCTAAACATCTAAGTTCTAGCTCATTGGCATTTTTAAAAGAAGATTTTTAAAGTGTTTACTATACACATATAGTTAAAAACAATGTCACCCCTGGGCCAGGACCAGTTTTGACCCCCGGGCGTTTATTTTAACAAACTTTGTAGATATTTACTTAAAGATGTTTCATGCTTAATATCTAAACTCTAGCTATTTGGGTTTTTCCAAAGAAGATTTTTAAGTTTTTGCTATACACATATAAGGAAAATCAATGACCCCCCCCCCCGGGCGGGGCCAGTTTTGACCCCAGGGCTTTTATTTGAACATACTTGGTAGACACCCATTAGAACATGTTTCATGCTAAATATCTTAGCTCTAGCTCTTTGAGTTCTTTAAAAGAAGATTTTTTAAGTTTTTACTATATGCATATAGGGAAAATCAATTACCCCCTGGGGCGGGGCAAATTTTGACCCCAGAGCTTTTATTTGAACAAACTTGGTAGACACTCATTAGAAGATGTTTCATGCCAAATATCTAAGCTCTAGCTCTTTGGGTTCTTTAAGTTCTTTTTTAAGTTTTTACTATATGCATATAGGGAAAATCAATGACCCCCAGGGCGGGGCCAATTTTGACCCCAGGGATTTAATTTGAACAAACTTGGTAGACACTCACTAGAAGATGTTTCATGCTTAATATCTTAGCTCTAGCTCTTTGGGTTCTTTAAAAGAAATTTTTTAAAGTTTTTACTATATGCATATAGGGAAAATCTATGACCCCCTGGGGCGGGGTCAATTTTGACCCCAGGGCTTTTATTTGAACAAACTTGGTAGACATTCACTAGAAGATGTTTCATGCCAAATATCTAAGCTCTAGCTCTTATGGTTCTTTAAAAGAAGATTTTTTAAGTTTTTACTATATGCATATAGGGAAAATCAATGACCCCCGGGGCGGGGCCAATTTTGACCCCAGGGCTTTAATTTGAACAAACTTGGTAGACATTCACTAGAAGATGTTTCATGCTTAATATCTTAGCTCTAGCTCTTTGGGTTCTTTAAAAGAAGATTTTTTAAGTTTTTACTATATGCATATAGGGAAAATCAATGACCCCCGGGGCGGGGCCAATTTTGACCCCAGGGCTTTAATTTGAACAAACTTGGTAGACACTCACTAGAAGATGTTTCATGCTTAATATCTTAGCTCTAGCTCTTTGGGTTCTTTAAAAGAAGATTTTTTAAGTTTTTACTATATGCATATAGGGAAAATCAATGACCCCCTGGGTCGGGGCCAATTTTGACCCCAGGGCTTTTATTTGAACAAACTTGGTAGACATTCACTAGAAGATGTTTCATGCCAAATATCTAAGCTCTAGCTCTTACGGTTCTTTAAAAGAAGATATTTTAAGTTTTTACTATATGCATATAGGGAAAATCAATGACCCCCAGGGGCGGGGCCAATTTTGACCCCAGGGCTTTTATTTGAACAAACTTGGTAGACACTCACTAGAAGATGTTTCATGCCAAATATCTAAGCTCTAGCTCTTATGGTTTTTTAAAAGAAGATATTTAAAGTTTTTTCTTTTGGTTGCCATGGCAACCAGAGTTCTGCATGGAATTAAATTCTTTGAACAATTTTTAAAGGTGACCACCAAAGGAACATTCCTGTGAAGTTTGGATGAAATTGGCTCAGTGGTTTATGAGGAGATGTCATTTAAAGCAAAAGTTTACGGACGGACGGACGATGGACGGACGACGGACGGACGGACGCCGGACGAAAAGCGATCACAAAAGCTCACCCTGTCACTTTGTGACAGGTGAGCTAAAAATTAGTGTAAGTTTATGTTCATTCTAACATACTTCACAATCATTCCTTTTGAACTTAGGCATCTGAATTCTAAACTTGCATCATTTCGTAACAATGCACTCAGAACATAATGTACATGTAGATATTTATTTCTTAAATGTACAATGGTTAAGAAATGTCAATGATTTTACCTTTCTTATCAATATGTTTGGACATTTCTCCTTTCTTTGGTCTTATTCCTGAAAAGTTTCCTGGCTTGGAGTCAGCATAGTCATGTAGTGTAATATCTACAAGAAAGAAAAAATACTGGATTATCTAAAAAGATCTTTGAAAAAAGGTGGTTTTGCTTTCTATTTATACCAAGTCTTTTCATTTAGCTAGTTGGAAGATCTATCTTAGTGTAAATGCTTCAGGACAGGTAAAATTGTAATCACAAATACAATTTGGGCCATCCTTAAAAAAATGTTTGTTTGCAGTAACGCGACCGACTCACAAAATTTGCCCCTACACAAATTTTTTTTCATGTTCTGGATAAAAAATTATTTTTTTTGAATCAGAAAATTATGCCTTGTGCTTTGTTATCTTCCTTTTAAATGTTAATAGAAGAAATACAAGAGCTGTCCGTAAGACAGCGCGCTCGACTTTTTTATTGCTTGCCAATAAAAAAAGTTTTTGCAGTAAAAGGCAATACAAGAATCTCTGTATTTTTAAAGTGAACAATGGCCATGAGCATTAAGATATTTAGTGAAGAATTATTTTACTGAATTGTGTGATACCCTTGAACACTGCAGCAAAGTTTGAAATGTTTAAGTCAAAAGAGGGCTGGTAAGAAAGAAAAAAAAACTGAGTTGAGCCTTAAATAAATTTAATTCTAAGTCGATAAAAGGCCTTAATTTTTAAAACAAATCCTTGACAGAGTTACCTTCTCTTGCGTACAGATGGGGGTAATGATGTGAAATAGCATTAAAAGTTTCAAAGCAATATCTCAAAGGGTTAAGGCAATAAGTGGATTTTACCCATATTCAATGTATTTTCTAAGTCAAAAAGGGGCATAATTCTGTCAAAAACCTTGACAGAGTTATGTCCTCTTGTCTGTTGATGAAGGTCGTGATGGTAAACAAGTATGGTCAGTTTCAAAGCAATACCTCCAATGGTTTTGAAATAAAGTGAGGTGGTACAAAAAACTTAACCAAGCTCAATACACTTTCTAAGTCAAAAAAGGGCCATAATTCTGTCAAAAACCTTGACAGAGTTATGTACTCTTGTCTGTAGATGGAGGTTATGATGGTGAACAAGTATGGTAAGTTTCAAAGCCATACTTGTAATACTTCTGAAATAAAGTGGGGTGGTACGAAAAACTTGACCAAGGTGTGACGCCGACGCCGACGCCGGGGCGAGTATGATAGCTCCCCTTTTCATAGAAAAGTCGAGCTAAAAATGTAGTTCTTATTAAATTAGAATTCAGATATCAATTTATTAATTGTTACCAGATTATCAAAGCATTTATTGTCCAGCATTTTGAAATTCCATGTTTATTTGGGAGTACAGTTCAATAAAACATGAAAAAAAATATAAAAAAATCGACCTACCTACCCACCTTGAAAATTCTGGGTCGGGTTACTGCAAACAAACATTTTTTTAAGGATGGCCTTGATATTACGTCTTGTACCAACCAGGAAATTGATTTGGTGAAAGTGCCTTATGGTAGGTGTAACTTTTGTATGAAGATGCATGAAAATTGGGGATTCTCAATTGATTAAGATGGGGTGCTGTTGGCAGGTTTGGGTTTTGAGAAGCTTGCAAGGAAATTTTCAAAGGTATCAATGTGAGTGGGTTTCAAGTGAAAAATACTTCTGTCAATGAGTGTGGAAAACCAGTGTTTCTGCGGGACTAGTATTTTAGGGTCATTTGTGACACTGTAGTGTATAAGAATATGGGTGTGACTGTCATTTGAAATTATGAAGGGTCATATTTCAAAAAAGTATAAACTACACAAGTAAATCTCAGAACTGTTTTGTCTTACAGTTTAACTTCAATTTCTCACTCCAACATCTTACTTTATGTTTGAAAAAAAAAGCCATTCTTTCTGTTTCTTCCATATTTCAACTGCTGTTGGAAACAGACAGTCTTCCAATAAAGGACCCAGGCTTACCTGCATTAAAACATTTAACCTGTTTTTTTCCCCAGTTTTTTGCAGACATGTTGATATTATTCTATAGGGTTAACGCACGTTTTTCCGTGTTATAACGTCTGCAGAGTCCTGAGGAACGGTTGGTGCCCGAGCCCGGTAGGGCGAGGGCTCCAACTGTTCCGAGGGACTCTGCAGACTTTATAACAAGAAATAAACGTGCGTTGACGCTATTATAGCATAAAATTTTCAAACAGAGTCGTGATGTATAGTTTATACAAAACACAATTACATTAAATTCTTGTGCTTGGACGGTATTTATCCAATTCTATGTTTTACGTATGCGTTTCATTTTTCCGGGGCCAACAATTTGGAAAATTCTCGGAACCGAACGAAATTTTGAATTTTAATTGATTTAACAAAGCTTGGCCTTTGGAGATTTATTATTTCAAGAAAAAAAACTGTTACATTACTCTACCCTCTACCCAAGACAAAATATGACCCTCAGAAATTCTTAGAATGATTTCAGATTGACGGTAGACATCAGGATCGGTTTTTCTTTTTAAGCAAACAAGTTTACAAAAAAATCAGGCACTAAGCATTATTCTCTTAAAGAAATATAAAGAGCATTTATCAACATATACATAAATAAAAAACATTATCTCATATTAATTTTGTGTTATCTAGTTTTGTTAGTTAATCGGAGTGTTAAACTGAATGACAGGTAGATTCTACTGTATTTGTTTACATTGACAACTGTCCGTTTCTTAGAAAGGGCGACAACCAAGATTAGCACCGATGTCTATACGCCGTTTTTCCGGCATAGTTACTTGAATATGCGACTGAGGCCCTCGAATTTCAATATAACAAGAGCGCATGACTCTTTGGCAAACAGGCCAAATCGTCATTTTTTGTTTGTTTGTTTACTGGGCCCTGTATGTATTGCGCATAGGTGAAACCGGGCTATAACAAGAGCGCGTGACTATGTTAACACATGGTTTTGGTCCCGTTATAACATGGGCAAAAGAGGGGAAAATAGCCGATTTTATGCTATAATAAACATTAAAGCCCCTTTCTTTTGTGGTACATCTGTCATTGTGAGAAAAGCCACTGCATACACAAACTACTTTGTTTACCAGACTAACTGTACATGTCTAGAACCTGGATAACGATACTGAATAGTAACTGATTATAGAACAGTTAAAAGTCAGACAGAAAATGTGCTAATAACAATACTGAATCAGTTAGCAACTTATAAATACGTGCAGTTACCAGAAAAAAATGACGTCTGGTTAATCAAACAATAATAGGTGATATATATGGGATGGTGCTAATAATAGGAGGAATAACTTAATGAAAAGACATTTACAATTACGATTAAATTATGACTGTTTCATAGAAAAAGTGCTTAGCCTTTGCAAATTTTAATTTGTCATCTGTGAAATTATTGTGTCAAAAAGCAGAGTAGCAGCCACTGCAAATGGATCTATTACTAGACATAAGAATCTTAGTAACAATTCCCCCAGTTTAAGCTGTTTGTCTAGGAATCATCTTAGTTATACCTGTAGGATGATTCTGGGCTCTGATGGAAAGTCTAAGCCCTTTTAAAGCCCCTCTTCTTTTGACAAACATTCAACACTTCTTCATTTGGTCTCATCACTATTATATCACTATTATATTTATATTCACTTAATACAACTTTCAGTTTACACATCTATATAATTTTGCAGCATAATGTTACAATAACATTTTAAACTTTATATGGAACTTCTCCGGTCCAGTGTTGATCTAGCTTGATTTTATAATCATGAACACTTTTTGAGTCTACTACATTTTTTGGCAAATTATTCCATGTTTTAATTACACGTCATGAAAACTGATTCAAGCAATGAGTTGTAAAAATTACTAGTAAAAAAAAAAAGACCTATTGCAATATTCTTAGTTCATCTATACTGGCATGCGAGCAGCTCCCATACAAAAATCGTAGAAACTCGTAGCTCACACACCAAAAAATTGAATGTTACACATCAATTCGGCTCGTCACACAAATCATGGAAATTCCATTATGTTATATCAGTGTTCGCGTTTACTGAGTAAACATATCAATTTACTAGCTAAAATTGCCAGGGAGGAAAGAAAAAAAGGGTTGTTAAGTCCCTGGGACGAAACATTTTTTCCCCCGATAATAATTGGTTAATTCTCTTGCTCTGATTGAAAACGGATTTTCTGTTCGCTTTAAATAAATTGTATTTTAAGAACTTGACTTTCACCTCATTTTGATTTGTTCCCTTCTCATAAGCAATGCAGATTTATATCCCAAACGTAGACTAGGAGCAAGTGCATGGCCTAGTTTTGGGCCAACCTATCAATGGTATCCGCGAACATCAACAGTCACTGTCGTCAATATGTTTTGACATAAGAGACTGTTCCGTTGTTAAGTAGGAAAATGTTACCTTTGAAAAGGTAAAATACACATGGAAATATGTACAAAAAATATAAAAGTATTTAAATAAACCCTTATCCATTGCTTATATAAATGCTAGATATGAAGTAAATTTAAGTAATCAGCAGTCTCTTTTCCACATTCTTTCGAGACTGGAGACCGTTTAAGACTGTAGACCATCGATTTGCAGGCTCTTCAACATGACGAATTGAACATGACTGTTAATGTTTTTTTTTTAGTTAATTGACCTTCAGCCCTAACCTCTTAAATATTATTCAAGAGCACACAGCCGTCAAATTATAGATAAAGTACACAAATTTGATTGTATTATGAAGTTATGCAAACATTGACATTTTTGTAATTGAGGACTCGTCCCATTTGAATTGGGACGTAACAGATCTATTAGCACTGAGTCCCAGGTACTCGGTAAAGTTAGGGAAAATCGCTAACACTGTATAAACATGGAATAACCCTTAGTTATGAGGCCTCATATGGGGTACCGAAATTATCCATTATTTTGTATGAAGAGAACATAAAATATAACCCATTATTATTATTATACAATGTTGTTAAATCAGACCTATTTTTCATTTATAATTGTTGAACAGACCATTTTTCCAGAGGTAAAAAGATGTAATTCAGGAAATAGAAACGCTGGTATCTATTACCTGGTACCGTTACCCCAACACATTCACATGCAATGACGTGCTTGTATGCATTAAAGCCATAAAATTATTTAATAATAATATAGTAATATAGATCAAAATTCTGATAATTAAACAAGTTTTCATCGCATTGCCTACTTATCTGTACACAGGTGGTATAAGTGGGAAAC